TCATGCAACCAAGCGAAACACAGTGGGCCGGCATGGCGACAAACAAAGCGACTCGCAAGCTCTCTCCCGGGCCCCGGCCGTACTCGCTTTCGCGCCTATGTCGCAGGGTAGGAATAGCTGGCACGCCCATTTGTTTTCCAACCAGACAGGGGGCGCTAGCAACAACACACTCTGCTCGCGCATGCGCGGCAGCTTTTTGCAAACCGTGGATTGTATAAGCATGCCGTCTTTGACTTTGGACGAAGACACTAAAGCGTTTTTACCTGTTTAATTCCAAGTAGGTTATGAGTCGAGTAATTTCTGAATGTTTTTGTCCTTTGAGCAATTGAGATATGAAAACTGCCTTTAGACCTGTGTTCGATACTCATGGTTTTCTCGGTGGTTTGTGTGTGCTGCCATTAGGACATGTATTAATTAAACTGGAATACGACAAGAAAAAATGTACCCCACTGGTGCTTCCTCCGGATCTCACCAGGGGGGGCAAGAGCCCCGATGCCCCCCCCCGCCAAGTCTACGCCTATGAGCGCGTATGTAAACGATGGAACGGTGAGGCTCCGGAGATCCGCTCCGAAATTTCTTCCAGGCATCTGGAACATGCATGTCGCAGCAGTGCAGAACCCAGGGATCCTGGGTTCTGCCCACAGGACGAACAACCTTGCGGAGGCGTGGAATAGAAAATATTCCAGCATGGTCGGTCACTGTCATCCAGTGATTCCCCCCCCCCCCCCCCCCCCTCCTTATGTCTCCGAGGGCACCCCCTTCATTCACAACGACTCCTATATTCTCAATGCCCCCAACCCTTTAAAAATGTAGACCCCCCCCCCCCCCCCCCCTAATTAATTCCTGGGGAAACCCGTGCTGTCATCCCTCTATGTGGAGAGCGATCGATGCCCTGCACTTTCAATAGGCTTCTGTCGCCACAGTTCTGAAGCAAGAGTTGGCTGGACATCCGCAAAAGAAGAAGGCGAAGAGGGTCTACCGAGAAATGCAACAGCGACTTCAAACACTCTGCGTATAGTACGTACATGGGAGCCGTACCATGAATGACTTTCTGAAGGGCGTGGGCCATATTAACACGTTCACACACTAAGTGCCGCTTCAAGATCGTAGACCTTTTGTTGGAACATAAACATAATACACCTTTTCATCTGTTCATAAGCATGTTTATTTCCGTTGTTATTTTCTAACATTACATCGAAAAATGCGGCATCTGCACGAAAAAGTGTTTCTTTTTTATTCCCCGTATGATGAATCGACATGTGACGAATGGACCGTTATTCCATTTCTATCACTCACCTTAAAAGCAATCGCTGCAGATACCAGCGACATTTTATACAGTGCGTCAAAAGTGTCGAAAAATTGACTTGGGACCATTTTGTCCAGGTTTGCACTCGGGACCAAATTGTCCGGGGCCATATTGTCCTACACCCAAATTATACTCGGCGACAACTTTTCTTGGCAATGCAGTGGAAGGTACGTCCTGCGTCCCCTCTCCCATTTTGAGTGTACAAAGGCTCTCCTCCTCCCCCATTTCTGGGGAGAGGAGGAGAGCCTGCGTACACTCAAAATGGGAGAGGGGACGTGGGACGTACAGTCGGGAGCAAAAGTTTGCGGGGCACCGGAGCGCGTGCCGAAATGCATCGCCGCGCCGTGCAACGGCGCGCCGCCGCATTAAAAAGCCGCGCTTTGCGCATGCGCGCCCTTCGTGCTGGCAGTCATGTCTCTTTCGCTCGTTTCTGTCCGACTCACTCCTGATAACCGGAGTCGGCGCCAGGGGCGCAAGTTGCCGTTTCGCTGGCTGTCATGCCTGGCGTCCTCTTCAGCCGCCACAGCAGCCGCGCTGGGTGACGGAGCGCCTGGTTAACCCCCTCCCCCCTTCCCTACGCGAGCTCCGTGACAAAGCGCGGCGGCTGAAGCAGACGCGCAGCATGACAGCTAGCGAAGCACTAACTCGCGCCCCTGGCGCCGACTCCTGTTATCAGGAGTGCGTCGTAAAGAAACGAGCGAAAGAGACATGAATGCGAACACGAAAGGCGCGCATGCGCAAAGCGCGTCTCTTTAATGCGGCGGCGCGCCGTCGGACGGCGCGGCGATGCATTTCGGCACGCGCTCCCGTGCCCCGCAAACTTTTGCTCCCGACTGTACCTTCCACTGCATTGCCAAGAAAAGTTGTCGCCGAGTATAGTCTCCACCGACCGGCCACTCACGAAGCCGTGCTGCACAAGTGTAAGTTTCTGACGAAAATAAAGAAGCATTCGCGCACGTACGACAAACTCAAAAACCTTCGAAAATCCACAAAGCAAGAAATTGGACGATAATCTGTACCAATTAACGGAGGCATCGCCAATCTAGAATCGATTTTCTTTTTTCAAAATTAAGGAAACGTGTCCGGACTTAGGGACATATTAAAATATGTTTCAGAATAGGAATGAAAAGTTCACATCCTTTGATAATAATACTCGGTATAACATCAGCACCACTCGGGAACTTTGGTTTCAGCTTCCTAATCGCTTCGGCGTTTTCACCCGAATCAACGCGCAAAGAAGACAAAACGTCATGAAAGTTTATCTTATTGTCCCCAGGCTGAAATGCCTGGTGGACCAACAGATTAACACTTCCTAAAATAAGCAGCGAAAATATTTGCCACCTCAGCAGGTGGTGAATGATAAGCGGGAGCGTTGTCTGACTTATCACGCAAGCAGATACTTGGACTAGCATCACGTGTACGCTGCTTCACAAATTGCCAACAAATTTCAGGTCGACAGTTCAGACTGTTTTCAATGACGCCATGATGAAGCCATTGATCACGCTTGAAAAGTTGTTTATAAGGAACGATATTAACTTCGTGTACCAGAGAACAAAACCGGTCTTTTTTTAAAGAGTCTGTGAAAATGTCCCGTCTTTTTAAGGCAAAATATTAGTTAATTAGAAAACCAAACGGGCAATTTTGATGTTTGGAACACTTTGGAACAAAACTGTCGAGAGGTAGTGTGATCAGCACTTTACATAAAAAGGACATTGTCCCATTCAAAAGTTTTCATGAGCCTATATGGAGTGAAATAATTACCTTTAGAAAAGCAGTAATTAAACTATTTACACAACTCGCGTGGATTGAATGGAAGCGAAAACTCGACAGTGAAAGGTGGATGGAAATAATCAATCTGAACTAAAGATAATGAGCAGACAAACTTAATTTTGAAATTGGCATATTGGAAAGAACAAGATCAAGAACATTTCCTACACTATTTTTGATTGGATTGAAATTCGAGGCCACAAAAGTTATTACAAAAACAAACAAAGACGAAATGGCCTTGGTGCTATTCATAGTTTCTAAGGACCAATGTACACCTGGTAAATTAAAATCGCCATATGAACTCGACACTCATCAAAATCCATTCGCTTACTGATTGCCTCAAAATGCTCAATAAATACAGCCTGATCTGAAAGAGGCGGGAAGTAGTACCGTATTTTCCGGGCTATAATCCGCGGACTGCGCATGTTGAAATGTTGAAATTTTAGGCTGTGCGTACTACCTACGCGTGAGGACTATACAGAATTTTTCTTTTTCAATAGCGTTGATCATGACGAGGTGAGACGGATTTTGTGAATGGAGGAGTATGTCAATGATGATTTATGTATATAATATATATATATATATCATTATATCTGCTTCTTTGTGAGCCAACAAAGGAGACATTTGTCAAGGTGTGCCGTCCATATGAAGATTTTCGTGTCGACTAAGCACCAGGCGCGGACTATGCATCGGGTGCAGATGATGCACCCGATGCACTATCTAAACATATTTTTTTTTACCCCAAATTTGCCTTTGCGGACTATAGTCCGGAAAATACGATAGGTGCCAAACACATTCCGGATAGGATTCGAGGTCGAACCTTTATGCGAGACAAGGGAAATTTCAGCAGCAATTAAGAGACCACCGCCTAGCTTGTGCCCTGTGCAAGTGTCATCTCTGTCGCGGCGATAAACATTGTATTTAGAACTAAACTAATACACAGAGGAGTAATCTTGCTTCAATATAAGGTCGCAAATGAAAGCGAGAATTTTTATGTGAATTAATGATAAGGATTTTAAGGTCGTAGTGTATAACAAAATAAAGAAAATCAGTAAAGTGACGAAGGAAATTTATTTGGACTTCTGGTTCCGTTCTCTTTTTCCAATAGAATTTCTGGGTGCCCACACAATCATTTAGGTTTTGAGTTGACTGAAAACAATGATCCCACATTGTATTTCAAAAAGAAAAGAAATTCTACTTATAAATTTAAGTTTTTTTAAACAATTTTTTTTTAACAAAATAAATGCGTTTTAAATTCGAGCAAATCGCAGTGTCTTTGGACGTAAAACTATTTTGTCATGATTTATTTGAAGTAAGTTTGATTAATTTGGCCGACGTTGCATGGTGATTGGAGGTGCCAGGGCGCCACCTTCAAGGTGACATAACCTTTGTCCGTGGAACTGCAACTGTAATAAAACGTCTGGCACACAACGTAACGTTTGTCGCTATGTGCGGCAGCACATGCGGCCACTATTTGAGGCAGAAAATTGCCTGGTTTCAACTTCTGTTTGGTCATATGCTCAGGTCTTGTTTCAAAGTGATGCCTCAGTAACCTAGAAACACTATTTTTCTCAAGTGAACCGAATCTATCGGCGCTAGCAAACTCAACCCACACTTTGCACACCTTGCCACGCGAAGTTTCGGTTTCAAAATATAGTTGATTTTGTCTCCTAGTACGTCTCAAAATTGTGCATTTTAGCCGCAGCCCGCCTACAATATGCTATTGAAATAAAACTAGTTTAAAATATTTATGAATGTTCTAAATGCTTAAATATAAACCTGTATAACAAATACAAATTGTAAAAAAAAATATTTCTTTTAAACAATGATGATGATTGCAAGTGTGGTAACTAGTGTCACCTAGTGCCACTTGGGCGAATCATCAAAAACTCGCTAAACTTGGCAGGCATGCTGGATGGATGGATGCGAGGGTTACGGTGTTATGAGTCATGCAGTCATACGGTGTGGTCTAGCTTGTGTGGTTGTGGTCGTGTGCGAAGTTGCGAACGCGAAATATCTTCCGAGGATACCCAATTCACCCACGACCTTACAAGGTAAACATCCTTTCGACCCTGTCCTACGCTTCCGAGCCGTTTTTCCCCGCCGTCATCGGCACGGGCGCTAGGCTTATAAGACGCCAGCGTCGCCTGCCAGGCCAGAGCACTGATCACGTAGCTGGGATTCAAATTTGCTTTCATTCACTCCAATCCCACTCAATGCCGCCTCAAATCAGTTTTCAGTGCACGTCGATTGACATTTCACGTTCGGCGTACACGAGCGTCTCGTGCGTCGACGATGTCACGCGACGCTAGCACCGTCTTCGTGACATTCTGAACCCACCGCACTTGTTTATTAGACGGGTGGACCCGTCGCGTGGGGCGTATGCTTTCTGAAACGCATGCGAAATTAACTTCCTCAGTCGACAGTCGTCACTTCGGCGCCTCGGCTGCGTCGACAGGGCGGCCAGGCGTTGATAAACCGACAGTTTTTATCGGGCGCTCGCTTCCGTCGATAACTCGGCAGGAGAGCAAAACAAATTGCGTTTCCCATCAAAACACTACTCGACCTGCCGATAAAGAGACGATGCTTCTTCTTAAATTGGTGGTCTCGAAGTCAACTCGTCCTCGGACTGAATCTTTCTTAGGTCCGAACGCCTCTTTTCTTGTTTCGCGGCGTTCGAAGCTTCCTTACATGCGCTCGCGATGTCTGGTTGCAGGGGGGATCTTCCTGTGGCCGTGAAATCAAACGCGTACGAACAGGGACGCCGGTAGACCAGTTTTGGCTTCCCCGAGTCCTCGAGCAACGCAATTTGCAGTGATTTATTCATCGTCTTGTTTGGGCGGTTTGGAGAGCCGCGGCCAGTCTGGGTCAGACGCTGGCTTGGAGCGACGTCTCGGTGACTAGCCGTAAATTGCTGTTACGACGACGGTTTGAGGTCGGACTGCTTTGGGAAGTCGTAGCTTTTAAAACACGGCTGAGACGTTCTGTGTCCTCTGTATGACACCATAACCCCTGCAAGTGCGCTCCGGTTGCGTGCACAAATCGATGGCATGGCGAAATGTGTCTATAAATGGATTCGACACGGTTATCTACACTATCCCAATTAATCGAACCAATTGTGTTCGCTTGATCTCTCTCTTTCTCTCTTTTTTTTTAATGCCGTTGAGAATGTTTTATTGACGTAATGTTATAATGATGTTTCTCTGGCTTTTGGTCCATTTCTTAAATTATTGTCCAGGGGCTAGTTTCCAAACGCATTGTGATTGTTCAAACTTTGATATGACGAAAGTAATCCCTGGAGAAGGGGAACAAGAGGGACAAAGGACAAACATGTTTGTCCTTTGTCCCTCTTGTTCCCCTTCTCCAGGGATTACTTTCGTCATTCTTGTCCAGCTCGCTTGCACCTTTGCATTTAATTGCATTATAAAAAAAAAAAAAAAAAAAAAACAACTTTGATATAATCTTTAATGTAAATCACATTTCTAAAAGTATGGGTTAACCAGTTAGCTTCTAAACATGCGTCGGCATTTAAAAGAATAAACATTAATGGGAAGGAAAGAGCACCTCGGTTTTAATAGTTTGTTATTTCTCTCATTTCCCATCTTCTGGCTTTTTTAGAGCCTCTGAATAGGATATGCTTAGAGTAGCTACGGTCCATTTCCCGACTTTCTTGTGGGCGCCGCCATTTTGGTGCCTACTCGAAAGTTCAACTTCCTGAGCTTCTTACACTGTGTCAGGAAGCACAGGTGATGTCATACAATTCTTGTTCAGACTGTTATTACATTTCAATTTGACTAAAAACCATTTCCTGCCTACTCGGAAATGCAACTTCCTGAGCTTATTACACAGTGTCAAAAAGCACAGGTGATGTCATACAGCCCTTGTTCAGACTGTTATTACATTTCAAGTTGACTGAAAATGGTTTCCCGCAATTTTAGATAGAGGTTCAGGCAACTGGAACCATGATTTTAGGTTCCAAAATAGCCAAAGCATCGCTACTCTGAAATGTAGCTTACTTAGTGGCTCTTGGTTTTCTATTCAAGGTAGTGGCTAATTATAACTTTCATTGGTTCCTGCGTTTGCAGCCGTTGGCGTATTGACTCGCCGAAACCATGTCTGAGATCTTGTGATAATGTCATGCAGTCTAGCCACCCACAAGTTGCACCTTATGCCACATTTTAATCTGGCAAGAGCCTTCTCTTAAAATTGTTTCACACAGCCCTTTTTTTTTTACGTTACATTATATAACGAAAGCTAACGTCTGCTTATGCCACAAGTCACCAGGTTATCTGTGCTTTACAATAAAGGGATACTTCAACGAAATTTCAAATATACCTGTCGTGTTCGGAAATAGGCTGAATATGATCCACAGTATTCGTAAATGAAAATTGCACGTTTGTATCTTAAGCCTGATGGCTATATTTTTCGTTATAAACGGCCCACTTTGGCAAGCGCTCGGAGAGTAGCGAGCGGAGATCACGGGACATCTGGCGCAATTGCGATGTAAATTGTCTCAGGACGAGAAAAGCTGCAACAAGGCCGACATCGACAGGATGTTCTATCCGTTCCAGCCACCAAAGCAGCCGAAGCACACCATTGATCGGGACACCGCAAGCAACCCCAAAAACTGCTTTTGTGTGAATTTTGAATGACGAATTAATCTTCCATAATCTTGTAGAGGTACAACAGCGATGTCTGGGACACACAGAACAGGGTTCCGGTGAGAGGGGAGTTCCTCCTTCCCCCTCTCGTGGTGGCCTGAAAGTTGGTGAGATTATGTTAGGTTCGAGGCACGTATAGTTCTAGGCGAGACAGGCATTGTCACTACCTGTCTAGGTTCCATTACAAACGAGGCTTTAGCAACATCCACCGGTTACCCTTTGCTAATGGTTTAATTCGTTTGAAAATTCATTTTCGTGTCTTTCCGAACAAGAGATTGGCGTGTCCTATGTGATGCTATTCCCTTGAACATGTATAGACCAAGAAATAATCGTCGAAATTTCGTTGTAGTAGCTCTTTAAGTGTGGCTACCAGTTCAAGGACATGGCCTGGCACGTGACATTGGAGACACAAATATTTCGGCGACTTGCACATAACGCAAGGAGGCTGCTGTGTGAACCAGTCTTTATGCGGTGTGAATCGCACATGCGATGTGAATGCCCCTCTTTCTGTCCCCACATTTGATGGGCTGCGACGGAAGACGCTTTCGAAGAGAAGCTCTTTGGTCTGAGCTGAATAGAACATCATTTAAACGAACGCAAATGAGGCTGCGTATAATTGAAACAACTGATAAACTTTGTTGGATATTGTTTGATAAGCTACATGTGGAAGTTGCAGCTGGTTATGCTAGATGCTAGACTCGCATATGATGCCTGCAGCTGCAACCTCTTATTTCTCGGTACTTGTGTGTGGCCATAAAAATAGGCATGTGGCCTTTTTTTTTTTTCAGTTTTATTGTGCCTCTCTTCAACTCACACTTGACATTCTTCAGATGTGATGTTCTACCTGCAAAGAACACATGTTGGGTTGTCTTCCAAAATGTTAAATATAAATTTGAGCAGCATGTCAAAGAAGTGTTACGGAGTAGGAAGAGAAATGTGCTAAGGCTTCTAAATAATAAGACTGAAGAAACTTAGAAAATGTTTTATGTGTTGTTTCTCTTTGATTAAAATGTCTATGTGAAGAGTCTCTCTGGGCGATAACTGAGGTTCCAGTCATGTGAGAAGAACCCTAAGGGTTCCAAATTAGTTCTTCATTGGGGCATGTCTACCTGTGCCCTGCATTGGATTGGTATGTAAGACCCTTAAATTTAATTTTGAAGGCCTGCTCTGACAAACTGAAAGAAAGTGCATGAAGATGACTAATTTGTCACACTTATAATTGTTGTCAGAATGATAAAATATGTGTAACGGTTTTGAGAACAGGGTAGGTGTTGAGTCATGGCAAGAACAGAGTTGTAAACATTACTCCAGAAATGTACCTAAAAACTAATCCAAAAGTTCACTACAATCAAAATAAAAGCAACGACAATGCCACTGGGACAACCGTGCTTTGTGTGTTTCGAGGCAGCCAGCTCAACGAGGAGGTGAGCTGGGCAAATTGCTTTTGACTGTATAATCACAGATGCAAAAATATAGGTGCTGATCTTTTTAATTTGTGATTACTTTTCATAGCTATTCTTTGGGTCGGTGTACAATGTGCGGTTGTCTCAGTGATTTTGTGGTTGCAGTGGTTTAGTCATACTTTACCAAAAACTTCCAGATTGAGATATTTACCTCTAAATTCTCAGTGGTTGCCTCCTGAGTATGCATAAGTACTTTTCCACGCAATACCTTTATTTTTATATATAAATAATGAATGAGAAATGATTTGATTACAAACATTGTTCGGTTGCTTGTGGCAACATTTTAACTGTTAAGGATTACAAGTAACACTGAGATGCTGTCCTTAGTTTGCTCATTTGATATATGTAATAAGCCAATAAGGGGGTGCACTACTTCCTATCAAAGTGGTAGTCATCTAGATGTTCATCGTAGAACAGCAGTACAAGGTCAGGTTTGCATTGTGCATGTAATTCCAGTTTCGTGAAATATGAGGGATACAAGAGCCTTATGTAGTAGTTCCATGCCAGTATGGTGTAAGCAGGCACCTTCATTCTGAAGGTGATCATCTAGGAACTAGCGAGCGCAACACTTACACCACAGTATCTCCATCGCTGAAAGTTGCAAATGCCATGCAGAGTGCAAGTTTGTCCACTTCTTTTGCAGGCTTTTGTGGTGACGTCAGAATGCCAAGCTCTGATTGGCTAGATTCGAGGTCTACCAACTATCCGGTTGAGGGATAGTTGGTAGACCTCAAAGCAAGGTGCCTTGAGGTCTACACACTATCCTTCAATCACAGCCAGTCAGAGATCAGTGTTCTGACCTTACCACAACCCCTGCAAAAGAACCAGACAAACCTGCGCTCCACATTCTCCTATGTCTGCGTATTGGAAGAACATACTAAGCCAGCCCTACCTCATACCATCTCTTAATTCTATTTCGAAACTTTGAATCTTGGGGAAGAGACTCTCTTCCAGCTCTACAGATGTCGAAGCACAACCCCGAAAAGGTGTTCCTAATATTAGGGCCTTTCCATTCTGACTGGTGCCTCTCCTCAGTTTGTCAGAGGCAACATAAAAGTACCTGCCGAAAAGCAACACGTCGTAGTTACCATAGTCGCTGACAGGACGAGAACGCCAGTTTGTGTGTCCTTCAAATGCCCAGCCTCCAGCATGCCTCCGGCCATGCTTCAGCCTTCAGGGATGCTTTAACTGTGTGCACGCACTTGAGGTGCACGAGACACGGAAGCATTGTCCAAGGTAGGAAGCTTGTGCTGAAGGAGGTACAACCAAAGATCTTCTCTGCCGTTAACACCGTGTCAGTGACTATGTGCCAAGAAGGTTAGGGAGAGGTGGAGCTCTGGTTGGAACGATTAGTTGATAGACCTGAAGCTATAGCTGCCTTTGCTTCCACCGCACTCGTCGAACGTGAAGACAAAGGCAGCTGGCTTTAGGTCTACCCACTAGTCATTCGAACCAGAGCTCGGTGTTCTGACGTACCTCTGGTCTCCTCCCTCAGTTTTTCGGCACACAGACATTTCATTTTAGGTACACAAAAAGTACCTTGTTTACAATTTGCAGTCTGTAGGACCTAGGTGCCCTGCAATCCTGCTCAAGAACAATACTTTTTTTTTACAACACTTTGGGTGATATAATTACTTGTCGAAGGGATGGAAAGATCTGTATAAAGGAAGTGCTAATTAAGTAACGTGATATAACTTGACGAACCAGTGCAAGGGCACGTTTCAGCGAAAAATAATTTTTGTGCCAATACACGCCAGAAATAATGCAAGGTCCATCTTCACTGCTGCTTCCGTATGCGCTAGATACTGCAGCTTCCACTCGGGGGCCATAATGGGACAGTTTGAGCTTCCATAATATATAAGGGCAGCATTAACAAAATATTTTTGTAACATGGTAGTTTTATTAGGTGACTTGAAAATTAACTTTGTGGTTGCTTCGTAATTAGAAAATGAGTGTAGGTCCCCTTTCTAGCTATTGAATGTGGTCACTCAGTTACAGCATTACTCGATGTTGGCAAACTTCCAACGTGACACAGACACTCCCTCCTTCTTGATCGTCTGTCATCAGTTGATTGAAATGCAGTCTTTTCTGCACGCTGTCACAGATCTCCACAACATGAGTTTTGAAAGCAGCTGCGACCTGCCAAAAAGGTGGTGTTTTAGTCATTGAGTGACAAACATTGGGGGAAGGGAAAGGTACAGCTAGATCCAGTTTCTTAGACTGTGATTGCCCGGTGCAAGGTATTCAGGCACCATAATCCAATCCAATCCAGCTCTTACATGCAAGTGTTTGGGGGGTTTTCCAAATGATGGTATCTAGTAGCGTTGGTTGTAACCGGTGAATGTTATGCATCTTGTGAGATAATATCTGGTGCCAAAGAATCCTTGCTGCAATCTGTTTGTTTCAATGAGTGAGTGTTGCTTGAATGACTTGCTTCCATTTAACAGAAGTTTGCCACTGTTCTGATCTCCTGTGTGCATGATAAACCCCAGAGGCAGTATGATAGCGAAATCTGAAATCAACGAGTGATCATCTAGAAGAATCTAGACAATGCTTTATCGGGAGGAATGAACCTCTTCTTATCAGAACTATGCTGGAATTTGTTGATCTAGGAGAATGTTGACTGCATGTTATCACAAACGTCAGACCTCTGAGTCGGCCTGAGGTTACGAGCCTGCATGCTTGCCCACAGAAGGCAGAGCCGGGCATCTCTGTCAGACGCACTGACGCGGAACTTTCGCCGTCCTAATTGCGCAGGCGGCATGTGTGGCGGAAGCAAGCATCAGTCCCGATAAGATCCATGCAGGAAGCACATCAGCTGCTCAAGAAGCAGGAAGTGGGCATCGATTTTCTGCCCGGGACTGCACGCTCGCAGCTGCCCATCGATTCCGTAAGCGAACGTGCCACCCCTTCGCAGTTGTCTTTTTATGCTTGAGTTGCGTAGGTTCATTGTTCATTTTACACTGTTCTGTTATGCTTACTCTGCCACCAATTTTGTAACCAAACGTGACACCCCTTTACCTTTGTTTGCTTGTTTGAATTGTGGAGACCCATTGTTCTTTTTACGAAGATCGCTGTTCTGTTATACTTACGGTGCCACAGATTTCCCTGCTTCATGTGTTTGTGATTGAAATTTGTAGATTCAGTGTTAATTTTACGCAAGTCACTTTTTCATCACACTTGCGATGCCGGCTTAACCCATCCATTTTTTTGGGGGAGCACACCTACTCTGCGATGGTGTGACTCGACTTTATTTACCAGAAAGTGTTTGAAGGCTGGGATACTTGTCCGGAAAAGCAGCCTAAAAGTGAAAGAAAATTGCGTCATGCACATACCATTGCACGCTAATTTTTGGTAAATTAGCCACACATGGGAACTTTCCGCACAAAAATCTCAATATGGTTTGAATTAAAACACTGTTACGATTTTCAGGCTGTAAATGTTTTTTTGGGAACTAGCATGCAGCGAGTTTGATGAATTTCAGTTTTCAGATTGCTTTTCCAGCTGTGGGGCAGTTTGCATGTATGGGATATGAGTGCTGATTTGTTGCTCTGGCATTGCCTTCTTGTTTCTAGTTTGTAAGTAAGTATGCAAGGTTTCCTTTTTTTTTATAATGTGGTGGAAGAGAGGAATCTCACAGATGTGCTTGTTGTGAAGCTAGCTGTACTCACTGCAGCGGTAAAAGTTGCGCTCACAGGCAGCAGTTATCAGTGTTAGTGACCATTGGCCTGCGGCACTTGTAAAGCCTGCTCCGCGCTCCTCTGAGAGCCGTAAATCCCATCTGACGTCACCAGTGCGTGCCTTCTTTCAGGGTATGTAGAAAGAGGTGCTTGTACTGTCCCATTTTATGTTTGTTTCCTGTTTCTACATGTCCTGATGGCCACCAATACACTGTTCAGTTCTTTTTGCATTCTTTTTTTTTTCTTTTCTGCTATCTGTCACTACCTTGGTGCATTGCATAAATCATACAAGTACATATAGCAGGGGAAAAAAAAAGAAACATAAGAGCTGTTTCAGTAGTAAGTGCAAGAAATTATTGACATAATTTGTTTTCTGTTGAATGTCATCTTATTCTTATGTTGTTGACTAAAACACCAATCTTAAGAGGCACTGTAAACATTTCGGTATGGGCGTAACGCCTCATCAGAGTGACCCAACTCTCCGGAGTTAAATAAAAAAACAAAATAAATTGTGAAAAAAAAAAAAAAAAAAAACTTGAGTACTTTTTTTGCATGTTTAACTGCTCTCATTAGAATCTTAGAAACAAATCTGTACTTCATATTCTCCTGCTTTCTGCTACACAACACCAAATATGGATGCTTCTTTTTTTGGGGGGGGGGGGGGGGGGGGGGGCATTGAGGTATAAACAGCTAAACAGCTAGTAAAAGTTCTGAAGAATGAATGCTATTGTCATCAGGCAATAGATGATAAAACATATCTGACAAAAGGACAAGTTGAATGGATAACATGAATGTGACAAAGATTTGGGCATATACATCTTTTCTTGGGTGTGGGATGTCTTCTTCAGCAATTCAAGAAAAAAACAAATCTGCCAGAACTTGAGAATGAGTGTCAACTGTCGCCTATAGCATGTAGTGCAGTAAATTGGTGGTGGAAATGCAAGGGCACATGTCTATAGCCCAGTGTCACTTGTCCTTGCTTTATGGTTATAGCCTCGATTCATTTTCATGTTAAGTTGAAGAGCAGAGGCTGGACTGTACTTGGCGTTTTGCTGGTCACTGCCTTAAGGCTGTGAATTGATTTTTTTTTCTTCTTCTGGACGCTGGTCACTGCTTTAAGGGGCAACACTGCTTCTAGAGCTTTTTTACATTACTTGTGATTCAATTCAACTGAAATTTACATAGCTTATTTGCCATTACAATCTGACTACAAATATGCACGTGGTTTTAATGTAACCTAATTAGTTTTGTTAATGTTGAAAATTTAGGAAGGATTGAGGCAAATTGAAATACTGAAATAAGAAAATAAACATTTTTCAGTGAGCTAAAAGGTATGTGGGAACCAATAAGGCATAAATGAAAGCCATAGGATGCTTTATATACTTTTTAGTACACTTTTGAACTTTCCAGTCTAAAAATGGTTTATTGCAGAATGCCTAAAAGCCACCTAAAAAAAAAAGCCTGATACCCAATTTAATATATTTGTACCCCTTATTGCATATGTCAGGGGTGGCCAAACCGCGGCTCGCGAGCCGCATGCGGCTCTTTGCTGGTCCAAGTGCGGCTCGCGGATCCCTCGTAAAGGGACCCCCCCCCCCCCCCCCCCCCCCCCTTTCGCCCCTTTCCGCTTTTTCCCAGGAAAAAAAAAAAGATTTCAGAATAAAGCACACTGCAGCTTGCAGTTTGGCAGCCTTTCCCATACGTACAGTCGTACAGCCTTGTGCCCCCATACCTACAATCAGACTCTGAACAAAATTCAAGTTTGAACCCCCCCCCCCCCCGCGGCTCTTGGAAGTTCCATGGTTTTGTTTGCGGCTCTTAGGCCAGCCAGCCTGGCCACCCCTGGCATATGTCATACGTACACCTACAAGAGAGAAAGAAAAATTTGAAGATTAGTTACGGTATGGTGCAAATGGACATATGGCTTCCATAAAATAGCAAAGGGTTTAAAGCTCAGAAATTATATCAAAAAGCATTTACAAACCCATTTTACTTTGTTTTTAAGACAATATTTCAAGATTAGCGAGACTTGTTTAACAAATATCCTTCAGAATGAGATAAGTGCCTGCAAATCTTGAAAAAACACAATTTCAAAAATGTGTTTTCTTAGTATATTTTTGCCTCAAAGAGCAGTGTCTCCCCCTAAGGCTGTGGATTCTTTTTTTTTTTTTTCTGGACGCTAGGTGTTTTTTTATCTAACTAAGGCTCGCATGTTTGCACAGCTTTTGGTTCTTCTCCATTGTGATTCTTGACCTCGGCAGTTGCAGCTGCTATCTCTCAAAACTCTCCCCGTGCTTTGATGAGGCTAAACACACAAGTCTGCACTCTTGGGCAATCTTTGACACCGGAGCTTGTGTCTGTAAACACTTTGGCGCTGTGATTCGGTCACCTTTTGCAAGCGTCTCCAGACAATGCACAGAGGGATTGCCTTTTAAAGTTGCATTTCCTAACCCTCTTACCAATGATGAGGATAGCAATGCTTCATCTCATAAGCTGACTGCAGTGTCGGCAATGTGCTTTGTTTTCATGAGAAGTCACGGAAGAAATTTTTTTTTCAAAGCGGTGGTGTGACAAAAATTGGTCGCACCAAGTGATTTGGGGAAGACGGCAACGATGTGCACGCACACACCGCGTGACCTTGTGGTAATAATCTGGTGTGGACATTCTGGACTCCATCATGCGCCATATATCGAATTGCTGTAATGCATCCAGAAAATTATTAAATATTTAAAGATGGATTTATTGCTGAAGCTCACTTTTTGCGATGTATTTAGGAGATCCCATTGCTCGTTCGGGTACTTACGAAAAATTTACTCTTTTCCCCACAGGAAACCAGAATGATGCGCGAGAAACGACCCGTCCCGAGTTGTTCCGCCGCAGCCCTGCATCCAGCTTAGAGCCGGCGACGTGCTATAAGTCGAGCCAAGCAGGCTCAATCCTCGCTGTGCGAGTCTCCGATTCGGTCGCAGCCGACGATGGAGGAGAAACGCGTGGCGGACTATTTTGTGGTGGCGGGACTGCCGGAGAATCCGCGCTTCCTGGAGGAGGACTTCTCGGCGGTGCAGTCTCCGCGGGCGGCCGACACCCTGCTTCCGGTGACTGACCTGGCAGTGATAATCCGCAGCCAGGGAGAGACGCCGCCCGCTGGATACGAGTGCCTGGAGACGACGCCACTCGGGTTTCCCGCAGACTTGAACCACGGCAGCTTGCGGAGTCCGAGCATTTATCTGTGCTACCGGAGGGGCAGGGACAAGCCACCTCTCGTCGACATTGGGTGAGCCTTGGATTGGATCGGATTTGTACCCAGTTGGCTTAGCCGAAGGGAGAGTGTCATAAGGGGGTGGGGGGCAAAACAATGTTTGACACTTCGTTGAGAGTTTCACCTAGTCTTTTTAGTGAGCTCTTGCCATGTTGGGGCCAGTCTACCTTAGATGAACTTAAAAGAGAATTAGGTGGAGTAACTAGAAGTGAGCTTGTATATTTTGTAGGCGAAGTCAGTGCCGTCACTAGGGTCAGCGGCACCCGGGCCGGTGGCCTGCGATGACCCCCCACCTTGTCACCCACTGCGACACCCCCTGGAACGCTGCACCCGGGGCGGTTCGCTGTGTGAAGTGAAGTGAACTTAGTATGCTTTTGGTGAAATTGAATACCAAGCATGGACAATGAGGATCTTGCTTAAAGAGTGTGTCAGTAACACTTGTAGCCTTGGTTGTTTTACTCTTCCCCATTTAGGCCATTCTTTTCAAAATGTATTGATCAAATTACATGGCCCTTGATTATGCCCAGCCCACTTTGTCTCGTCCCATGTAGGCCTGACCCTCTTAGTCATTGTCCTCAAGGCTTAACCTTAGGTTTTGTATATTAGGTAGAGGTTTACTGTCAATCTTCAAAACACTGGCTAGATGGTACAAGCTGCCCTCCAATTCAAAGAATTCACCTATACACATCCATCCACCCATCTTTTGTCAACACCACAGTTGCATGGACGAAATCGGTGCTAAACGGCTGTTTTCATGGTCTCCCACATGCAGGGTGCTGTATGAAAACAAGCAGCGTATCATGGCTGACAGCGAGGTGCTCAAGAAGACACCGTACGGGCGTCCAGCCAACGTCAACAACAGCGGGTCACGGACGTTCCTCACCTACCGGAGAGCCGCCGAGAACGCCCCCTGTAACCAGCTGGTGGTCACTGACCTCTGTCTCATCCTCGCCAACAAGGTTGGCAAACTCTCGGTCACTCTTGTAACAAGTCCGCTTATTCTCTCTCTCTCGCGCGAGTTGAAGCGTTGTGGCACCATTGTACAAATAGCCCCAACCCCTTCCGGTTCTGAACTAGACTGCGGGTTTTGAAGTATTTGCGAGATTAAATATGCACGCTTTCTACTGGAAATGGCCACTTATAGCACTGTCGGACTTAATTCACTTTTATGATAGAATGATGAGTAAAAAATTGGGAAATATACGTAAACCGGAAGCGTGCTGGGGCTACCCAGTAGGTGGTGTAGGGGAGACCAAGAGATGGCGCCAGGAGCGCATCGTGATCTAGATAAGCGCGTGCGCCGCGAGACGCGGGGTACTTTTCGCCACTTGATGCTAGGGTAATAAACGTTGTGGGTCTGCTTCGTCTACCCTCGTCTGCTTCGTCTGCCCGGCTGGCGCGTCGCGCCCAGAGCACACAAGCTCTGAACATGGTGTCAGAAGTGGGAAGCGTCCAATGTGGTTCGCCGTCTACTGGGGATGGTGAACCACATTGGACGCTTCCTGCCGCACCTTTCGGACGTAACTGCCCCCATCCGTTCACTTCTCAACAAGTCAAGCGCATGGTCCTGGGGAGCAAGCCAAGACGACTCGTTCAAGCGGTTGAAGGCTATGCTGAGCTCGGAAACCTGCATGGCGAAGTACCATCCACGCTATCCTACGATACTGTCCGCAGATGCAAGCTCATTTGGCCTGGGAGCGGTACTGCTGCAAGATCAGCCGTCCGGAGCTCGTCGTGCTGTGGCCTTCGCTTCAAGGTCCTTGACTCCGACTGAAGCACGCTACAGTCAGACAGAAAAGGAAGCTCTCGCCGTGACGTGGGCTGTTCTTCAGTTCGACCAGTATCTGCGTGGGCTTAGTTTTACCGTGGAATCAGATCACCTGCCTCTCGTCGCCCTGCTGGGAAAAAAGGAGCTGGAGTTGCTGCCACCGCGAATTCAGCGAATGCGCATAAAGCTGATGCGCTACCAATTCGACGTTCGGCACGTACCAGGTAGACTTCTTGCCACGGCGGACACGCTGTCACGTGCCCCTTGCGATGTCCGGTCTTCTTCTACAGTATTCTCCGTCGAAATTTTCGCTAGCGAGATATTTAAAGGTCTTCCACCTCCCCTCGCTAACAGGCTGGAAGAGGTTCGTCGTCGACAAGCTGAAGATGGAGAATGTTCTCTCGTCGTCCGCTACTGCCAAGAGGGATGGCCAGACAAGAGGAAGCTGCCTCCCAACTTGGTGCCGTATTGGAAAGAGAGAGGAAGGTTGACAGTCTCGGAGGACCTTCTTCTGCTGGACTGCCGCCTCGTTATTCCTGCTGCTCTGCGTAGCAACGTCCTGGCCCTTCTGCACGACGGCCATCAAGGACTTCGCCGCTGTAAGGAGAGAGCCAGAGAAAGCGTCTGGTGGCCTAACTGCAACAGCCACATCGAACATTTGGTCACCAGCTGTGACAAGTGTGCGGAAACAAGGGTTGTACACTCGGAGCCCTTGATGTCAACGCCTACACCAGATCGGCCATGGCAACGCCTAGCCATTGACTTGTTTCAGCTGAAAGGCCGTGATTATGTTCTCATGGTGGACTATTACTCTCGGTTTCCGGAAGTCGTCTCCTTGAGCTCTACGTCAGCCTCAGCGGTTATCGCGGCTATCAAGAGCTGCTTTTCCCGACATGGGATACCGGACGTTGTACGGACAGACAATGGTCCGCAGTTTGCTTCACAGGAATTCGCAAACTTTGCTCTGTCATACGGTTTCGAGCATGAGACCAGTAGCCCTCGGTACCCGCAGAGTAATGGCGCAGTAGAGCGCATTGTGCGCACGGTGAAGGATCTTTTGTACAAGTCCGAAGACCCATACCTAGCGCTTCTCACCTACCGGGACACTCCGGGCGTCGCGGGAGTCTCTCCTGCCATGTTGCTGATGGATCGGCGGTTACAGACGCGTCTTCCTGCTCTGCCGCAGCGACTCGCACCAGTTCAACCAAGCCACGAGAGGTTCCGGGCTCAAGACTCCAGGAATAAGGTCAGGCAGGCGAGAGACTTCAATCGCCAGCACAACGCTCGCTCTCTTAATCCTCTCAAGCCAGGTGACAGCGTCTGGGTCACGGATGCCAGCTGTCAAGCACGCGTCCTGAGCCCTGCCCAACGACCACGGTCGTACGTCGTAGAGACTCCCAAGGGAATCCTACAGCGAAACCGCCGGCACCTGGTGCCCTTCTCGCCGACCGTTACTGCGAGGGAGTCTGTCGAGCTTCCTGCTGCCGAAGAGCCTCCAGGACAACCACCCGAAGAAGGTCAGCCTGGGGAGTTGCCCACTGCGGGCTGCTCTTCACCCTCTCTGGATCGTGCATCTTCCCCGCAAGGTGTTACAAGATCACGCTATGGACGTGCCATCAAGCCACCAAGACGGTTGGACTTGTAAACGTCGCTTTCTTTCGAACTGTGTAACTAGAGTGCAGTAACGAGCTCCGGGGGGAGATGTAGGGGAGACCAAGAGATGGCGCCAGGAGCGCATCGTGATCTAGATAAGCGCGTGCGCCGCGAGACGCGGGGTACTTTTCGCCACTTGATGCTAGGGTAATAAACGTTGTGGGTCTGCTTCGTCTACCCTCGTCTGCTTCGTCTGCCCGGCTGGCGCGTCGCGCCCAGAGCACACAAGCTCTGAACAGGTGGCACCACAGAGTTTGTTGCCGAACAAAAAAGGGGCGAATACTAGTGACGACGGGACTCTTCTTGGTGACACCTTTCGGGGTGTTTAGTGAAACTGAACCTTTTCGTGGCAAAATCAGTTTGTTCGAAAAGAAACCTTCCCTTTGTCGGTAAAGTATTTGAAATATCTGGACCAGCGTTACGAGTATACACAAACTCATCTCTGTTACGTCACGGCGCAGTGGTGGCGCGTCGGGCGCACTTTTGGTCTGGGGCTGTGGGTGGAAGCCGCCATGGGGCACGTGCATTCCTGTGTTACTTCGGAAGAAACCAGACAAAAACTTGCCTTCTCGTCAAAACGCCGCGACTGGGGCTTTACCAAAAGAGTCGGGAAAGGTGCGAAGGTCAGTTTTCATGCGTTTTTTGCCTGCTCGGTTCGTCCGAGAACGTGAACAGAGGCCATTAAGAAGGAAAAACAGACGCCGTCGGACCACGATTGCTTGGGCGGGAAGCACTTTGGATTGAATTCACGGATACTTGTGGTCGTCAGATTTATTTGTTTTGTTCCAACCTGAACTCGGGAAAACCATCAAGTTGCATGGACCACCTGCGGACTGCGTTCAGTGCATCATCACGTTCTAAAGGCTGCCTCATCGTTCGAGCTGTCGTCGGCTCTGTCAAACGTTTCTGCTTGTCGTCTGCTGGTTCAAACGACGGCGGCCTGTAGACCAAACGTTGACCCGGTAATTGCAATAAGAAGTGCAGACCTCAAAAGCTATTTAAGTTTGAAGGTTGCTTCGAGTAAGTAGGCTCGGTGTAAACGGTAGATATAAGGAGATGTTGATAATTGGTTACCAGTGGCCATCACCGACTCGTTATGCCTGATTCACTCGATCCAATTCTGCTTGCGATTTTCAGTATCGACGTCAACATCTCAGCTACGGTTCAGGCTTTTGTAGCCTGAGCGACATCATGACTGAAAATAGCGAGCAGAACCTTACCATGGTTTAGCATCCATTCTGCGGCATCCACGCGGAATGAATCGCCTACGTTACATTATTCACGCCAAGTTTTGCGCTGTAACGATCCTTGTTCATTTCGCTGAGGCTGCTCAAGTAGTCAGACATTGCCAAGAAGACGTAGCATCAACAATTTCAACGTGATAAAGAGCGCGGGGACTCACACTAACACCGACAACATCCCATTCCAATGGTTTTGTTTATGGGTGACGGCGAGCTTCTTGCCCACACCCCCATCGCCATTGCGCGGCATCGGTGGCGCTGCTAGGGGCACTCTGGTTTGTTTGTAAACAGGAGTTAGTGTATATACCTAACCTCTGCTTCATTGTACATGTCTTTTTAGCGACTCTCACGTGAGATGAAGTGCTCTGTTATCGGTGAAAGTCAATTTGTTTTTGAAGATACCTTATCCTCCTTGGGCACTTCCCCTAAATAATTAACATATGATCGATGGGAGAGATCTATTGAGATGAATTGTACCTCGCGTCTTTTTATGCAGGATGTGTTTTGAAGGTTTTCTTCTAAGGTTGGCAAAACTGGTTTTATTTTAGGGAGAGACGCCTCCACACGCTTTCTGCAAGATAGACCGTAACCTCAACAAGGGCATGGTAAGAGCATGAACCGCCTATTCTAATTCTGTTTTATACTAATTGATTTCCAAATTGCATCCAACATTGTAACAACCATTTTTTTGACAGGTGGGGTCGGATGTGTTCCTCTGCTACAAGAAGTCTATGAACAGGCCAGACCTAATCTGCTATGAGCCAGGTAAAAAAAATTTCTTTTCTTAATCACCAAAAAAGAAAATGATGAAAACGTTTTTTGTTTTTTTTTAAGTATGAAAAAATGCATGGGAATATAGGGAACATATTGTGGGATATGCAATTGATCTTTCGTTGCTGTTTTTTTTATGTAGCTCTGACCGTGTTTTTAGTTACGCTGTGTTTTCGGAAACATGGGGCAGCTCTGAAACCTTGGATAAGCTCGAATACATGTATATTTTTTTTCTGAAAAAATTATCTCTTTGGTTTCTCAAAAAAAGAAAACACCTTTTTAGCACAATATTTATATTGCAAAACTTATGGTGAGTTAAGATTGATTCTGAAGAATGCTTCTATTTTGGTGTCGACGTCTAAAAAAAGATCCACATTTGAATTTGCTACCAAGTCCAAACGTGTTTTGCAACATAGATATTGTGTTGGCCTTTTTTTTTCTTGTGCATTTGTGTGGGGTTGGGGGAGTTTATTTCATAACACTTGTGTCCTATCGTGGCAAATTTTTTGGAGGGAGTTCAGTAGGTATGTGAAAATAATTGATTTTGAGAGTAAAGCAAATTTGAAGCAAATAGCGGTTTTGGGCAAATATTTTCAAATCGAATATGAAATAGTTTTTCCAATCCTTCTTCTGCTTCCACGTCATGCTTAAACAAAAACCCAGCTGAACTCGTGAAGGATGTTCCCAAGCTTCCACTTGTTCGGCCGCGAGCCGCAATTTAACACGCGAAAAGCCGCAGCTTGGCCACCCCTGGTCTATCTTTTTAATCTAGTATTAGAAAATTTGAATATCAATTAGCAGCCCTAGAGTTCAGTGTTCCTAGGAGCAATTCTGAAAAGTGCTTCTATATTTCAGGATTGATGTCTTGAAAGAGAAGCACGTTTCATAATCAAGCCCAAACCAAAAGGAAGAGTCTTGCAATAAAAACATTTTTCTAATTGGTTTTTTTTTTTAGATGTTTCATTTGGGCACGTTAGAAATATGTTTTTGGGGAGTCAAGTGTCTTTTGGTGTTTGTCTCAACATGATGTGACCTTCTGCGTCTGTCTGGCTACGACAATGCAATTCAGGCATCCTGGACCGCTTCCCCCGGGAGAACTATGCAAGCTTTGCGCTGCCGGAGCAGATAGCGCTGTTCTGCCTGCCCATGGGAGCGACGGTGGAACTGTGGCCCCGGAAGGCACTCCAGCCCCGCCCGACCTTCTCCACCTTCGTGCTCACCCTGGACTCCGCCGAGAAGGTGGGATTGCGCTCGTTCCAAAACGGACGGTCTCAAACAAACTAAACAAACTGGTGTACTAAAATGTTGGCCCTCCGGCAGTCATTGCAGTGTACGGCAGCGATTGCTTGTTCGAACGTTCTCGCCTAATGTAACGCTGCACCACCCCGGGAGGTGCTGCTGTTTGTGATGCTTTCAAGGAACAATAAATCTTGTATTCGCACCTAGTTGGTTCTTAAACATAACCTGTCTGCATGATTCGAAAACTTTTTTCACCAGAATCAGTGCCGAAAAATACATGCGCATTACAATCGAAACTCAAAAAGAACGAAGCAATACTCGGTATAAGGTGGCTAACCCCATTGCCATCGTGACATTTGTTTACATATGCCATTTTGGTATCCCTATCACGTGCATTCTCTCGCGTGTTTGTACTCTTGTCAGCCCTTAAGACAGAAAGACAAAACAAAAATTACACTAGGAGGCTTTATTTAAATGAAAAGCCATCACACAGGCGGGAAAAGATAACGGAGCAGCACTGCGTGGCCTCACAATCCCAGCGACCCAACAAGCTCACAAAGTTGTTTGGAAAACGTCCCTCCCAGAAGTGACGGCCATGCACTCGTACTAGCGCAAAAAGCGTGCCACCTAAAACACTTTAGGTGAAAGCAAGGATTACCTGTGGACTGCGAAAAACCATCGTCGGACTCTCACAACGGCGACAAGTGCGCGGTTTTTATTTTTGTATTGGCATCCGTTTCATAAAATCTGTTCTTTTAAGGTATATGTTCAACCTTCATTGTTAAGCAGTCTAAGCTCGTTATAACAGACCTTGATTTTGTCCAAGATTTTGGTCTGTTGCAGGAGGAGTATGCAGATATGAAGTTAAGTCAATGGTTTGTAGAGGAAAACCAACCGAACCTTACAAATTAATATGTTATAACCAAACGTCTGTTGTAATGAGCTTAAACTGTATCTGTGCTGTAGAATCTGCAGCAATTTACTTTTTTAATATCCGGGAACTAAATCTATCTGCACGTTGGAATTGGGAACGTGTTACGATCGTGCAAACACGGTAGTCATAAATAGCGCACATGAGGACTGGACAAACAAGAACAGAAGACAAACAGGCGCTGACTCACAACCGTCATATTTCAATGAAAGAGAGAAGGAGAAAACAAGTAGCAAAATAAAGCAAGAAAAAACAAACAAAGAACATTGAAAAAAAAAGGGTTTAGCCCGTGCAGCAAGGTCAATCAAAAGGAGCGGGTCGCTTTCTTTGTTTTATTCCTCAACTTACTTTGCTGCTCGTTTTATTTTTTACTCTTTTTTTTTTTTCCTTTCATTAATATATGTCGGTGATGAGTCACCACCCGACAGTCGTCTGTGTTTTCTTTTAGTCCAGTCCTTTTGTGCGCTGTTTCCACGCTCTCGGAGCAAAGTCCAGGTGCCAAAACGTTTCGCCTTGGACGTTGCAGTTGTACGGAGCGTCGATCACCTTCTACGAGCGCATCCCCGAGGAGCTGCTGACCCCGAGCCAGCGGGAGAAACTGACCGGTGAGGACGGCCCGCTGTCGGAGGACCAGGTGGTCTGTGCCAACAAGTCCATCTGCATCCTGTCCCACTGGCCCTTCTTTCGCACCTTTGAGAAGTTCCTGCGCTTCCTCTACCGGCTCTCCTTCAACAAGACCTCCGTGGTGTCCGTCGAGAGGTGGGCATCTCGCTCTCTAAACCAAATTAGACATTCATGTTCAGGCAGCCTGAGGTCGGTCCGCCTTTGAAGTTCAGCGATGCCGGTTCATGGCCTGTCGAAACAGGGTACTACAAAAATCGTGAGGCGGTATGACTCCGACATAAATTGTGCGGCGCTCCGTTTGTTTGTTTGTTTGTTTTTTTGCCGGGGAGGGGGAAGTTCTTCTGGCAAAGGTCACTCATGCCTTTCACAGGGACCTTGAACATGCTTGTCATGTGGCTCCGGACAGGCACTAACAAGCTCTATCGCCTGTCGGTCAATTGCTCGAGGCCTCCGCTGCTCTTCAAATCCCAAAAACGGGAAAGGGAAGGGCTGTGGGGGGGGGGGGGGGGTTCGAAATTTTGCAGCGGGTTGTGTCACGTGATAACACAGATAAAGCAATGCTGGACGCGGGTAGGTTTTCGAACGCAAATGTATAAAACTTTTACCCTGGAGTAAGATTGAGTAAATATTGGAACACTGCCAAGGATTCGAGGGCTCGGCAGAATAGGTGGACAGCATCGGCAGGTGGCATGTAACGTCGAGTCTGACGAGAACCAAGGTCACCGAAAAGCGGAAAAAGTGAGGAGGACAATCATGATGTTCACTTGGCCGGTGTCCAAACAGACATTGGACTGCCGGACTCTTCAATTTCCACGATTTTTGACAGAGTCGTGTTTCCTCACGATTTTTGTAGTATCCTGTTTGGACAGGCCTTCACATGGTAAGGGTGTTTACGTAAGGCTGCCTTCCGTTCGAAGGCAGTAAGAGTATCATCCTCCATCGGAAGGGGTTGGGTGTCTGCCGTTGACGCCGCGTCGCACAGAGGTGAGACATCCGTTTTCGCTGGTCTGGCAGGCGAACATGGAGATGAAGGCGTCAGCCCGACTGGCCGCCCGTTACTGTGCCGGCCTCTTGGCTTAGAAAAGCGACGCCGCGTTCCGAATGACTGCAAAGTCTTCCTTTTCGTTGATGGCATTTTCTAGGTAAAAAGATACACATCCGAAATGGCAGGGATATTCGAAGCGGCCGGGCAATCGGAAAGTCACAACACCGGACAAGATGGCGACGCGGAATGCGGCGAGAAAGACATGTGTGGGCCTTTCCGCCAACCGCAGCTCGAGTTTTGTTTTTCCAGCCAATGAGGCATCTCCATTTCTCAAATGTCATGTTTTCTTCTTTTGTTGCTGCACGTGCTTTGGCGCACCCTCGACAGAAGAGAGTCTGAACATTTGAAAGAGCAAAGAATGACGTTTCCAACGAGGGTACGTGCACGGCACTAGGCCTATTCCACGCCTAACGCGCGCGCTTTGAAAATGGCGTTTGCGGGCCGTTTTTTCGCTTCCGAAGCGGAGTGCGTCCACCACCGACGCTCAATAAAACATGTTTTTCTCGCGTTCTAGGGCACAGATCATTATAATATTTTGTAAATAGATTCTTTATTAACCAAGGAATCGAAAACAAACAAAATCTGAAAACCCGTTTTTGGGATAAAAATCGCCGTTTTTGCCCCGTGTCCCGCCTTAAGGACAAGAAAACATTTTTTGAAATAAATAAACTAATGAATTGAGTGTGACTAAACTTCTCTCAAAGGTGCTTTTAGGTGGTGCATTTATCACATTGAAATTTCACGAGTGTTGGTTTTTGGAAAAAAATTTAAGCCTGTAGAAAGCCCGAGGCCTGATTCACGAAGAGCTTCTTAGGCTACGACAACTTAGCTAAGAAGTTTATGAGTTACGTACATCGTAAGAAGTACAGGTCTCGCAAGTGAAATAACTGCTCAGTTTTGCAGTGTAGATAACCTTTTGTGTTGTTCTGTTTTGACAGGTACATCTCTCACTTCATGCTGGACATCCCATTCCCCTCTGTTCAGCGGCCAAGAATATGGATTCAGGTTAGACACGGTTTTCCTGGGATTTTGAGTTCCTCTATTCCCGAGAGACAGCTAGACATGTTGAAAGCTGACAGACAAATCCCTGATTGAGTGAACTTGTTCAACAAATGCTATAAAGAAACTCTGTAGCAGGAAACAGAAACATTATTAGAATGCATTGTACCCTTGAATGCTTTGCAGCGCATCATGCAGCAAAGCTTGAGCAGGTGGAACAATTGATGCTGGCACTTTCAATGTGTGTTTAACCAAAAGCCAACAATGCCATATCTAGACTTTTTTCTGCAACAGCTAGTTTTAACGTGAAGGTATTAACTGTCCTATGGAGCTGAGCCTGCGACATCTGTAATCGTGAAAAACGGCACTTAAAAACTCGTAACCACAAAAAATGGCACCTAAATTGGCTGTGACCTGCGCTATAGGGGAGCATGATGTCACCGCCATAGCGCTGTGTGCAATAAGGAGACGTGGCACGTTGCTTGTAGGAATGCGCTGTATGTAGGAATGCTTTCACATTCTTACATGTAAGCAGTCTTAAGTGTCTACCGAATTTTTTATCAGGTAATTCTTCAGCAGTAACTTTTTGCACGCGTTTTGGAATCTTGCAGCTGGAAGATGAGCATGTCTCGCTGTCGCAACTTGAAGACACGCCGCTGCCATTGAGGTGAGCACACATAAACCAGAACCGTCTCACCATCACAGGCAGTGGAAACATCTTGTTGCATCCAGGCTCACTTAGACAGAGGATGATCATTACTATGTCAACATTCTCATTGTAAGAGGTCTCATAGATAAGTAGAAGGGTACCGTATTTATTCGAATCTAGGCCAATCATTTTTTTGAAAAATGAGAATACGAAACTGGGGGGGTCGGCTTAGATACGAGGATGCGGTTTCGCTGTAACCGTAATACGCCACCTCGCGGCGGTCATGAGCAAGCACAATCGCGGAAGCAACGCCATTACGCCATCTTGTTTCGCCGCATCGGTACGCCGTCCTCGTCTTCCGAAGATCAGCCCGTTTTTAGTCACTTTCGCTCGGACTGTGTCGCAATTGTTCCGGCTGAATGGCGCTGACTAGCCGATCTCATTACACGGCGGCCTTCAAGAGAAAGGTGATTCTGGTTGCGGAGCGAACATCAAATCTTCAAGCCCAGCGAGATTTCGGCGTCGACGAAAAGAATGTGCGCCGCTGGCGAAAGCAACGGGAGTAGCTCTTCAACTGTGCCGCCACGAGAAAGTCATTTTCGGGACCGCAGAGAGGTCGGCACCACGATGTGGAAACCGAAGTGGCCAGCTTCATAAGAGCGCAAAGAGCGGCCGCTCTTCCCGTCACTACAGAGACCATCCAGGCGAAGGCGAGGGAACTTGCGAAAGCACGGGGCGTACCTCGAACCGAGTTTAAAGCAAGCAGGGGTTGGCTCCAAAGGTTTATGAAGAGGTTCGGATTTAGTCTGCGACGTCGGACATCCGTTTGCCAGAAGCTTCCCAGCGACTTTGAAGAGAAGCTGATTGAGTTTCAGCGGTACATGATAGCGAAAAGAAAGGAGAAAGGTTACCTTCTTGGACAAATCGGCAACACCAATCAAACTCCCGTCTACTTTGACATGCCCGTGGCATACACCGTGAACGAAAAAGGGGCTAAAGAGGTGAAAGTACGCTCGGCAGGGTACGAAAAGCAGCGCACCACAGTGATGTTGTGCTGTATTGCCGATGGAAGGAAACTGCCAGCCTACGTGGTTTTCAAGCGGAAAACCTTGCCTGCTCAGGAAGTGTTCCTGAAGAACATCATCGTGCGGGTGAACGAAAAAGGGTGGATGAACAGTGCCATGGTCGAGGAGTGGGTGAAGTTGGTGTGGCAACGTCGTCCAGGCGCGCTATTATGCCGTGATTCACTGCTCGTTTTAGACTCCTACCGTGGACACTTAACAGATTCTGTGAAAACCGTGCTGAGTAAAGGTGGTACGGATCTCGCCGTCATTCCCGGAGACATGACTAGCCAGCTCCAACCCCTAAATGTTTCGATAAACAAGCCGTTCAAGGATAGGCTCCGCAAATTTTACACGGACTGGCTCACCGAACAAGAGCACGAGTTAACCCCGGCCGGTCGGATCAAGCGCGCCTCGTTGGGGCAGGTGGCGAGCTGGATCGCCGCTGCTTGGGACGACATACCGTCGGAACTTATCGTAAAGTCGTTCCAAAAGTGCTCTATTTCGAATGCGCTTGACGGCACGGAAGACGATGTGTTGTGGGAGGCAGACAGTGACAAAGAGTCAAGCAGCAGCAGCGACGACGACAGCGACTACGCGTGAAGCGGTGGGCAGTTCTACGTCACTACATTTTCAAATAAATATTCTGGCTTGTATCGTTTAGTGTTTCTAGTTTTCGATCGGCTTGCATTCGGGGATTTTTTTTTTATTTTTTTCAACCTTGCGATTTCGTAGGGTCGGCCTAGAATCGGAGCCGGCCTAGATTCGAGAAAATACGGTAATAGTATTCCGTGCCATGGTGTTACTAGTATTACCTTAGTATATTATATACCAACACGAGGGAACAAAATCGGGCTTGCAAGGTACAGCACTAATTTGCAACATAGGTGTGGGTAAATTGTGCATTGTTTCTTTCGTATTATGCCTCCTTATAGTAAAGCCACCTTTCACTTTCTAAATTGGTTTGTCAAATGCCTTTACCAATATTAAAGGTGTATTTTAACTTTGCTTTATTATATCAGTATCTTTAGGGTTGTGTGAATATTCGAAACCTTTGAATATAGAAGCAAATAATGCTATATTCGATTCAGACTTCAAATCGAATAGTACTATTTGGAAACTTCACATATTTTCGAAGTTTTTCAAAATGTGAGAAAGGTGTAAACCATAACTTAATTCGAAAGAAAGGGAAGAAAAGAACTCACAAAAGACGACATCCGCAATGATTTACATCATAAACCGCATGCTATGGTCGCCAGTGTCAACATCTGTGTCCTTTTTTTTTCTTCTTTTTTTGCTTCCGAATAAACTTCATCAAGCTCATTCTCCATGTCCAGCACTTCTAGCGCATACAGTAAAACCTCGTTATAACAAAATGGGATATAACAAACTAATGGATATAACAAAGCGACCATAATTCCCCTTGCTTGCTAATAGTGGGAAGAAATGGACATTGGCTATAACAAACTAATGGTTATAACGAAATAATTACGACTGCTCCTTCAACTTTGTTATAACGAGGTTTTACTGTACATGGTGTCGCCATGACCACATAGAAAACAGTGATAGCGGTACCGATAGTTTCTTCAATTTGTACTACTGCAAATTTTTTCCTAGAATTTAATCCGTGCCAGTTTTGAAGCGTTTTAACTATCCAGACGGCTTCGAAACCACTGTGCTCTAAGCCATTATAATTTTAAAAACTGGCAACCATACCAGGGCACACTTCTAGGTGGCGCGAGCTACCGCCCTTGATTCAAATTATGGCATTAATGGCCATTGTCTATCTGCATACATCATTATCTTGCTTTGTTCGTGCCTGTTTCATGACGTTCTTGCCCCCGCTACTTTTGGTTTGCATGTGCTGCTTTTGTAGTCACTTTTGCTTCATGCGAACTGTGAATGCAGTTCGTGCTTTCTTGGACAAGTTATGGACGATCAAACACAATGGACGATGTGCCAAAGTGCGACATGCGAGTTCTTTGACCGAGGACCCAAAAGCGCAAAATGTCGTTCGTGCGAGGTGTGTCTAAAAATACCGACAGGTACGACCACCACCCTTGTCAATCACCTGAAACGTCATCCCAGATCGTTAAAAGAATTTTACAAGGTGCGTGCTGCTGAAAGTGCAAAGATGACGGCAGAAACCAAGAAATCTGATGGCAGTGTCCCAACTCCCGGACCCTTCAAGTCAATGTTGAAGAAGGACAGTCAGCGAGCAAAAACGCTGACGAAAAAAAGACACTGTTTGTTGCCACAGGCCTACAATCTTATTCTATTGTCGAGGAGCCAAGGTTCTTGGCATTAATGCACGTTGCTGTTCCTGAATACTAAGTCCCTTTAAAGACTACATTGCCCCGGAGTGTGGTGCCGGAGCTTTACGCCAAAGAAAGAGTGTATTAAAGGCGAGTTGCACAACCACTTCGAGAACGGAACCCCTGCTATACCTTAACGACGGACGGGTGGACGTCAAGGACGGGGTACTGTTACATTTCGACGGCGATGTGTGCTCAATATGTGCTCGATGCACACATCCAGCAGCCCCGTAACTACAACCTGGCGTGCCAGCCTATGCCCGAGGGCCACACTGCTGAGAACTTGAAGAGCTTCCTGCTTGATTTGGCCACAGAATGGGGACTTCCACAGGACATTCCGGTCATCATTGTTACTGACAATGCAAGGAACTTTCTGAGTGAAGTATCACGAATGACATTAACCTGTCTACAGTGCCTTGCACACACATTGCAGTTGTGCATACAGAGTGCCAAGAAAGAAACGCCGGACTTTGATGAGCTCTTTGTCAAGGCCCGAGCAGTTGTAGGGCATTACAAGCAAAGCTCTCTGGCAAGAAGTCGCGTGAAAGAGGTTCAAATTCCTATGGGCTTGGAACCTCTTGAGGTCATTTAGGATGTTGCCAGATGGTGGAACGGCGAGTATGGCATGATGTCCCGCCTCCTCAAGCTGCGTCCAGCAATTTCCTTGGACCTGTTGGAACAAGACGCTTTCTATAACCTGACCTCAAGCGAGTCCCGTCATGTGGCATCAGTGACATCGGTCCTCAAATGCGTTGAGGAGGCAACACGGGAATCGTGCTCCGAGAAGCACCCCACTCTCTCGCAAGTGGTACCATTAGTGCATTGTATGCAGGTCCTGCTGACTCAGCAGTGGCAGAGTGGTGGAGAGGAATCAGTCTTTGCGGGAAACCTGCTTCGGAGCATCAAGTCCCGATCTGTAGACATCAAGTTACAAAATGCTTGTGCGTTAATAAGCACTTTACTGGACCCCCGGTTCAAGGCGGTTTGCTACACTGCTCAGAGTGCGAAGTAGTGGGCAAGGAACCAACTCTGCACAGCCGTAGAGAAGAGCCTCCCCCCGGAAGAGAATTTCGAAGAGTCCCAAAGCGCACCTGCGCCACCGGCCAGCACCACCAGTGGTGTGTGGGATGTTTTTGGAACTCTGGCTTCTACTAGCACCTCAAGCATCTGGTGCCTCGAGCCTCACAGGTGAGCAGGAATACCTTTACTCACCTGTGAGGCCCCACTCAGAGTACCCCTACCTTTGGTGGAGGAAGTTTGGGAAGGACAAGTACCCCCTGCTGGCAAAGGTTGCCCTACTTTACCTTTCGGTTCCGGCGACGCAAGTCTCAAGCAAAAGACTGTTTTCAACGTCGGGCAACATCGTCACGAGCAGGAGGGAGCTCCTTCTTTCAGATTATGTGGAGCAGTTGGTGTTCATCCACAGTAACATTCAGTAAGCTAATGACATGAGGCACAGGCTGGTACACCCAGATTCAGTAAACTTGGGAAAGTTTGCTCTCTTGCATCTGTTGCTGACTGTCTTTCCAGTAGCTTAGAAAACATGTTGAAGAAGACTTGGCTAGACAAGCCATATCTGTGCAAATTATTGAAATTCTGTTTCTGTCAATTTTCTCATGCCTATATCAATGATTGCAGAATATCCACTTCGAAACTATTCATTCAAAATAATTATTCACTTCGTATTCACTACGAAGTGAAAATTCACCAATTCTAAGCTCGTTATAACAGACCCTGATTTTGACCAAGATTTCGGTTTGTTGTAAAAGGAGTATGCAGATATGAAGTTGAGTCAATGATATGTAGAGGAAAACCAACCGAACTTCACAAATCGGTATGTTATATCCAAATGTCTTGTAACCAGGTCTGTTGTAATGAACTTAGAGTGCATTCGTACATCCCTAAATATCTTGGCTATCTCAGTCCTTAGTGTAGAAAAATTGTTTTTACTAGCCTTTGCTGGAAAATAAAAATTATTGGACCTTACCAGGCTTCAAAAATGCAAAATAAAAGTTTACAAAATGCAGCACCATACTTTAAATCAAATGTGCTAGTATTAGGCTCTAGCAATAGTGTTTTCTATTAAAGCAAGGAAAATGGCAATTTTAATAAAAAAAATTGAAGTTTATGTATTTGTAACCTTTGATTAAAGAAAGATATCTAAATATTTTCACAAAACTATGCACCATCGTCCTGCATCTTTGCAATAGATTACTTAGCTCTACTTTGCAAAGTTTATTCCTGCAATTTCCTTATTGTGTGTTCGATCCATTTGGCTTTCACTGTGCTGCTAACAGGTACTCTATCAGTGCCCTGTATCTTAACACTATCCATATTGGGCTGTTTTATATTGTGATAAGTATGTTAACATGGCAGCACCGCATACCTAAAGAAAACTGGCTACCTACACCAGTTGTAATTTTTTATATCTTGAACCATTCTGTTTAGTGCAAGCTAAACAACATTGAATTGGCGCAATATGGCCTCCGTTGTCAATGCGCCACTAAAACCCTAATCATCATCATCATGGCAGCACTGCATTAAAAAATCATGAGCCATTCCACTTTGTGAAGGTGGAAGACCAGTGAAGCTGTTTAGCGCACAACACAGACATGACAGAATTTTGAACAAAGGCACAAGCACATTTGTTGTCTTGATCGGTGGTCATCTTGACGAAAGGTACGCACACACATTTATTGTTGTCTTGATCGGTGGTCATTATTTTGCGTGGACGACTATCGCCACCCCGAGGAACTGAAGCAAACTACACGCGCGACGAAACCGCCACTTGGTGGAAAGCAGACACGCGCAACGGGACCACCACCCCGGGAGAGCGGAAGGAGAGGAAACTAGGCACATGAGCACTTGAAACGACGACAAAGAGAGGGCGGTGCAGGCGTCTTAAATTAGCGGAGCATCAAGGGGAATGCAGAAAATCGTGTTCCACGCGCCGCACGGGGCGGTGTCTGCAGCAGTAACTGTTCTAAAGCAAAAGCCTAAAACAAATGGCATCTTGCATGTGCGTTGTCAACACTTTAGTTTGGTTATTTACTTTGAATGTTTTATACGTAGAAGGCGTGCGGGTGCAGCGCGTGTGGCGGTGCGAGCGTAGAGTTTTTGGTCACGCACACGAAAAATTCACAGAACCCTAGCCATAAACAGCTTCGCTGTAAATTATGCTTTTTCGACATGTTCATCCCTTCCTTGCTTGTATTGCAGTGGAGCATCCTTCAAGGAGCTGCTGAAAACATTGGGGCCGGACAATTGCCTCTGTGTGCTGTTGCTGGCGCTGACCGAGCAAAAGATGTTGTTCCACTCCTTGAGGCCCGACGTACTGACAAGCGTTGCCGAAGCAGTTGTGGCAGTGAGTTGCATCTGCCACAGAAAAATTCTTTGTGTTGCTCACAGTTGTGGCAGTCCTTGCTGTAGTCTGGACTCACCCGAATTTAACGGAATGATAACAGATTCATTGACGGAATGCTTTTTGTACTCTGATAACATCTTTCTGAGCCTCCTTTGCTAGCAGTTGTAGCAAAAGTAAAAACCTAATGGAGGACAGTGGTTACAGGCTTTTGTTGAGCCAGTTGGTACATGTTGGTGAAAGGTCAACTTGGGCTTACAGAAACAAAAGAAATAAAGGACTGGACAATACAGTTGACCGCTCATAACAAAAAAAGTATTTTTGGTGTGCCACACCCAGGTAACTTGTATGATGAAATTTCGTGGGTAATGTTAAAGTTAATATCATCAATATGTAAATTTTTTTATAACTGTTCTAATACTTTAGCAGAGCGAACGTTTGAGAGGGGGGTTGCATATATCTGAATAGCCTCTGAAGAAGTCATATGAAGAAATGTACTAAAGCAAAGTTGTTAGTCAGCGGTTTTTAACTTATTTCGTCCTTCCTTCGTTAATTTCTATAAGTTCACGCTAACCCTTCACCTGGGAGAACAGTATCACAATAATTCGTAAATGACGAGATCACGCTTCTTGTAAATTTTTTGTACATATGAGGTACATTTTGACTAGACCTTTTCCTCTATGATTGAAACTCCAAAAAGGATGCTGCATTTGTAGGTACATGTGCTGCACATGCTCACCCTGTCTGTAAGAAAGATGGGAAGTAGATGATGAAAATGAGACCGAAACTTTCTACTGCAGATGCCAGTGTCAGGGTGTCTAACGACCGGGAAAACCGGAAATTGTCAGGGAAATTCTAATTACTGGGAAAAATCACGGAATTGTCAGGGATATCTTCAAAAAGCGAGCCCAGTCAGAGAAAATGAGCCGGAAACGCCATAGAGTGCCTTGAGCAAAGACTTGAGGACTTATGGGCATAAAAATAGGCAATAAATTCTGCTTAGAGCTGAGCGTTGGCTCTGTTCTTAGATGTAGAGTGAACTACCCGATGCAAAGGGGACAGCCGACAAATCTAGTCCAAGCCTTGGATTGGATTGGATTGAATGCGCGACAGTAGGCTAGATACAGTTAGAGTTACTAGATTTAGTCACTGATCTCTACAATAGGGGGCTGGTTGGCGCATTGAGCAGAGAGGTTTGACGCCACCAGAAGTAAGCGGCTTGTCCCAAAAGTGAGCACTTGACAGGCTTTTCAACCCTGCCGAGTGCTGGTTCACACAGCGATCAGGGCGCTGGGTGAGCTCCGCTGGCGTTGCTTCTCCACAGTGCACCTGTGCTCGGCAAGAAGCGTGCTCAACGGGGCTAATCCTTTGCAATCAGCACTTGGAAAAATATGAATATCGCAGTTCATCTCGAGGGGCATATCGAATAGCTTAATATATGAAGCTGCTATTCGAAATGTTGAATATTTGCACAACACTATAAATGAGTGATATAGTCTGCTCTGTTTTACTGTTCACCAGTGAGATCTCATGCCATCTTAACTTGTTTTTTCAAAATTTTATTTTTCTTCAGCTGATGTTTCCATTCCACTGGCAATGTCCGTATATCCCGCTCTGTCCCTTGGGGCTCTCGGATGTGCTCAGTGCTCCGGTGCCTTTCATTGTTGGTAAGCTAACTGCCGAGTTTTCTCCACTGTACTTGACTTGCTTCTTTTTTATTTGGTTCTTTTGGCTGATTGCTACCCATTTACACCTCCTACAACAGGTGTGGACTCGAGGTACTTTGACATGTACGACCCACCCCAGGAAGTGGCATGTGTGGATCTTGACACCAACACCATCTTCATGTGAGTTTTCTAATAAAATGTGGGGGGAAAAAAAAAAAAAATAAAGTCTCACACTTAAACTTGTTTTTTAATATCTTTTTTTTTTTTTTTTAGAAATGAAGAAAAGAGCTTTCTGAACCTCAAGCTTCTACCAAAGGTAAAAAGGACCTGTACTATTTTTTGAGCTCTCATTGCCTTCGTTTAGCATTCCAGATACATTAGCCTTTACCGTATGTACTCGCATAATGAACACTCTTTTTCCCGGAAAATTCACACGTGTAAATTTCTGCATTTACACAATTTGCGCAAACGTCATTTTAGGTGCCAATATGACATGCAGGGTACTGTGGCACGTCTCCACTGACGGAGGCGTGCCCATGGCTGGTCGTGGGCGCGCCACGCTAACCATGCTCTATAAATTGCAAACCTTTTTTGGGGCGCTTTTGGCATGCCTTTTGCCCGAGGAAAAGCGCCCTACGAAGCCCACTCAGCACAGAGAGCAACGCGACCGTTCTTAGGCCTTACCACTTTCACGATTTTGCTGTCCGAAAGCTGACCACAGACGAAGGCATGTTTGTTGACATCAGTGCATCCGATGGGCGAAGCATGTCCGGGGCTGGGCAATTCCTTGACCCCAGCTTCATCAGGTGTACTTGCCACTCGGTTTCACTACCGATCACTTCCACAACTATGCACTTGCAGCCATTACGAGAGCGGCTTTGCTTGGCTTGACTTACCCTGGCTGCTGGGCAGCAAAAGAAAATTGGCTTGGTGGGCTTGGTTGCTAGCTAAGTTGGCTAAGTTTGACACAGTTTGAGACTCGCAGAGCTGGAAATTGGAGGTGCGTTCATTACGCGAGGAAAAAAGTCCAAATATTGATGCCCGTTGGAGGGGCTGTGTTCATAATGTTAGTAAATACGGTATTTCTATGCCATATTTGTCCAATTCTAACACGCACGGAGTTTTCACACCCAAGAGGTTCTAACCATTAAGTATGTTCAGTGTGGTATTTACTGGAAGAATGTGCTGGGAATTTGTTACACTCTTTTTGGTTAAATCCCGAGCAGTTTGATGTAGTGACAGTTCTAAAATTAGTACTGCATAAAAACTGGGGTACGCAAAGTATTAAATTAATAGTCTGGAATTTTTATGTTTTACTTTCAAACACTCTTATGTACGCTGCAACCAAATACTTGCCTGCCTTTTATTTGCTTTGTCTTCAACTGGCAGCTTTATTTGTGGTGTGTGGCAAATTTAACTGACTGTCCTCTGCCCTGACCTCCCCTCTCTTTTGTTTTTAATTCCACAGAAGGCCGTACGAACATTACGGAACAACTTGCAAACTCTGTACGAAAAAGTGTGTGTGTACGAGAACAATGTTGCCAACGTCGCAGCTGCGCAGAAGGCAATTCCCGGCGACATCGGGCCTTTTGACCGCGAGATTGTCCTTCATAAGAAAGAGGTAAGCTCCATCCCATTTTCTATACCAGTAATTTTTCAGCCATCAGATTGTATTGGTGTATCAATTTTTGTGCTGAAACCTTGCAGGAACAGTCTGGGTGCTTGTTGTCATTATAATGTTTGTGTTGTAACTTTTCACAGTTGATCACCTGCATGTGTTAGCTGTAGAAATACTCTAATTGACTTTATTTTCGCAGGCTCAATATTTTGAAACTTTTGTGAAGCTCGGTTTTCGGGAATATTTCACAGGCAAAAAGTTTCGGGATTTGAAGTGATACGAGCAGCATTCATTACCACGGTAACTTTTTGGCAATATTTTTCGAGATGCAAAGACTTGGTTCTCATAAAATTTAATTTGCATGAATATATTGTGTGCATTTATCAGCCCATAGTGACGAATGCATAGCATATCGCACCAGATCACAAAATTTAGTGCCCACGAAATAGTCTCAAAAGCTGCGCTTGCAAAATTTGCGAAATATCGAGCCCCCGAAGATCAAGTCGTTTACACTACCATAAAATTCCGTGGAAGCGCCCGCTTTGTTCAGGCGTTCACTATTAACAATTCCCAAACTTGGGAATTCTGCAGGTTGTGCATTAAGGGAGGGGGGTCATATGCCTAAGTTTCAAAATTTTAAAAAAAAAATTCATTTTTCAATTTTGATGTTTTTGGTTTTAGAAACTAATTTTACACCCTTACACTAAATTTCATGACCATGCGCCAAATAGTTGCGTTGATATAAAATATTTTCAGTGCATTGTGAGGCAGTAACAAAGTAATGGAGTTCAATGTTTGAATGCATTTTTCTCAGTTCAACTTTTTGCTGCAAATTTCATACGAAGGAATCTTTTGTTCGAAGGTACAATTTTTCTGATACCACAATCAAGATGTTTCTGAACTGAAATTTACTGGGGAATTGGGCTATCTACTTTATTTTGTTTTAAGTTAAAGTCCTCATTGAGAAAAATCAATTTATTCAAAAATTGACATAGGTCAGATATGCATTTCTTATTTTGAGGTAATCACTCTTTCTGAAATATTTACTTTTAAGGTATAAAAACTAGATAGTCCAAAGTCCCATATCCCCTACTTTATATTCAAGCAGTTAAAATGATGCTTAATAGCTTCATTTGCATATCATAGATTTCTTAACGAAAAGTGACACATCATCTTATGCAGGTATGTAATGTTGTCTTAGAGAGCTGAAAGTTTGCACAGTATGCCTACATCTGAAGTTAAATCTCCCTTTCAAATTTCATTTCGATCACTTGAGTAGTTCAGAAGTTCAACCTCTAGCTAGTGTCCCCCTTTTAAGCACCCGATTTGACTGGACAAGTGCCCATGCATAGATTAACCCAGTTTTCAGTGAAAGAGGGGTGGGGCACTCTTCTGGTATTTTACAGTGCTTGTATCAGCGTTTGGTGTGGTGATTTAGTAAAGATTTTCTCTGGAAAAAGTGACATGAGGTTTTTGCTGTAACTACTAAGACAGTGAATCACCATAAAAAAAGACCCCAAACAGTGCACATACCAAGCGTAGGTGATTGTTATCGGCAATCCCACTGTTAGTGAGTGTATCTATATCGACAGGGCAATGAACCTTGGTTCGACAGGTGGCGCCACTTTGTGTGGAATTTTCGCAACTATTTTGATGGTCATTATCATTGAATCCAGTCTCAAACTCAAATGTCTGAGTGCCCATGGAACCGTCGCAGCACGCGCGCCCAATTGTTCGGTGGCATGGCCCACCCAAGATTGCACTTTTTGGCCCCCAGTCACACCGACTTGCCGCTGATTGAGACACCTCCCATTCACTGCCCCGGAGTCGTAGGTTCCATTCACTGCCCCGGAGTCGTAGGTTTACTGTGCACGCAGTTGCTACGCCTCACTCTCCCTTATTCTCTCTAACTCGCACTCACTCTTTCTCACAGAGACGCCTGGAGCTGGAGATCCAGGAGGCTTTCTTGCGCTTCATGGCCGGCATCTTGAAGGATTTCCGGGCATACCTCAAGCCCATCACCACCGCCCCCAAACCGGGTGTCACCGACCCCAACTCGCTGTTTGACCTCCAGGGTGAGTGGCATTGCCTCCTGGTGAATTGCAGAGAGTGAGAAAGAGAGAGAGCGATGAGCAACTTGCTGGCCAGTTTATGCACACATCACCAAATTGTGTAAAGGTCAACACCAACCACTTGTACCGACATGTGCGATGCCTCCGTATTTCACGGTGGTTTCGTACGTCGGAATGTTTGACCTTACATCCTCAAATACGGTTATCTTGAATGCACTATGACCTACATTTGCAATATTGATACATTTTGTACATGCCTCTTTCTCTTGTGCATTATACCAAAAACAACTTTATTTTCGTTTGCTCAATAGTGCAAATTTTGCGAAGTATGTAGTTTGTGAATATTTTGCAGACAGAATTTGGTGATTTTGAGTGACATGCTATGTTTTGCCATGGGGCGACATATATGCATCATCTATTTTTCGCAATGTTTTTTAAGTCGTGAAGTTTACAAAAATTGTGCCTTTTACGGTATTGTGGCGGCTATTATAAAGAGATACAAAACATGACCTTGATTTGTTTAAAGTCTTATAGACTTGTCAATTTTGTATTTGGTACGACCTTTCTTTGGCCCCATAGCACCTCCGAATGGAAAGCAGCTACATACGTATATGCAAAGTGTCCTCGAGTGTTGTTTGGGCATAAAAAGTTTTTGTATAATTACAGTCAAACTCGTTTATATCGGACTCATAAAAAAATGTCTACCAGATCGATATAGCGGGTAATTTGATATAAAAATTTTAATGAATTTGACTCTCAAAAATCCACTTTCTGCTCACATATTACACAATGAAATAGTCTTGCATCTTTTGCTGCTTTTTCAACGTTGTATCCGCAAAAGCAATATTTATCTACGCTATCGATGGACTCCAAAATGCTGAGGTCGCTGCCTTCTATATCTGCGCATTAGCGCCGAACTATGCTGAGAGCACGGAGCACGTCCGAGCAGGAGCACCTTCTCCTGCAGAGCTCAGTTTTGCTCTGCAAGTTGGCAGGTGGCTGCGTTAGGGGAAAGCCAGCTAGCAGAGCAAGCTGGCTTTTTAATGCGAAAGCATTAACTGGTCTCATGGAGCGAGCTGACGTCATCGGTCTGAAGCGCGAAAACGGCAGATAGTTTCCTTTGGTTCCATTGGCTGGCCCGCATCGACGGGGCTCCCATTGGCCGCTGCGTTCGTCAGTTTCCACGACCGCTCACCCCATGGCGTTGCGTGTCCATCAGCGCAGAGCGTCCAGGTCACCAGTGGAGCACACGCGCCGACCGGCGAACGAAAAGTATGCAGCAGACGAAAAAGGGAGCGGACGAGTGGCTTGCATGCTTTCGCATTCACCACTCGTAAAGAATGCTTAGGTGTACCTCAATCTTTTTTTTTCTTCCGGCGGCCGCGTCAACCGTCCGGAAGAAAAAATAATATTCTCTTTTGTGGACGGTGTGTGTGGGGGGGGGGGGGGGGGGGGGGGAGCACGAAGCATTTGCTCCCCGCTCCCTCCGCAAAGTTTTTTTTTTTTTTTTTTTTTTCTAGGCAGTTGACGCGGTTGTTTAGAAAAAAAAAAGCCAGCGTGCTCTGCTTGGGGGAAAGCTGGCTTTCCCCCAATGCGGCCGCTTGCGTCGGAGGAAAGCAAGCTTGCAGAGCGAAACGGCGCTCTTGGCAGTTCAATATATCGGTAGCGGCTGCTATTTTTGTTCGATGTAACCATAGTTTTTGCTATGTGTTATCACGTAAGCATTACTGTGCACAAATATTGTTTGATATAAAGAATTATTTTATGTAAACTGGTTCGATATAGTCGGGTTTGACTGTATATGCAAGTGAACAGAGTACCATGAAAACTGCTGCGAAGGTGTTTTTAGATGGTGCATTGATCATTCTCCGATCTTCTGAGTGTAGGTAGGTTTGTGGGCACCACATGATACAAACACTTGAAGTCATCTTAAAGATGAGCACCCTAAAGCAGATACTGACCCGACGGTTTGCTTCTGTTTTCTTCCCGCGCAGAGAAGAAAACAAGTTTTTCTTTTCTTGATCATTTTCCAGAGACCTACACTCGAGAAAATTTGAGTATAATCAGTGCTCAACCTAAAATCACCTCTGTGAAAAATGGCGTGGCACTCCATTCGCTGGCTTATTTGCACGAATATTTTTACGCCCGAATGGCACTTGAGAACATCCCGTGACATTGCAAGAGACATCCTTCTGCTAGCTCTTTTTTTTTTATGCATGATAGTCTATGCCCAAATTAAAATGTGTGTAATGTAAGTAGTTATACTGTGTTGCAGCCACCGTTGCCAATAATTGTTTTTGCATTAAAAAAAAATCTTTCTTTATATGGCGTAAACGATTTAATTTTCGCGTAAACTTCATTTTTGCGAAATTCACAGTTTAAGAAATGATGCGAAAAATTTATCGCGCAAATATATCGGCTCTAACAAGGAATGCATAGCATAAAACTCTGAATAGCGAAATTTTATGCCCTTAAACTATTCCCTCCGCAAAATCCGTGAAATTTGCAAAATATTGATCCCGCGATTATGAGGTGGTTTACAGTAAACTGAACCTCCCATGTTTCCGAAGAAGCACGAGGAGACGCATTATGGTGACTTTTTGTGGTCACTGACTGGACATAAAATGTTGACTGCGAAGGACGGGCGGATCATGCCGGTGACAAGACAAAAACTCGCTTGCAGGCTTCCTGAAGAGCCGGGACAAGAACTACCACCGCTTCTACTCGATGATGATGCACACGCAGATGTTCACGCGCTTCATCGAGGAGCGCTCCTTCGTCTCGGACAAGGATGTGAGCCTGGCGTTCTTCGACGAGTGCTCCGAGCGCGTCGACGCCAGCGGGGAGTCCTCGGAGCACCTGCTCCTCGAGGTGAGCTTCCCCTCCTCGCTCCTTTGCTCGACGCCCTGCTTTCCGTTTGGCGGTCGTGTGGTGCACCGAGAGAAAGTTGTCCTGTTTTGCGGACTGTGCTCCGCAAAAGCAAAGTATGGTTGGAAATGAAATAAAGAAAGTTTTTCCTTAGCCTTCCGCCAGGTGTACAGAGTTTGCATGTTAAAAGATTCCCGTACACGGGACACCTTGACAAATGCCTGCTTTATTATCTCTCAAAGAAGCGTGTGTCATACATGAAATCATCATGATCATACTTTGTCATTCACAAACTCTATCGCAACTCCTTGTAATGAACAATCTAAAAAAAAACTGTGTAGTTTGCATTTGCAGATGGTCTGCACTGTGTAAAAGTTGAACTTTGAAACATGTAGTCTGGAAAATATGGCACTCTGGTTCATGTTTACAGGGCCGACAATAATCAATCGACAACTGTTTGTGCCCCAAACAGCCGACAGGCCCTAGGAGGGCTGTACATACAGTAAGGGAAGAAACATGACTAAATCACAAGTGATACACTTTCCTTGAACTTCTAAAAACAAGTGAAAAAGTTCATAGTTGAATTAATTTATTTATCTTTTATAAACTATATGCAGTTCGGTAAGTTCATAGCTGAGTTAATTTATTTGTCTTTTATAAACTGTATGCAGTTCGATGAACCCATATTCTATATTTTCAGACGTACCGACACAGATTTCGATGTCGCACTAGTGTTTTTTTTAATGTTTAGATGAAGATTTAAGAGGCCTCAATTCTCTCAATTCTAATGTTTTACAAAACTCTCGTTTGAAGCTGGCCTAGAAATTTCTGACAAAATATGCTGTCTTTGGGAGCCTTATTACGATCTAGGAAATCATTGTTTTAAAGCACTTTGAAACTGTTTTTGGTCACTCTTTAAACAATGCCTGAAGAGATTTTCAAAGCCCAATTTTACTGTTTGTAAAATGTAGGAGTGGTTCCACAGATAATGGGGACTTTTAGAACAACGTACACAATTTTAGCGTACGCTATTGCTAATTTAGCGCTTCCGTTAGTGCATGCTACACAAGAGAGTTTTAGAACATCTTGTAAACCCTGAGATGGGGAACGATAAAAAAACGGACAAACACAACCGTTCTTTATCGTTTTTTATTTTTATCGTTTTTTTTTAACCATTTTTTTATCATTTTGTTTATCGTTCCCCATCTCAGGGTTTATAAGATGTCAATTAATTACCAGCTCGCCTGCACTTTCTCACTGCTTAGGAGTTTTAGAGGAGCATTTCACAGCCATGACGCAAAAGCTTAAGCATCTCGCGCTTGCAACGCTACCAAGATACAGTCACAATTTTTGTTTCACACACGAAATGCTGTAAATTGAGAAAAAAAAGTGAAAGCCGTTTACAACTCCCTGTAACACCGAATTAGAGCGCAGCTCTTGAGGAGGAGGAGGAGGGAAGGGTACTGGGGGGGTGAAGTGACCTGGGGGGGGGGGGGGGGGTCACGTGACCTTGGGGGTCACGTGACGATGCCTATGATCTCATCAGTGACGTCACTGATGACATCATCAGTGACGATGACGATGCGGACTCCGATGACGTCATCAACGACGATGACGATGCGGATGCCGGTGACGTCATCAGTGACGTCACTGATGACGTCATTCGTGATGATGACGATGACGATGCGGATGCCGGTGACATCATCAGTGACGTCACTGATGACGTCATCAGTGATGATGACGATGCGGATACCGGTGACGTCATCAGTGACGATGACGTCATCGGGGGGGTCACGTGACCCTGGGGGTGGTCACGTGACCTCGGGGGGGGGGGGGGGGGTCACGTGACTTCAGGGGGGGGGTCACGTGACCTCTGGGGGTCACACCTTGGGGGTCACGTGACCTTGGGACGACCTTGGGGGTCACGTGACCTTGGGATGACCTTGGGGGTCGCGTGACCTTGGGGTGACCTTGGTTACGGCGACGCCGACGCCGCTCAAGCCGGGAACGGGCCCCTAAGAGCTGCGCTCTAAAACAAGTTTTTTGGACCAGGGAATTAGTTTAGATTTGTTTAAACATGAGAATGTGACGCGAGCAGTCAACCGGTCGTTTCCGCCTGCATTGCCTCGGCAAGAAAGGTCTTGTGTACCGACCTTCGCAAACTGTACCTTTGTTGATAAATGTTCGCTCCTCGCAAGCATCAAGTTGCCGGTAATCATTGCCCGCCTTACTGGGTTTTCCAAACCAAGTGCAATGTCTTCCCATATAGAAAATCACAGTCGTGAGGATGCCGCTGATGTCGCGCCTATAACGCCGCCAAAGTGGCCGCAGCCATGGTCCTGGGAGCTGCCATTTTTTAACTGTGCTCGTCTTGGCTTTAGCCAACCTCTTATCACGAATCCTCTTTCGATGAGTGCAAAGACTGTTTGCGTACACGCACAATTTCCCAAAAATGGCTAATAAACGACAGAAATGTGCACCAACTTTTGGTCTTCACAATTGCTTGCACGAACATGAATAAAACATTGCATTTGCTCTCTCGCACATCGATTGAAGTTGCGGTTTCGGCGGCTGTCTAGATTTTTCACGCTCGGTCTTGTGGAAACCAAAAATTGTAGAAAAACGTTGTGTGCTACTGCAAACTGCCCTCAGAAATTTTAAAAAAAAATATCTACTTTAATATTTTGAGAGATAGCCCACCTAGAATCGAAAGCAAATCAGGTGAAGAAAAGGAGTTAACTAATTTTCGGTGTGCGACAAAAAAAAAAATGGCAAAAATGTTAGTTTTAGATTTTGTTACCTGCGAAACTTGTGATTGCAGGGAGGGGCGATGAACCAAAGGCTAATGTCCTTCCCAGTCAGCAATGTTCACTTAGCCTTGGCTAAAAAACGCCATTTCTGCCACGGTCACCATTGACCGGGTCCCTGTACTTGCTAGAAGTGGGCTATCTTTTGGTGTTTTTTTGAAAAAATAGCAACTGGTGCCAAAAATATGGGGTGAGTTATCTTTTGGGGTTGGAACATCTTTCGAGATATCAAGGTTCCTTGAAAAAAATACTTAGAATTTTCTTCTGTGTAGCCGTCCACGTGTGTTGAGGAACACTGTTTGTTTTGGCTTGCCTTTCACAGGTGGCGGGATCTGCGCATAGCCACGAACACACGGTGTTCATCTCGGCGCCCGAGTCGACACAGCCGCCGTCCGAGAAACAGCAGGCAGCCGCAGTGGCTTCGGCCGCATCTGTGGCTTTTGGCGGCTTCGGCTCCCTGAATCCGGCTCTGTACCACCGCCAGCCCGCAACATCTTTGTTGAGCGTGCCCAGCGAAGGCGCACCGACCGCCAGTCCCATTGCCAGGCGAACCAAACAGGAAGTGAAGTCTGCGCTCAGGGTAAGGCGGAAGATTTCTGGTTTCGACAAGGTTGATAAATTTAGTTCATTTGTTTTCATATTTCAGTATCATTAAGTGTGGCATGCAATGGCCTATTACCGTATTTGCTCAAATATAATGCAAGTTTTCTTCTGTTTTTTTTTGTTTTTTTTCGGAATTACTTGGGAATTTTGCAAATTACACATTAACCGTTTGATTTGATCGGACAAGCACATGTCTGGATTAACCCAGTTTTCAGTGAAAGTGGGGTGGGCGCTCCTCCGGTATTTTATGGTATGCGTAAAATTCTTTTTTACAATCTTGAGTCATGTGGTTTCTGCCTCTTTCAGGCTGCAAGAATGCAGGCTGAAAATCCAGTCCAGTGGGCAAAGTGAGTGATGTTCTCTCGTGCGTGAACCACTCCCTATATTGCCACGTTCACTGACAAAAAAACCTGCATTGCGTTCCCTCCAGGTGTCTGGCAGGCACCACCTACAGTGTGTGGTTCCTGCACCTGCCAGCGTACTCCAAGACGTTTCCTTCCAAGGTGAAGTCGCTGCGACTGGCCGACGAAGTTCTTCATCGCATGCAGTTCCTCAGGCTCCCAGCCCCAGATGAGGTTCGTTCCCCTCCCCCCCCTCTAAAACTTCATCACCCTGACATTGTTTTTTAGGCAGATTGGGCTTGATGTGGGAGCGTATTAGCTTTTCTTCCTCTTCTCGGCCATGTACTGAAATAATAATGTATCGCGCTTACTAAGTGAATGTCCACATGTCTTAGGAGAGGTTAAGCCTTCAATTCACACTCATCTCCATATTGTACTTTGTTGCATGTATACCGATGTGCTGTTAAAGGCAGAAAGCTCATGCTGTAGGTATTCTTAGCCTGTCATGGACTACAAAGACATTTATACACTGGTGATGGAAGTGGCAGGCCTAACACACATCGCCTACATTTATTGCTTGTGAGTGCTCTATGTTCTTTTACAGTGATAGCGGTTATGGGCTCTTGTCTGTTGTCTGTGGGCTGCGGCAGCACAGGGGGGAGAAAGTATCTACGGTTTTGTTTTGACGTTTCAGGTTTGCTACCGGATTCTGATGCTGTTGTGTGGCCAGTACAGCCAGCCGGCACTGGCTGTCAAGGTGCTGTTTGACATGAAGAAGCATGGCATCCAACCTAATGCCATCACCTACGGTTACTACAACAAGGTAATTCTGCCTCACTAATTTCGTACCGGATTTATACGTTGTACAGGGTGTCACAAAAGAAAATTTACATGGTGTGAAGCCGTGGAGCCCGCTGGGTTCGCCGTGCCTCCGCAGTGGGGTGCGTAATGTCACCGCCAGAGCGCCGTGTGAAAATGGAAGACGTAGCGCGTTGCTTGTAGGAATGCTTTCGCATTCATACACGTAAGCAGTCGCTCTCTTTATGAACAGAATGTAAGGGTGCAAGTGAGGTGGAGTATATCAAACATTTTTGTGAAAAACCCGAGACTGAGGTATTGACAGACGATGACAAGGAAGAGAAGGAGAACGTCTCAAACAGAGCTGTGTTTGAGACGTTCTCTTCTTCCTTGTCATCGTCTGTCAATACCTCAGTCTCGGGTTTTTTACAAAAATGGCCTCTTAGTCTTTTTTTAGTTTACTACTCTCTTTTTTTGTATTCATGAACAGCTAAGGCTTTGATAATGATGCGGAGAAACATTACTTTATTTCTACAGTAGTCTGTAGTGGTGCAAATTCAGAAAGACTGGAGCAACAATTTTCAGTTGAGCCATCAAAGTGGACCTATTGACACGTAACATTTTCTGCTCTTCGAGCCGACAACTTGCGTGTCATTTCGCGACATTGCGGGCGATTGTTGTTCGGATTCGCCAATAACTGTCTCCGTCCCCGGGCAAGGGCCAAACAGACTGTTAAAGCGGCGGGTGCGTGACACGTCCCCCCGAGCAGGCGGTGCTGGAGTGTGACTGGCCGACGGGGGAGAGCGCGCGCTGGGCCAAGCTGCGCAACGTGGTCCAGGCGGTGTCCCAGTTCAAGCAGGGCCTGGTGCGGCGCCAGCGGACCAGTGTGGCCAGCAGTCGCACCAGCCTGGAAGACTCCTCAGCCAGGCCCTCCCTGGACCACTCGGGGCTTCTGCCTGCGGACCTGCTGCCGGACCTTCTCACCGGAAGGACGGCGGCCGATGACCACTCCAGCTCCGGTGAGCGGGTTCTCGAACTGGGTTTGTGGGCATGCAGGGGTTCTCCAGAGTACCCACATTAGTTGCCGGAGTTCCCAAATTTTTTCTGCCATCCCTGCCCATAATTTTTCTAAGTTTTGAGCATAATTTCAGTCAATGATGTGTGTATGTGCTCAATGCTCCCTAGCATGATCATGATGTTTATAAGGTCATGGAGGCTTCCTCACTGCTTTATTGCATCGGTGTCAGGACCAGGAGTGGTTCCCTTGCTGCCATTCAAGGCAGGTATTGTTCCTCAAGATTGAAAAGTTTGATTACCGCTGCGGTAGATTTTAGCTGGAGTTAGATTCGTGTACCAACAATGAATTTGTTTTGCATTTCCTCACTAACGTGTTGATGCCGAAACCAATGAAACTGCCCTTCCCTCACTAGCCTGGCGGTCCTGTATGAGGCAGGTATAGCCAAAGTCGTATCTGTACCAAAAATAAACCTCTAGCAAGTGATTTAACTTCCTACACTTTTGATGTGTAGGGAGTTTTGGTTTACCGACAGTACTTTCTAAATGGTTTAATAACAACATGCAGGCAACATATTGTGACATGGCCGTAATTTTGAACAACTGCCCGACGACCTCTTGTATAGCTTCAGTGAGCAAGACTTGTGAAGCTATAGAGGTGGGTTAGGTATCCACCTTACGTGTTCGTACAACTGTAAAACGGGATTTGTAGGTCTTTTTGTTGTGTCGTCGTGTTCTCCCGTTTCACTTTTGCAAGTGTCCTACCTATCCTTTCAAAAATTGGTGAGCTTTTCACTGCCGCTCTAGTTCTAGGGGGAGGTTTCCAACTGACAGGCAACAACTGCACAGGGGGCCAATCGGACGCTGGGTACGGCTCGACCAATCAGGAGGAGCATGCCAAGTCCTCCTCGCAGTCCAGCGAATCGTATGCAGTCGAGGGCTCTCAGGAATTCGCCGGACCTCTTTTCCAAGCTAAAGAACCGACAGGTAAGGCCTTGTCCCAATCCTCGGTCAGTAATGGGGGAACCATTGGGTTGGGTCGATGTCAGTGGCTGCAGTAGAACTTTTTAATGCAAAAGCATTAACTGTTCCATGGAGCGAGTCGACATCATCAGCTGCCGTGCCAAATGGCACCCTCTCTGAGTGAAGCCGAAATCTGAAGGCTCCCAGCTTTGAAGCCGTGCAAAAAGCCGAGCCAAACGGCGAATAAATTCCCCTCTCCAAGTGAAGCTGGAATTTGATGGATAGGGCTCCCATTGGCTGGCACGCGTCACAGTTTCAAGGACGAAGGCTCCCATTGGCCGAGGTGCGTTAGTTTCAAGGAGAGCCACCTCATGGCGCTACATGTTCGCGCCAGAGCGCACCGGGAAAAGGAAGTGTTTGGCTGGTGGGGCCTCCCACAGAGAGCCCGTTCGAGCATACTCCAGAGTGTGGTGCAGCGGCCACTTCACGAGAATGCAAGCAAGAACGACATTCATGCTTTCGCATTCACAACTCAAAAGAAGTGCTCAGGTGTACCTCGAGCCTTTTTTTTTTTATGCCTTTTTTCGAGGGACGGCAATAGAAAAAGTGTGATCTGGGAAAATGTAGCAACCGTTGACACTCTTGGAGAGGCTATTAGCCCCGAGAGCGAACACAAGCGTCGCTGCGGTCGCCGCGCCCTGATTGGGTGAGGCGTACCGTGACGTCAGGGGGAGGACTCCGCTCCGCGATCTCGCATCGGCTCGCTTCCCTGCACCGGTTTCCTGGTTTGGCGTTGTGTGCCGCAAGCTCTTCGAGGAGCTGGACTTCGTCTACCCGGTGTACAAGACGTTGAGTTAGGCCGACATTGACGTGCTTCCGTACATTTTGTAAGCCTGCTCGTCTCTTTTACCTTTAAAATTGGGTTACAAATCCCGAAAGCTATCGGAGGAGGCAATTCTGCCGATGAACCTTCCCGCCCGTCCACACGACACAAGGCAATCTTGCGAGGGGTCGGTGAGGCGGTGGCGCAAGTGTTTCAGACGCTGGAATTCTGTTCCTTGCCTGTTCATGATTTAGGACGATATTACATCCCGCTTTCAAAGGCATTTGAAGTGGCATTTATATCATGGGCCTTTGGGTGGTCGGCAAATTAGCTCGCGACCCCGACTCTGCGCTACCACTCTGCATGCGCTGGTTCGCAGATGTATTAAAGGCCCTGCGTCTGATGATCTTTGAAGTGCTCGTGGAACAGGGCTGTTTTACATAAATGTAGCTTCTTCGTGAATTAGTTATATACTTTATACACGTATGCAGGCATATTTTTTAGAAGATGCACAATTACTGAAAGTTAGTTTGTATGGTAGCAGCAAAAACGGCCGAATCGCCCCCAGGTGCCTGTATGATATGTATTGAGCTGCCCAAAATATGCACAGCAATAGTGCTGTAATTTGGAATGTTTATACTTTTTTCTGACATTCTTTATTCCAGCCTTGGGTATTAAAAATACACGGTTTAGTCTGAATTGTCATTTCCAGTAAAAGATACTGCTGCAGGTCCCCAAAATCTTCCTCAGCCTCCAAACTCCCTACAGCTGGACTCTCTGACAACAGAGCAAAACAGGAGTAACAGCAAGCATTCGAACGTCTGTCCAGTGGTAGATGCAGCACTAGTAGCAGAAAATGTGGAACCTGTGAAGGGCGACAGCCTGCGTGAGATAAGCTTCTGGTATTTTAGCTTCAGGACACTTCGATTTAAGTAAAATCTCAATTTTAGTGCTTAAGGGACTAATAACGAGCTAGACACCTTCGCTTACGTTTGTTATACATTACTTGAGGGTTGATATAAACAAGTCCACAAATATCACCCGTGTAGTCCTTTGAAATACTATTCGAATCCAGCAAAGGTTAAATGCGAGCAATGTATATATTAAATGTTCCTTGTTTTTTTGTTGTTGTTTTTTTTTTCACTTTGCTCCTGCACTTGGGCTGTCTTGTGATTCTCTTTCCATGGCCCAGACTGTATTTAGCATGTTGTTCGAGGAGCATGCAGTTTTTCTGCTTCGGCGATCTTGTTTAAAAACAGAGATATAAAAGAAAAATAGAATACATAACCTGCCAATTTATTCAGACCATCAACAGCATTTATTGTGCGAGATGTAAACCTATGATGATGCTGCTGCAATTGTGGCCATATTTGTTTATTTTCATATACCAGCTGCGATTCATGCGTGCCTGCCCTGTCAAGCATGCTTAAAATGTTGGTTGAAGTTTCGCCTGTAGCTACAGGCCATACCTAAATAAAGGCACATATAAAAATTTACACTTCCTACGGAAAATACGCCTAAAAAAATTAAATAGAAACGAGCGCGCCGACAGCTAGCGTCGTCACAGCCTCCGCAGAGCGAGCGGGGCGGGTCGGGGAAAAATTCTCTCCTCGCCGTGACGTCACCCCGGTTCGCCGTAAGGGGGCGCCACGCGAACTTCTCGGGGCTAATAGTAGTAGGTTAAAGAGGGAGTGACTGTCTCCCAATAATTTATTTTGTATAGATCTTTGCAGCTTTGAAGACTTGTAATATGTGTTCACAAATATTACACCCAAGCTTACTTTGTTTTCTTTTTGGGAGGGGGGGGGGGGGGACAAAACAAAAGAAAGAATAAATGTGTAAGACAAGGGATTACAATACCACACCTTTCAGCCTTTCAACTACCAGAGACTGCCTCCAGATGACTGCTTCCAGTTTCCAAAAGGCACCATTGAGTGTGCAACCAGAAGAGTGAAGGGGAAGCAGGAGGGAAAGAGTAGAGAACAAGATTACCGGAATATTGAGTCGTCGCCCACCCCACTTTTTGGGCGAATATCGATTTTCAAAAAGACAAAGGGATCGTCCACCTTTACAAACACACAACGCGGACTCCGCGATCCGCAAACATTCATCTTACCCGAACGATGCGGCCACGGATGTTAACAGTTGGAAAAGATCAGTGACAAAGTAAAACGAAGGAGAGAAAGACACTTCATTTTGTTTACGCATTTCCTCCTCGATTTTCGCGACTCAAAGTCGAAGTACATGCGTGCTAAAGGAAAATCATGAAGGTAACAAAAAGAAACTTTGTTTTGCTTACAACAAAGATAGGACAAAAAAAAAACGTCTGAAAGATAACAGAACCAGTAACCCTTTCTGCGATATCAGCGAACGACCTACATCCGGGAACATAACTGCGGAGTCTAAGGTCTGTCTCCACCGAAATAGGGTCACCGCAAATCTGCTCCTTCTCCCTGAATGTTGTAACCGCAGTTGGCAACATTGTGCAATGTTTGAGACAAAGCCAACAGGTAAATATAGATTTGCTCGAATACCACACACAGACGTTTGTAAAGCTTTTCAATCTCTGTGTTCATGGTGCCATCCACGCCACGCAGCAGTGTCACCTCAACCTACCCGCGTTGATAGTACACGGACGCACGGATGTATGCACCAAACAAGAATGTTGCGCAAGTGCCTGCTCCTGATTGGCAAGGCACCCAAATTGGCCTGATGCCAAAGTATTTGCTAACGCGATCGTCGGATTTTCTGCTTCTCCAGCATCGCTCTTCGTCGCTTCTTTTGCCCACTCGCTGGCTCGCTCGCTCGTTGCGCCTGGTGTGTTTTTCTATTTTTTATAATTTTTTTTTTTTTTTACTAATGAAGAGAACGTAGTGGTGTTAGAAACGTGCTTTTACGGAACAAACATCTGCTTAATAAACCGATCGGCAGCGTTTATCGCTCGTATGCAAGTAACGGACTTTGCGATAGTAATACAGTCTTTTGTGAGTATTTCTTGCATAAAACAGTGAAGCTAATTCAAGTTCTGAGTTTAATGTATCTCTTGTGCAGCTGCGGTAGATATGTTCAGCAAAAATGGCTGTTTTACTAGCTTTTTCTAAATGTTTCTCATGCTTACCCACCGAGAGATGGCCCACCCCACTTTTTTTTTAATGAATCTCAGGCAGCAGGGAGTGGGCAATGATTCTGGATATTACGGTAGGGAGGTTAACGGATGTATATAAAAAGATGACACTGTAATAAGATGTGATCTTCATAAAGAGTTACAACAGTTCCAGCTGAGAAAAGAACATATTGGTTTTAGTTGGTTTCGCTGCTCAAACTGTCAGACGTAACACAGCCTCGAGGCACCAAGTAAGCAAAGGACTATGCGTGTGCAAAAAGTCTAAAAAACCACTAGCAAACACTGTTAGCATTTTTATTCCATGCATTCATTTGATTGCCGCAATAATGGTTTGGTCTGATCAGGAGTAGGAGACTCTGATGCTGTTTTGTGGACTCCACAAAAAGGGTGGGGTGACCCGGGGACCATTTTTTGCAGCTCCGCACCAGAGACAGCGAAGAAGCGGCGTGGTGCAGAGTCTTCGGTTCGACGAGCTGGACTTCTCAGAGTCGGACCGCTTCCGGAACCGAGTGAATAGCGTGGTCCGCAGCTCAGCCGGAGTCTTCGGAAGTGGATCATCGTTCTCGGACACGCTCGGTGGGTCCCTCTGCTGTTTCTCCTTATTCTGTCACCCGTTTAAAGATGGCTTTGCTCCTCGTTTCCGGTTCTAGTTTAGAGACGCCCGCTTCCAGTTCCGTTTCCTGGTTCAAGTTTAGAGGTGTCTTTGCTTCCGCTTGGTTTCCAGCTAGAGATGCCATTGTTCCCGGTTATGGTATCAGCTCGGTGACTTCGCTGACAGTTTCTGGTTCCAGTTGAGAGGCGGTTTTGACAGTTTGTAGTGTTTGGGTGTCGGTGTTTGATTGTATTATTGTGATTTTGCATCGTACAAGCGCAGAAGCCCATTGTTATCTATTTTAGAAGTGCTGTCAGCTGTTCGGCAGTTGCATTGGATATGTTTTACTCCTTTCCCATTCCTAACTAAAGACTAGTAGTATATTTAGTCTAGTCGATGAATAAAATGCCAATTATTTCTTGAGCTCCTCCAAACATTGGTCAGTTGAGCCAGTACCTATATTTCTTTTCTTTAACAGTGTTTGCATGAACTAGGAGCTGGCATTGTTAATACTTTTTAGTGATCTTGATATGTCATTGTGAAATATTTTTAGCGGCGTTCTTTGAATCTTGGACATTAATTTGCACGTTTCTTCACTTGAACATAGTCTTCTTAGCCGTTTCTCTCAGTTTTACAGAAATGAGCACTCGGCCACAAGAAAGGATTAGGTCCGATTTGTAATTCTCATCCTATAGAATTGCGTACGCTCAAAAGTTTAAAACCAAATCTTCACCTGTGTACAACTTTGCGAAAAGTTGCAAGTCATAAGGTTGCGCAATCGATTCATGTCATCCACCGAACCAAATGCACAATGAAGCGAAGCGCTCGGTACACTGCTGGATCGAAGCGGCGCCAACCGCTACTGAACGGCTGTCGTGCAGTTCCGTCAGCGGGCGTACTCATAACGAGCGAGGCGATGCGGCAGGCCGACGAGTTCCTCCGGCGTAACGGCGGCACCGGCGTCGGAGCGCTGCGCTGCCTGCACATGCGCCGGCGCCACCGTAGCGCCAACGACCACGCAGCCGGCTGCACCATCAACAACGGCACCAGGTAAGTCTTTCTTTTGTGTATCAAGCCAAAAACTTTGTTTCTGCTGGGTTTTTTTTTTTTTTTTTTTTTTTCTTTATACAGAAGGGGATTAGTATACCCTCGTTTTATACCCGGCAAAGCTGCTGGCTTGAGCCTTTTGTCTCGATGTAGCATTTGATTTGTGCGCACTCGTGCAGAAATGAGATGCAATGATCAAGGACAGGATTAGAATGGCGGGGAGTCTTTCAGTTGCTGAGGAGCTTCGAGCTTGTACGTGCAGCCAAAGTTGGACCAAAGACAGCAAACGTGTGCTGGACGGCGGGGATGCGAGAGCGGCACCCTGTCGGTGACCATGGATGAGGTCACGAGCAGTAGCTTTGTCTGCAGTAGTTTTGACTGCATTCTATGCTAAACATAAATTGGGCCCATTCTTGGCAATCCTTGAAACTTGAAGTCGCTGATTTGGGGATATTTTTATAATGCCGATTGTGCGCACCTCAAATATGCGTGCTATTTTAGTGGAGTCGAGTCTCTTCGCTTTACGCGGTGAAAAGGGAAATGAGAATGCGCAGCAGAGCATATGCTTTCCTTGTTCTTTGTTCATTGTGGCAGCGTAAAGTTAAAGGTGAAAAAACTAATCTTTTTTCTTTTTTTTGTACAAAATGCAGGAAGGAGAAATAAAGAATAGATGTTGTTATTTAGTCGTGGCACACCGAAGACTTTTTTTTAGCATCGTCAAACATTATTTGTGAAATTTTGTTGGGACATCCCCGTTTTGTTGTTCTTGACATCCTAAACTTCTCGCAGCTGTCGTGGTGCAACGGAAGCCAGGGAGGGCTCCGCCCGGTTGTTTGGGAGGTCGTTGAACCCGGTCGCGGATGGCTTGGGCCCCACGCGCGAGCGTAGAGAGAGCCTGACGCGGGCCCCGGAGGAGTCTAGGCTGACGCCGCTGGTGGAGGCTGCCTCGCCATGCGAGAGATCGGCAGCAGATGCCTCGCTTTCGGGCAGCCACGAGAATGACCTGCTTGGATCTTCACTCAAGGTACTCTTTTGTCTGCTTCGGAGCACTCATTGCAGGGGTGTTACGATCACGGGGTGGGAAAACAAACTGGGGGTGGAAAGTGGAAGTAACTGCAATAAGTAGAAACGCTTGGAGCGCAATGCCCCTGTGTGCAAAGTAATACTTGTACTTTTTCGAAGTGTCGATTACGGCGGGTCAGCCCCATCGAGCGTACTTCTTACCGAGCACCAGGGCACTGCGGAGAAGCAGCACCCGTGGAAGCGAGCTGCGTGAGTGTTGCTTCTCCACTGGTGCTCGGTAAGAAGTGCGCTCTATGGGGCCGCCCCGCTGCAATCGACGCTCGAAAAAATATGAATACCGATTCCTCGCTATAAGAGATCTCGTGCATCTGTAGCTGACGCTTTCATGCCTTTTGCCTCCGTCTTTTCCAGCAGCGGGAAGCAGTCGACAAACCCGAACCTTCGTTGCTAGACGACGACCTCGGCTCCGAGACCGAAGCCTCACCTCAAACGACGCCACAGTTTCCCAACTCGCCGCCCGACACACCCCTCGGATCGGAAACGTCATCTTTGCACCCAACGCCACCACGGTCGAAGCAGTCGACCCCGCCGAGGCGATCCACGCCTCCGTCGCGCTCCTCGGCGTCGCAGCACCGCACCTCCAGCGGGTCACCGGCGAACCTGGTGCGGACCATCGAGCAGTCGCGCGAGTTCCTCAGCTCGACGCTGAGCCCGCTGCGCGATGCCTGGCAGCAGATCGACTTCTCGGGAGCGGCGGCGTCATTCTCGTCGTCGCTGGGACTTAAAGCGCGGAAGTTCTCACTGGGATCGAAGATGACCTCAACGGTGACGCGGAGCTCGACGTTCCACGGTGGAAGGGAGAAGGCCAGCTCAGCGCGGTCGTCTCCGGCCCGCTCCACATCGCAGATGGAGAGCCTCGCCGAGCAGGTGAGTGCTAACGTGCCGGGTTTTGAAAATATGCGAGGCTGTGTCTCGCGTAAGACTGAGATCGAAGAATAGTCTTGAAATGGGTCATTAGGGTGGTCTCTTGTGCTTTAATGCGGAACGTATATTTGTATTTTTCGTTTAACTCTAGGGAGTCGGGTCACCACGGAAAGCCTCAGGCCCACACCCGTAGGCTTGTGATGCCTTGCAAACAACTAACAGGTGCCATAAAATCCTGAGAGATGCCCCACCCCCGAAAGATAGTTCGTCCCCCATTTTTATCTCGAAAAGATAGTTCGTCCCCCATTTTTAGCTCGATTTGCTATATTTCTTTACACACCAAAAGATAGCCCACGCTGAGTAATAGTAGTGTTGGGATCAACAATGGCCTCGGCGTAGATGTGGCTAGTTAGCTATGGCGTGATATAAACAAACGTTGCTGACTGGAAAGTACAGTCATGGAACAATTTCACTTTTTCGCAGTCTGCTTCAAAAAGAGACTGGCGGGCATCAAATTTTCTCGCTTAGCTTGGTGGATTGTACGAGCACTTTCTACCACTGTAGCAGTTTTAAAGACAGCCCATCAATAGTAAGAAAAAAGCATTATAAACCGTCGATCGCTCATTCATGCTAAGATTTTCGCGCAGTGTGCATATATACGAGGAAGTTAAAAAGAAGATGGATAGGGGCAGGGCTGCAGTTTAAGGACGGCGAGTAAAATGCGTCCGTGCAGAACTCTCGCAGCAACGAGCACCAGAGCGTGCTCCTAGGCACTTCCTGCAATGTGCTCCAGTTGTAAGGCCTGGGTGACAATATAGAGGGCTAATCGTCGTGGTAAGATTGTTAGCTAAAATTTGTTATTTGACTTTTTAATTAGTCAAAATAAACATATGCTTCCAATTAGACGCTTGCTGAAAGTAGTTCAGTGCATAGTTGCAAACTACACACTGGATGTAGACTATCTAAGGAAAAACTTTTTTTTCAGTTGAAGTTTGCCTTTGCTGACTACACATCGGGTGCGGACGATAGTCCGGAAAATACGGTATGAAGTTTTAAAATAAAAGTGATTCGAGAAAAATGTAGAGATTAGAGACATCGTTGCGAGACAAACGGGTGGATTGTGGAGCGCGAGCCCTTTCCCCTCTGCTGCGACCAGGTGAAGCCTGCGCTGGCGCCTGCGGTGTCTCCCCCGGCAGCCCCGCCCTCCCCGCTTCTCGAGGGGGCCCCTCGGGGGTTGTCAAGGTCGTCAACCCTGCCGTACTCCCCCCGGCGCCGTTACACCCCTTCCCCGGTGGCAGCGGCCCCGCTGTCCAAAGAGGCCCCTGCCAGCGTGACGCCGACCTTGGGCCAGTCTCCGCAGTCATCGACCTTTGCCCTGCCTCGGCTGTCGGCCAAGCACTCGGAGTACCTGGTGGACTCTTTGCGGCTGGCCGCCACCTCCATGGCCTCCAAGCTGACCGAGATCAAGCAGTCCCTCTCCACGTCCAACACGCCCACCAGGGGTGAGGGCAGCCATGTTGCTACACCCAGCGGAAAATTTTTTTTCAGTCTAACCGTTTCCGAACGTTTTTTTTTTTTTTTTTTTTTTTTTTTGCGGGCAAGTTTTAACACAGAACGTGTTTGAGGGCTGAAATCTCCGCGTAAAGTCTAACGGAATGCTGTGGAAACCATTATGAAACATGTAATGCATACTTCAGGGGACAGTTCGTACAAAAGGGTGGTAAATTGAGAAGAGAAAATGAAAACCTACACGTGCCCCGGCGGGAATCAAACTCGTGGAAAAAATAGTTTGGTCCAAAGAGTAAACCTTCCGCTGGCATCACTTTTTTGTTGTGGCCAATAGAGACTTTCAGTTTGAAAACCATGGTGAGGACCAAAATTGTACATTCAATACCTTTGCAAAAAAAAGAAAATATATTTTTATCCAAAATTTGGGATACTATATCAGCATTGTTTGTCGGTGTGTTTAGAAAATTTTCAGACAAATCAGGGACTTTAGACGTAGGATTAGTGGCATATCCAGCCCATGCTTCCCCTTACATTGTACAGGTAGCTCTAGTTTATTTTGTTTGCTTCTCTGAGTGTCACTTTTAACGTCAATTTGCATACATGGTGGTATTTTGAAGGTAACTACTTTTAATCGCTCAATCTCGCATATGCACTAAAAAATTGTACAATCCTGCATTGCCTTGTCAAAATGAACTGAAACCTTAACTGTATGTCAACATCATTATTACTAAATCGCTGTGTTATTATTGTGCAGTGTTAATGAATGGGAAGTGAGGCTTTGGTGGTGCCGCCGCGCGTGCAGGGTCGTCGTATTCGCTGCCGCGGGGCTTTGACCAGCTGCTGCTCGAAGACGACGACCAGGGCAGCAACATGTCCCTGGAGTCCAGTCGTCGCCAAAGTATGGACCTCCTCCTGGGCAGAGGGGAGGACCTTCTGGGAGACGACCTGGACTCTCTCCTCACCGGTGACTCCGTGCCTCTCCACCCAGTGGGCAAGTGTTGCCGCGCTCTTGCGTGCCCTCTGTTGCACATTGGAATGTACCAACCCAGATAACACCACATGACGTATTGTATCATAATAATGTGTATAGTGTGTGCTGTACGCTGATCAATTTTTATAGGTGGTGGAGAAATCTGTGGGCAGTGTGATCGTGTCTACTCTGTCTGTGTACAGTGCAGAGCCTCGGACGTCACCACAGTTCATTTGCAGGACCCTGCGAGGAACAATGATTGTTCTATTGCATCCTAAGTTTTTTTCTTACCGCACATTACCATTCAAGTAGCATTATTCATCATTGGAGTGACCACACAACAAAATTCAAGTGCTCTAAAACGTTAAAAAAGGAAGCAGATGCACATATCGTGCACTGGCCCAAGACTTTCCCCCACCTAACCAACCAAGGTGCTCCTCTGCATCACCCCCGCTTTTCTGAGCGTGGGCTTGACGTGCATGCAGCTGTGTAAATTGTTGAAGCCTAGCTTTCCTTGTGCTGCTCCTGCGAGGTTGCTCTCAGACTCAAAAGGCACCCATCCCCCAGTTTTTTAAAATTCTCTCAAACTTTTGGCTAGGCATTTGCTTGCTGTTTTGCAGTAAGTAAATAAAACTGCCCGTCTCTTTGGTATAGCTGAAAGGCACCCTAATTGCATAACATTTATACGTCCTTTGTTATGTTGTCACCTGACGTAACGGCCTCACGTGAAATTATGTCACATCACCATCCGGAAAGAACATCAGGTCACATGCTTTCCTGATGGCCAAGTGTGCTAAGAGCTGGCCCTGTAAATGCTACATATTTAATAACCAAAGCCCACTCCCGAAAACATTGGTGGCCTGCGAGTAGAACAGAAGCCACTTGCAACGACACCTTTTTGCAAATGGCATTGTACCATGTCTCTGCAGGTAGCGCACCGGCCTTTGTGTCTCCGGCCACCCGCAACTTCGACAGCCTCGAGGCGGTGTCTGAACGGCCCACCTCTGCAACCAAGCTTGCTCTGGAGGTGTGGCTGACCTCATGTTCCCAGTGCAACACGTGCAAGTCTCTCCTCTACGACGAAGAGATCATGGACGGCTGGTCTGCCGACGATTCCAACCTCAACACCAAGTAAGCGTCCATTTCTTTCTTCTTTTTACAACGAAGCTGTTTATGGCTAGGGTTCCGCAGAATTTGTGTGCAGTGACTAAAAACTCTATGTTCGCACGCGCACGCCTTCCCCATATGAAAGATTCAAAGTAAATAACCAAAACGAAGCATTGACGAACGCGCGTGCGAGATGCCATTTGTTTTAGGCTTTTGCTTTAGAACAGTTACTGCTGCAGACGTTGGCACGTGCGGCACGTGGAACACCATTTCCTGCATTCTTTTCGATGCTTGGGTAATTTAGCAATAGGTCTATTCAATAGATCAGTTGTCAACAAGCACCATTTTCAAGATCAGTAGACTCTCAGGTAGATAATAAAGGTTTCTCAAAGATTTGCCGCTGTGCGACCTATGTCAGCCATGTCTACGCTCGCACCGCCCTCTCTTTGTCGTCGTTTCAAGCTCTTGCGTACCTAGTTTCCTTTCCTTCGGCTCTCCCGGGGTGGCGGTCCCGTCGCGCGTGTCTACTTTCCACCAGGTGGCGGAAAGTAGACACGCGCGTGCCTAATTTCCGCTGGGTGACAGTCCCGTCGCGCATGTCTAGTTTCCTCCGATTCTTCAGGGCGGGTCTGTGTCGTGTGCTAAACAGCTTCGCTGGTTATTTACCTTCACACAGTGGAACGGCTCATGATTTTTCTTTTTATCTTGATTTTGATTTGGGCTCCTACCATGTTGAATTTGAGATGCGCACAGAAGGGACCCAATCACAGTTCATAAAGTAGGCTTAATAAATTGGAATGAGCCATGCGGAGAGTAAGTCGTCTGCTTCTTGCGCAGGAGTTGAGATGTCAGAACGACGCCGAGGTCTGGTTGACTTTGATTAAAAGGATAGTGTGTAGACCTCAATGCTAGATGCCTTGATGTATACCCAATATTTTTTTAAATCGGCCAATAAGAGCTCAGTGTCCTGACATAATCGCAACCAATGTGCAAGAAGCAGACGACCTTGTGCTTCGCATGGGTATTTCAGGGGCTTGCATAGTGTAGGTACTGATCTCAAGCAAACTGTTTCCCGAAAAGAAAAGAAAAAGTTTTCATTGTTAAGGGGGGAGGCTGGTCTTTAACCTTTTGTTTTTTATTTTTCATTTATCGTGCTGAAATTTACTATACTGATGTATTTCTCAGTGATGATTTCAAATATGCAATTTGTTTTCAGATAGCTTTACTAGATCTTGAGTTACCAATAAATTTGTCATTTTAATTAGGTCCTCTTTACGGGTCGTTAGCGTAAGAGTTTTCAGAATATATCAGAAATTTTTATAGAATTGCATTCACCAAGACATGTTTTGTGCGGTGATGCTATTTTTGTTGCTTTATATATCATACAATAATTTTAATTATTTAGTCTCAAAAAGATATAGCTTCCCGTTTTATGCAACTTGGTTGCAAATGTTTTTTACAGATGTAATATCATTAAATCAGTTTAAAATAGCATCACCGCACAAAACATGCCTTGGTGAATGCAATTCTATAAAAATTTCTGATATATTTTGACCAATTTTGTAGTAAAGACCCGTAAGGAGGACCTAATTAAAATTACAAATTTATTAATAACTCAAGATCTAGTAGAGCTATCTGAAAACAAATTGCATATTTGAAATCATCACTGAGAAATACATCAGTATAGTAAATTTCAGCACGATAAATGAAAAATAAAAAACGAACAGTTAAAGACCAGCCTCCCCCCTTAAGTTAGATAGATCTACATTCTGACAAATGTATGTCGTTACCGTGCAGGTTTCTTATAAATGGGAACTAAGTTGCATTTATATTGCTATTAAGGTATCCCGCAATGTCGAGATGTGTGCCGAGGTTGCTGAGCAACAGTTTTCGAGGTAGAAGAGATGTTGGCATGGTTCTGTTTACATTCAACACTCTGCACAAGGCAGAGTTAGCACTGACACCGTATAGTGCTAACATTGAGACTACCATATTTACTCGAATATAAGTTGACCATGAATATAGCATGATGCCTTTATATATAATTGGAATATAGGTTCAACAATACTTAAAAAAACAAGCGAGTTGGTGGTGATTCATGGTAATAAAAACCCAAGACTCAGGAACACGGAAGGGGACAAACACAGCACAACGTCTCAAACATAAATTTACCTTTTCTTTTTCTTTTTTTTTTTAAACACAGAGGTAAGTTTGGGCAAAAGAAAAACAAACCCTTATTTACAGTGCTCTCAGCTAAATCACAGTATGATGCCAAAACCTTAATCATCATCAGAACTTGCGGACATGTCATAGCCGTCCGAAGCTTCGTCGACATCCTCACAAATTCGCAACAGTACCTCACTGACACCATGCAAAATGGCGACAACAAGAAACGAAGGAGGTGAAGCCGGGCGAAGCGACGAAAGACCAGATATAAAGACATGAGCACCGCTGTGACTTTGGTCACGAATGTAGTTAGAAACTCTCTGGTCAAGATGGTAGATCTTACCTCTAATTTTTTACATTTCCGAAAGAAAAAAAAAATGGTTGATTTTTATTTGAATAAATGCAATAGGTAAATACTGGTGAACTTGCATACAAATTAGAAATAGCCCCTAAAGTATAATTAAGGTGTAGTTAGTCACTTAAATTTCATTGTAATTTATGTAGTACTTTAGTTGCTAACAGTGTAACTAATTACAGTAGCTTGAGTATTCTTAGTTATGCTACAGCTCTGCTTTTTGGACTAAACTTTTATCCTAAATTGTATGAATACCGTATTTGCTCGAGGAAAAGCCGCACTTTTCACGAGCTAGGCCCTTGCGTCGATTTCTTGCAAAGCACACATACAGCCAATCACTATGTTCTGCTTAAAGAAAACGGCGAATAACAAGGTTGAGAACCCGATTCTCTGTAAAAGTTCAATCTGAGCAGATATCAATTTCGCATTAGGGCGTTATTTTTGTGTCGTAAATCACTGCTATTTTTCTGCTGATCAGGGCCACAGGCTTTGTTCATAAGAAGTGTGGCTATTATTTGTACAAATACAGTACTATGTGATTCTGTGGAACTTCTAAGCGGAATTGTAGTTACCAGGTTGCGCTTAGGGGGCTTTACCCAGGTGTGGTTAAGGTCAGACTAGAAAGTTTTTCCTTCCAATATTGTTTCTTTCCTTGCAGGTGTTATTTCTGCAACGACACCTTGGTGCCCCTGCTCACTGTTAGCATCAAGGTGAGCAGTGATGTGATTGCTGCACCATTTGCGCCAAACTGCGCCAAAGGGCTTTCCCCGCTACATCCTGCTACATTTAGCCCAAATGTGAGGAACTTGCATCAACATTGCGCCAAAACGTGATTTCACGTTATTAAATACTGAAAATACAATGGCTCAGGCCCCGCCACATGTCCGGATCGTTACGGTAGGCTTGCACAAATTTTCAGAGCTTTCGATTTTAGCCTGCAACAAACATACTATTCTATTCTATCTCTCTATCAGTATCAAACACTGACATTACTTGGAGTTTTGCAATATCTCTCATGTTCCAAGTCTGCTCTGGCATGTAAGTTAACTTTTTTGAGCGCGCTTCTTATTGCGCTCTTGTGTACTGCAGTGAAGCGGTAAGTGGGAAGCAAGCGTCGCAGTTTTGCTTATCTTGCTTCGCCGCAGTGCATCCAAGTGCATTCCCCCAGAGCGGGACGTTAAACACCCAAGCGTCAGCTATATGAAGAAAAGGGACTTTGTGAGCATTAATGTGACAACTCTTAGTTGAAGTAAACATTTCTGACTTATACTGGGGCTATTTTTTATGATAGACTACGGTGTTCTAGCAACATCTTTTTCAAATTCGTGATTTGGCGAGGGAACTCGCATGAAAATTTACATGAAGTGCTCTATAGGTCTCAGAAAATCCTTCAAGCCGAACTCTCATACAAAGACTTTGGTCGTTTTGAGGCACGAAGAACCAGATAAATAAATAAATAAGCTTATTTTTATCTGAACTTCATTGTTTAGTTGTCACCTTTATATATATTTTATCCGTTCAAGGCACAGTCAGTAGAATAAACTAAAACTAAATTAAATGAAGCAGTAGGAGGAAGCTCGGGAAACAACCCTTAGAAACTTTGGTTGGACTTTTTTAAGAAGGCATACTTATCGTTCACTTCTCAATCCTTGTTATTATGAGGTTGTACATACAAGATGTCAGTCATTTTCATAATTTATTGTCAAATTTTTTTTTTAATCGGAATTAAGAATTTTTGTTTTATTACAACCTTTAGAACTTAAATGAGACATCAATTTGTGTGCTCAAGATTATTCTATCATTATTTTAGTGGAATGTACTATTTGGTTTACATTTTATTTTGTAGCTAAATGACCATTCACAGCAGTTCATACTGTTCATCATTGGTCAGCATCTTGTTGCCATGCCTAGTGCTTTTATGTGCAACTAAACATCTAGTTCTATGTTTAAGGAAACCAACCTGCCATTGCACAGAAGTGTGAGGGCAAAGCATACATGTTTTTTTTAGTTGCATAGACCAACACGCAAATCTTAACATATATTATATTCACAGTGGTATGAATAAAAATGAAGTGTGTGCTTGTGCTGCAAAAGTACTTTTTACCGCTCCATAATTGACTTTTGGCTGCCCTAAGAGGTTCGACAAAATGACTTGGGTCAATCGCATCACTGCGTGAGAAACTTCACAAGATTCTTTTAACTTAATGCAAGTGTACAGACAATATTCCCCACCCTTCAGGGTTTAAAAATGTCGGGATTCTTTCTTGTTTCTGCATTTTTCCCCACGGAGTTCCTCGCATTTGTGCCAATCTACTGCTGCAGTCGTCTTCCGCAATCAGAAAACCAAATTCTGTTCAGTGCTCGATGTGAGTACATGTTAGTTGACTATAGCAACACTGTAATACAGTAAAACCTCGTTATAACAAAATGGGATATAACAAACTAATGGATATAACAAAGCAATCATAATTCCCCTTGCTTACTAATAGTGGGAAGAAATGGACATTGGCTATAACAAACTAATGGTTATAACGAAATAATTACGACCGCTCCTTCAACTTTGTTATAACGAGGTTTTACTGTATGCACATTTAAGTGAAACAAAGTACCGTATTTATTCGAATATAGGTCGACCTTTTTTTTTCGGAAATGTTGTCAAAAATTAAGGGTCGACCTATAATCGTGACCAAAAAATTTCGACCTAATTCGCGACCAAAATTTGAAACGCTACCGAGGGTATGGAGCTATCAATCACCTAGCCGGCGTCGCGGTAGAGCCGCGCGGCTTCTTGCTTCAAAAAGCTTTTGATGCACAAAAACAACCGAACAGCAGCAGCCGACAGCCCGTGGCCGCCGGCTACGGCTCTCGCGCACATTCCCTCGGCGTCGGGTTTCGCCAACACCTCCTAGAGAAGGTGTTGGTTTCGCCATCATGACTGTAGCGTTCCCCTCGCTGGGCAAGGGGGAAGGGGAGAGAGAAGAACGCGATGCGCCATGCACTTGGCCCTCCTATGCGCTCCATTCCTCCCCTCGCAAACGCGCACAAAAAAAAAAAAAAAAAACGGAGGTACTTTAGTTTGTTTTTTTCGGCGGGTCGCGTGCTCGCAGCGTTGCTCGTGTCTTTGTATTTGGTCTTTCGTTGCTCGCCCGTCTCCACCTTCTTTCGTTTCTTGTCGTCATTTTACAACGGTGTCGGTGAGATATTGCTGCCAATTTGCGAGGATGTCTACCAAGCTGACGAAGCTTCGGACGATGATATGTCCGAAAGTTCTGACGATGAATAAGTTTTTGACATCGCCCTGTGATTTAGCTGAGAGTGCTGTAAATAAAGGTTTGTTCCTTTTGCCCTAACTTTCCCCTGTTTCTTAAAAAAAAGAAAGGTTGACTTATATTTGAATTATTTTTTTTTATTCTCGATGGGCTCAATAAATAGGGGTCGACCTATTTTCGTGGTCGACCTATTTTCGGGTAAATACGGTATGTTTTTCTCTGGCGAGTCTCGCTGCATGACAGCTACTACAGTCACACCACAATATAGCAAGTTGGTAAAGTGCGCAGTTCACTTGATTACATTTAAATGTTGCTACTTCAAAATTTGACGCCTACCATACAAAGACATTTACGAATCAGCCTTTTCCTGGTTCTTTAGCTATGTGCCTTTTTCGGGCCTAAACACTCGTCAAAAATATTATTTATTGGTGGGGAAAGTGGACAGTAACTTTCGTTTTCATCTTGCTAGATGATACCTATTAGAATGGACGTTTGAGCGAGTTGTTAGGAGTTCATAGGGGAAAACGGCGCGGCTTGGATGACGGCAAAGGAGAGAGAGAAACTGTACAAGCGCTGTCCAGTGTATCTCTTTCCATGTGTGTCACCAGTGCTTGTCCCTTGTATCTCTCTTCTTTGTCCTCGTTAAGAGGTAATAGCACTGGTGACGCTTGGCATTCAAAGACCCACAAGGCTTGTAAAATATCCCATTCTTAAGTTTGTGCGAACTCCTTTAAAATGGAGTTGTTAATTACTTCTTCCGTTGCTATGCTGCATGAGTCGCCTTAGAGAAAGGGGAAAATTTCTCTACTGTTTGGACTGTAGAAAGCAAACTTTGGGGTATTCAAAATCGAGCTGCAACATCCCTTTTTTTTTCGCTGACGGAGATTGCCTGTTGCATTTTCACAATTCAATCTCAAGATAGTCCTTTAGAGCCAACTTTGAATGCTGGTCGATATTTAAATACATAAATACATCATAGTTCTTCACGCCCATTGAAGTCGACGTGAAATAAGCTGCCACGTGGCATTGGCATTCTGTTTTTATCTGTAGGTCGGCCCAAAAGAGTTACGCTTGTTACGTTTTTCTGCGTGGCGCACCTCCTACCGCAGCCTCTCAAAAAATATATGAATTTGGTATTACCCTATGCTCTAGCTTTCGTTTCTCTGTACGGCAATTCATTCGATTCGGCGTCGTTCCGCAGGACTACCGGCTGGAAGAAGAGAGCTGTGGGAGCGCGTTGCTCAGCCCGGCCCAGTCCTCGGACAGCCTGCAGAGCGCCCCAACGCTCGTGCGACCGACGCAGCTGGAACGTGCCTCGGCGCATCGGGAATCCCCAGAGGTGGCGGAAGAGGCCAGCCCCTGCACGCCCTCCGGCCAGCAGGAGGCACTGCGGAGGAACTCGAGGCCTGGGAGCGTGGATAGCGGCAACGAGACCTTCCTGCTCTTCGAGGAGAGTCCCGACGCGGGTCAGTCTCGCCCATTTCCCCTCGCATCGAACCCACGAGACAGCATAATTTACGGGTTGGCCAAATGCTTGCAGTTTCCTTCCTTTTTTTTTCTTTCTTTTTAACGGCGATAGCTGTTACGGGACTTTTTATTGCCAGACACAACGGCTAGAGTTTCGTGGATTTTTCGTGTGTGGTGACTAAAAACTCTATGCTCGCACCGCCGCAGACGCACGTCTTCCCCGTATAAAAGGTTCAAAGTAAATAACCGAAATAGATCGTTGACGAACCCGCGTGCAAGATGCCAATTGTTTTGCGCTTTTGCTTTAAAACAGTTACTGCTGCAGACGTTGGCACGTGCGGCACATGGAACACCATTCCCTGCATTCACCTTGATGCTTGGGTAATTTAGCAATAGGTCTGTTCAGTAGATTAGTTATCAAGAGGCACCATTTTCAAGATCAGTAGACTCTCACGTAGATAATAAAGGTTTCTCAAAGATTTGATGCTGTGTGATTCGCGTGGGCTATGTCTACGCTCGCACCGCCGTCTCTTTATTGTCATTCCAAATGCTTGCGTGCCTAGTTTCCTTTCCTTCTGCTCTCCCGGGGTGGCGGTCTCGTCCCACGCATCTAGTTTCCTCCGAATGTCGTTTGGCCGAGAATTCCGGTTGTGGAATTCTCTGCCAAACACTATTTTTCCGCTCATCCATTTAAAGTCTCGTTTGCATTACTTTCTGCATAACAATGTGTTCCAGCGGACGTCGCGAGACCCCCAGAGTCCTGCACGGAAACGCCGCTGGGCAGCCCCAAACGTGCAGACAATGGGTTCCTGTCCGTCTCGGGCACGGACTCGATCCCCCGGACGCTGTCGGAGCCTATGGACATCCCCTTCGCCACGGCATCTTCGTCTGCCACCGAAGACCTCATTTCCCTGGATGGGCCGCCTAGCTCGGAGCTGGTGGGTTGCAACGACGCGGCTAGAAAACCTGCTTCAGACAGTACAGTTTTTACCTGCATCTTGGCGTCGCAACTTTGGCGACACAGTCCTCTCACATTCACCTGCGGCAACCGCTAAAGCTCGGATCGCTGCATCTTGTTGTCAGCGTCATTAAAGTTATAAGCTTTCCTATGCTGTTAAGACACTAAGTCAAGGGTTGGTAGCATGTTTTTATGTCTTTAAAGAGAAGCTGAAACACTTCTTTCAAAAAATTAGATGGAGGTTGATCTTAGTGTATACCGTATTTGCACGAATATAACGCGACCACGAATATAACGCGAGGGCAGGTTTTGATGCCCTCAAAAAGAAAAAAAAAATATTATTACTATTATAACGCGAACCGAAGCCGCGTCAATTTCTCGCACTCGGGGGCATAGCAGATGTAAAAAGTCAATGGAAATAGAAGAAATATCAGTTTATGTTTTGGCTGCACTCATCCTCACTGCTCAGCTCCTTCCGTTTACAAACCAACTTGGCGACTACGCAGATAAGCAGCAGCACGGCACCTGCTTGTCTGGTAGTTCCTTTTTCTTCCGTGCGAGCTCCTCGGCCGCCCACAATTCAAACAAGGCACCAAGCAGAAGCACCAACACATAAACACCAGATCACTCGGGAGCAGAAACTAAACAAAGCGCAGGCAGAAAAAAAGACTGCTGAATCCGAAACACGATCACACTTCTTGTTCTGGTCCCTCTGCATAAACAAATGCCTCGTGTTCACCGTGCTCGTGTTGCACGATTGCGTAAACGCGGTTGGTGGTCTTGGCTTGGCTTGACTTGGCTTGACTTGGCCCGGCTTGGCTTGGCTCGAATTGGCCAGTGCCCGCATGGCGGGCGCGCGCGCCGAGTTTCTGCGGCGTGCGCACGTTGTGCAAACACAAAACCGATAAAAATGCTTTTTTATGTTTTCTATTCGCCCCTTCACGTGGCCCAATAGCTAATAAATTCCCTTCCACACCCCCACTTCTTTTCACACCGAATATTTTGCATTAAGCCGGAGGGATGGCTCTCTCCTCTGTCTTTCTCCAGACTCGCGCGCCTCGTGGCTGAACTCGATTCCGAATATAACGCGAGGTGCGTTTTGGAGCACGTAATTTCGAAAAAAAACTCTCGTTATATTCGTGCAAATACGGTATATCTTTATCTCGATATTCGAGATTCTGGAGGCCAAACGAAGACGATCTAAGTGTGTTTCCTCAAATACACAATGGCTTCAGTTTCCCCTTAAATAGCGTCGAGAATACTCTTCGATTCCCCCGAAACCATTTTGTCCGGTAAACAGTGTAATGCAAACCAGAGCAGAGTGTTCAATCATCGTTGTCATCGCCGCAGGGGAGAGTCGCGCGAAAACATTCTGTCCGTGAATGGTTGCTGCCGCTTCAAGCATCTAGATCCGAATCGTTGGACCCAGTTGCCCGTTTCGAGCCGCCCCCTATTTCAGAAATTCGTGTTGCAACCCAATGGTCTAGGGCGTGGGTTCTCAAACGAGTTCCTAGGAATGTGGAGATGCCCCATCGTGCTGTTGAGTTCCTCAAGCTCCCAAATGCTCTCAACCATCCCTGTCCCTAAGCAAAGCGCGCTTTTAGTTTGAGCCGAATGCTGCCTAGTTTGTACAGGGGTTGATTGAGGAAATAAGACGCAGCTCTTCAGCCTGCAAAAATTGTGTGTCTCGGAGAGCTGAAGCTCCGTGAGAATGGGACGCTGACAAGATGCGAAAGTTTGAGAAGATGATTGTTACCTGGATCCTGTATTTCTTTAGGGTAACGTCATGTTCTCAAACTTTCGCATTCTGTTACCACCGGGGTCGAAAAAACGCTCTTCGTTTTCTCGATCGGGCCTTTTACATTACCGTTTACACGGTCTGTGGGCTTGTGCACCGCTTTATTGCGTCGGTGCCGAAACTGGGGGACGTTCCTTGGCTTTGTTGTCAGTCGGGACGCCTAGAGATTCTTTGTGGTCACGCGCGGGCACCAAACGAGCGTCCTTTCTTATGGGGGGACACTACCTGGGAATGTCGACTTTTGAACCGCTCACTCAATCGGCGTGATATTTACAGGTCGTGTTTGTAGCCATATAGAAGGAGGGCATGCAAAGTTTCAGCCCTGTGAACCAATCTTATGAGGTACTACACCCCCAGAACGTAGCTTTGCATGGAATCTGCTCAGTGAATCTATCGTTGAGAAATCGTGTTGATAACCACCTATTTTTCTGGCTGAATGCATACTGACATACCTGTTGCCAGTTGCTATGAAAAGTAATAAAAAATATATGCAATTTTCAAATAAAAAGATTGATGAAAACAAAAGCAAATTTTACATTTACCAAGTTTGGCAAATTGCAATTTTTCATAATAAAGGAACATGAAAATGCAAAATCGAAACTCGTAGTAACCGGCTCCATAAAATTTCGGCATATAAGCCGCAAATATTAAAGTTCCATACTGAAACAATAGTTTTATTGAGGGGGGATTTGCTGCCAAAAAGCTGAACTGAAAAAAACGCATTCCAAGTGCTTGAACGTCTACCTTTTCTTTAGCATCTGTGGGCCGAAAATAATTTATAAAAAAATAACTATGCTGTGTAAACAAATGAAACTTTCTGTTAATACTTTCTAGATGTTGGTGGCTGGCATTTTTCAAAATCAACTTTTCTTGCAGAATTTTTTTTTTCTGGGTTGTTTTCCTTTTTCACGACGGCCGTCGCTTTTCCGACCCAGGCTGCAACTTCGTCGGGCTCCAATGGCGGTCCGTCGGAAATGGCGGACGAGCGGTCGCGGAGGGTCACGGTAGGGGACCGGCCACTGGGACTGCAGTCGCCGCAACTGCTGGGGGTTGGAGGGGACCTCCTGGCGCCAGGCCCGCGGGGGGGCGGCACTCCCATCTTCAAGCTGGGGGCAGGTCAGTGACGTCCACTCTCATGTTCCTTCGATTCTAAATGCATAGCATTTATTGAGTCAGCTCTATGCAGTTTCAAGTTCAATTTCAGGATGTAGTTTCAGTGAAGAGTAAAGCATGCAGCGCAAGGTGTGCGGTCCGCGATTGCTTGCGGAACGTGCGATCGGCAAATGCCTTTAGGGGGACAAGAATGTGCGCTTTTTATTGTGAAACGTCCTTTGGCTGGGTGTTTGGTATTTCGTGAAGACTAAAGCTGAAGCCTGCATAAAAGTGTGACCGCGAGGCTGAACACTGATTGGTTGTTGGGTGGGAAGGGAGGAGTGAGGTGCTTGACACTGATTGGTTAACGGGGAGGTCATGTGACCAGGGGTGGAGTGAAGAGGAGAATTAGGCGAGGTGGGAGGGGAGGGGTGGGTTAGAAGGTTCTGGAAGATACCAGGTTTATCATTTCAAGTGTACATATGCCACGCGTTAAATTATCCGATGTCGAGCGTCGTGAAAGTAGGCGTCTGGCTGAACAGGTTAGATGCGCTGCTAAATGAAGATATAAACGTTTGTGATGCTGTAACATTTCACGTATGGAACCTAGCAATGTGTCATACATTTTTCTAATTTAATTTGGCCTTGTCGAAAGGTATGTGGCCCTTCTCCTGTTCGACACCCCATGGAAACGCAAGACCCGTTTACGCGTCGGACATTTCAATGAAGTTGGTTGCTCGCACGTCAGTCGACGCCTCTATACTATTCCATCGATGGGAGAGTCTGGGCATGCAACAGCCCAAGTCTCTTCGTCAAGCGTATTTGCTGTCACAAAACATAAACATGAGTTGTTTTTTTTACCATACCCTGAAACGTGGGAGCAATGCACCCTTCCTTCCACGGGTAAAACATAAGCCAGTCTCAGGTCAGCAGATTCGTTTGACATACTTCGCTGGTGGTGTGAGAGTGTCTCTCATAGATGTTTGATTAATTAATATTTTTCACTGACACACTGATAGATAAACTGCCTTTCTTTCTCGACGTGCAGGGAGCCTTCCGCGTTCGCGGGCCAGTCTGGCGGTTCCAGCAGGGCCCTCAGTGACCCTGGATCCTCTGACGGTTCCGTACCTGAGCCCACTCGTGCTTCGCAAGGAAGTGGAGAATGTGTTGGAGCACGAGGGGGATGAGTGCCTACTCAGCCCCGGCTTCGTAGACCATCACCCGATCCTCTACTGGAACCTGGTGTGTTTTGTCTCGCATGGCTCTCGGACTCATTCTTTCGCATTGTAAACGTCATTGAGACAAATCGTACTAACCAAAAGGAGAGTTTAGAATTCGAGTGAAACGGGCATACATGCAATACGAAATCTCAGCAATATTTATGGATACTATATAGTGATTTTTAGGGGACGTCTTCGAGGTGAAGATTTACTTGAGAATAGATTGGCTTCAGCCTTAAATTGAGCGGAACTTGCACCCTCTAGGCTACTGGCGGTCGCTCAAAGAAATCCACCCGATCTGGGATTCGGTCTTGGGACCTCTCCAAGACTGGTGGAGGGGTCCTGGAATCTTGACCTGGAGAGGTCCATTTAACCCATTCGCTACCAAAGCCGGTGAATCGCTGGGCGTGCCGTCGGGCGATATTGCCAAAACCGGCGATTCGCCGGTCTGCATGAATTTTTGTTTTAAAGAGCCATTCATAGATGGCACACTATGTAGACTTGGGGTAGTGTAGTTGGATACAATGCCAACAGATGGCGAAAGGGCTGTTCTCAAAATTTAAAGCGTTATGTAATGCCACTTCTTGCTTCTGATCGGGATTTGAATTTTGGGGTGCAAAATATGCATTATATCAGGGTGTGTGTCAATTAAGCCATTTCTTTGTTTGTAGATGTGGTATTTCAAGCGGCTGAATCTGCCCAGCCACTTGCCTGAACTCAGTCTGCAAGCGTCCTCTCTGACGAGGGGCCGTGAAGTAAGTGCCACTTGTCACTTGCTTATTGAAAAAAAAAAAAGATAATGGTATTACGCTGATGACGATGACTTATCGCTCGCCATAAAGAGCTGGCTAGCTCATCAAAATCGGCTGTGTTTTTTAGGGTGTATACTTGATGGGGGTTGGTAGAGTGGTAATTTCTCATTTTGTCATGTGCTCTATATTTTTTTTTTTCTTCTGTTTGTTTTATATGGGCTTTGCAAATCGAGCTGCTCTTGCGTCGTCCGTGTCCAAAGTTTAGGTTGGGTGCTTGATGCTCCTTATGCTCGATTATTTGTGGCGTGACACCAGCTTTCCTGCGGGTGCTTATATTTTGGCAGTGGAGCCCGAGCCCGGATATATCACACTCGGGTATTTCGAATTGGTGTTTATATCGAACGGTCCAGACATCTCCTTGAAAATCGCATGTCATAGTGTAGGAGCGTTGTTTTTGTTTGTATCCAACTCTCATGGTGGGGACACTCGGTATAGCACACGAAGCCCAGCCACTCATCGCTTTTCCCGTGATGCGATTGTGCCACGATTGTGCTGGTGGCGAGCACATCGCTCATGTTGGTTGCATGGCTGGGAGACCACCAAGCCAGCATACACGCACGAAGAGACGTAGCAAAAGAACGGTTGTGAGAAAGAGGAGAGACAAGGACAACCGTAAAAAAAGTGAAGGATGGCAAAAGCAAGGGGAAGGGAGGGCAGGGAGTGCCTGATGGTCGGAACGGTAGTGAGTGCTCTTTCCCCAAACACTGCTGTCGCTGCGCAACTCCTTAGGCCCAAAATAAAATAAGCAACAAGAAGGAAAAAAAAAGTCTTCGGCATGTCGAGTGTGTTGGCAACGGTTGTGGAATCGCACTTTGAACACCTTGTTTATCTTTACCTTTTTCTTTTGCCGTTATTGCTTTTTGCCTGTTTCTTTTTGTTTGTGTTTTTCTTTTTTTTTTTTCCTGACTTTAGTGAGCTTTCTTTTTTGTTGCTCGCTTAACCTTTCTTCTATGGATCAAGAGATTTTATTATGCATCTCGTTTTTTTTTTTTTTTTCTTTTAATTTTTTTTTTATTATTATTGTGTTTTGTCACCCTATGTGGAGGTCACGGCCAGGCGTGCGTTGTCTGCGCAAACTATGCTCTACTGTATTTAGGGTTTCTTGGATGCTCTCTTTGGTAAGTTTCCGTTTGTCGCGACCTTCGATATTAGCAGAGACGTGCGGAAATTTTAACTGGAGCTTAAGTGAACATATTTTTGTATATCAAATTATCGATCTGTTGAAGTATTTTACGATCCCCTTTGAATTCTATATATCCGGGTTTGACTGCGGTGCCAAACTATTTTACGATCCCCTTTGAGTTCGATATACAGTCTAAGCTCATTACAACAGGCATTTGGATATAACTTACCGATTTGTTAAGTTTGGCTGGTTTTCCTCTACATACCATTGGCTCAACTTCATATCTGCATACAACATACTCCTCTTACAACAGACCGAAACCTTGGTCAAAATCAAGGTCTGTTATAACGAGCTTACACTATCCAGGTTCGACTGCAGTGGCAGCATTCACTCCATTTTGATGGCCAGCCCCCAGATTAACACTCGGCGTCGACTCTGTTGTGCTGCACTCTCGTGGCCGGCGTAGTCTCCACTGTGCTGTAGGCACACGTTGCTGCTCGAACGCATGGCTTCATTGATCATTTTATTTTCACTCACACAAGAAGCTTTGACAGCACTACAGAAACTTTGCTAGCCTTGACAACGCAGTACAAAAGGGTACCGTAGAATACCGTGCATCCACCCATTCCACATTAAGCGCCCATTCCCAAATCTGTAACATCTGAGAAAATGCGCATAGTACATAGATATGTAAAATTGATGACCGGAAAAGAGCCCATCCCCCATTTTTTGCGATTATCTCCAAAGTTTGAGTAGGCGCTTGCCCGATATTTTACGGTAAACGCTAGTTATAGTAGCATGTGCCTGCGTCTGAGTGGCTGCCCCTTGTTGCCCAATCAGATTCCAGAGCAGTGGAAGTCTCCAGAAGGCAAGGTGGTGAGCATCAGCTGTTGCTGGGACAATCCGAGGCTGCACGTGAACATGGTGCCTTTCATGTACACCCAGATCCACAAAAACAGTTGAGTGCCAGTCTAGCCATGCACAGCCATTCACTGCCTAATCGATCTATTCATCCACATTAAGTTGTGGGTTTTTTTTAATTGTGTTATGAATTGCCTACTGAAATATTGTAAGGAAACAGATTTTTCACTAACACTTCGGTGTTTTTTTTATTTTTTTTATTTCTGGTAAATGGATTGATTGATTGTTTGACTATATGCCAGTTTCCTCCTGCGCATTTCAGTGTACACCTTTCTACTTTAGTATTGATAGATGAACTGTTTGATTGAACATACTTTAAAATATGCATGAACTGTGCTTTCTTTTCTTACCCTCTAGGATTGATTGGTCTGTGATTGTTTTGCTTATTTTCTCTTGATTGGCCTCTTTACAATAGGCTCGCGATAATTCAAGCTCAAATATTTTCTGCTTCTGGTTAATTCAAATTCAAATTTTTTTTTTTTTGTCCCGCTATCTTTTTAATGTATTTATAAGCTGTTTAATTCGAACAATGTTTTCATGCGATTCTTACTTTTTGTTTTCGCGGCCCCGTTGAGTGCGCTTTTTTTCGAGCACCAGTGCACTGCAGAGAAGCAACACATGTGCAGCTTGCTTCCGCGGATTTTGCTTCTCCGCAATGCACCGGTGCCTGCTGGGAGGCGCACTCAACGGGGCTCAAGCGGACACACATGAGCTATGAAAACGGGCACCACGCAAAAATTTCCATAACAACATACACAGACGTTATGACGTGGTAACATGGCATAGGTCCACGTCACAGCGTTCGCTGCTATGAAAACTGCCGCACGGTGCCCGTTTTCATTGTTCTTGTGTCCCCTGCTTAATAGTCCGCATTAGACAACTTCTTGGCGTAATGAACAAACTTAATTTTGTTTTGAGTTGTCACGTGCTGTCTGAACAGTCTACGATGAACAATCATTTTTGAGAGGTAAATGAGCTTGTCGTACTTTTCACAAATGTTTCATGTGTGGCATACCTGCTTACGATCAGTAGGCCTCTGTAGAGGAAATTATGAAATATCTGCTTTGTATATGTAGCCATTCATATGGCAAAGCATAGTTTTATCTCCCATCATATTTAGATGAATTTCTGATAATTCAAACAAAATTTGTGGCTTCCTAGAGTTTGAATTAACGAGAGTCTACCATACCTCATTGGTACAGACATGACTGTCTTGTGTCATGAGAGACACTCGTCGGGGTCACAAGCAAATTGCCATGTGTCGTTGGATAGTTTTGAGGCTGTTGCAACCGTACCACACGCCACTTTCTTGATGTGTGGTGCCTAAAGTGCCCTGCCACTAGTGCTGGTGCTTCAGTCGGTACAGCTGTGTTCTTTAGTCTTAGAAGGGATGTTGGCCTTGAGGCTTTTATGCCTGAAGGTGAGGTGCATAACCTGATCTTTTTCTGCCACGAAGTGTCTGAGCTTTAGTACCACCCTTAATTTCTTTACGTGTGATGGTGCCACAGGTGTATCGCCGCTGCTGCTCTCTCTGGCAATGGAGGATAATGAGAAACCCATGAAAAGGTGAGACCTGCTTTCTTTTTTCTTTCTTTTCCTTCTTTTTTGCTCACTTGGTTGTGCCGTACTTCAGGCTCAATTTTAGCAGCAAGTTATCAGTGTCTGCCAGAGGTGCTTTTAGCAGGGGTGTGCGAATGTTGAAATTTTTGAAAATGAATTGAATATGAATATGGTAAGAAACTGAATTTGCATATTGAATTGAATATGTGCAGTAATCAGAAGTGGTAACAACCTGTCTTTTGCCTCTGTTGAACCATGTCGTTGTGTTGGTTCACTCCCTGATGGCCTACTTGCAGAGTCCTTTTTACATTCTTCTATCGACCAAGGCTGTTGTTTAGGTGGTTTTGGAGCGTTGTAGATGTTCCCGTCGGCGTTCGAAGAATAGTTTTGCACGACTTCCACTGAGCTGTCAGCGGCGAGGGTTTTGTGTGATATTACCAGAGAAGACTTTTTCCGGCTTTCGTTCCTTGCCTGCTCGGTGGTTCACCAACTGCGGCTGAAGCTATACTCTGACAACACATTCGAACGAGGACGGTACCGCCCTAGAGTAGCTAGTGTGGCTGATAAGTTGCCAAACAAAGCATACAAGGTGATGGTAGCCATCTTGTCCAGTAGTTGAGTTCTTGTCTACGGCGGTGCGATGTTCTTGAAGCTTTTTCTTTTTACAGCAGAGCCGTTCAGGGCTAGTTTCCCCAGGATCGTGTCCCTCAGCTATGAAATGTCGAGACAACACTCTGGACAGCGACCGCCATCTATGAGCGATGGCGGTAGCTGTCCAGAGTGTTGGGTTTGCCGGTTGTCTGGTTGCCGCCATTGCTTATAGATGGCGGCAACCTTTCCAGACCTTTCCACTCAGGCTTGCCGACTTGCGGCCGGCCATTACTTCATTCCCACCATAGTGCAGCTCCGCTGGTCTTCCTTCACCAGAGTGGAAAGGCTGAAAGTTTTTTTTTTACTTTCCAAACATTTATAAATACTTTGAGGAAACATTATCGAGATGAGCTTATTGTTTTGCCTATTTTTATTATGCAAAGAGTACATGATGTATATCGCTAAAAAATAATACACAACTTACTTGATAAAAAAAAAAACGAACCAAAACTATTGCTGTTTTGTGAGGACAATAAGAGTTTTATACAAAACGAAAACAGAGCCGATACAGAACAGATAATGAATGCACCGCGTGTAGATTTCAGTGACTAAACATCCTGAGATACTCCAGAATGTTCAGGGCATACACTGCACATACTGTCGAAGTCGGTTATAACGAAATAGCGACTTTAGCAAAGCGATCACAAGTTCCCATTCCCTTTTGCACACTCTTTAACCGAAGTCGGTTATAACGAAATAGCGGATATAGTGAGGTGATTTCCGATTTTCGTTGACTTTGTTATAACCGGTCTTGACAATATTATTCCTTATTTACCTAAATATTCATCCGTGGCCGAATATTCGGGAAATTTCGAAAATGCTATTCTCGAATCAAATATGTATTGAATAAGGAAAATATTCGATTCATATTCGAAATTTTTAGTATTGGCACACCCCTTGCTTTTAGATTTGCTGTAATGACATCACAGATTTTCTTGGCTCAAAACACTAACCATGCACAAGTGTTTGTGGATTATTGCTTTGTCATGTAGAGAGTGAAACAGCACAACCGCGCAGCTACCATATTTTTTCTCTTTTATCTTCATACAGCTTGAAAATGCTACGAGTAAGACGGAGTGATTTCGTTTCACACTAGCTTAGGCGGTAAAGTGTGGCATTCAGTATTGGTGTGTTCACTTAGTTGTAGCAAAATGCCAATGTTGAGTTTGTTCTAACTGTATCATGCGGTGTACATCTAAAACTATTTTAGGTGTGGTATAAGGTAGCTGGGAGCTTCTAAACTTCAAAGGGGGTACCCTGGCGATTTTTTTCGGCTATCCCAACTAACTGTACTTCTGGAATCACCGGCCTTTACCCTTTCCGGTATGCTATTTAGTATTGCGGAATTCAGAATAGTTATTGTGAAATTGTCAAGTGAAAATGACCCCAAAACCAACATTCAAATGTACCCGTGCTTTTCACTGGCATGACGTCGGGAATGCGGGTTTGCAGGTAAAACGAGCAGTCTAAAAATGGACTATGCCAAGCATTTGTATCGCACAGCTGCGTGGGTATAGGAGCCAGCTTCCTTAGCATTCATTTGACACTAAGAAACTGCTTGTAAACAGTTCAGAACAAAGTCTACAGTCCAAAAAGTGAACTCGTGCCTTCCCCTCACGTCACTTTTTCATTGTTGCCAAGAGAGACTCACTTTGAAAAACACGGTGAGGACCAGAATTGTAAATTCAATAACTGGGCTAAAAAAAATGTTCAGCCTTTCCACTCTCGTGAAGAAAGAAGACCAGCGGAGCTGTACTCGATACACTGTGTGCTTCTTCTTCGTCATTGTCTGTTTTTCACGCTGTTTCCTACGATGAATTCCCACCAACGTGCCCAACTATCCATTCTTCTATTATAGCTGGAAAGGTTGCCGCCATCTATGAGCGACGGCGGAAGCCATATTGGTTGTGTGCTTGCCGCCATCGCTTATAGATGGCGGTAGCTGTCCAGGTAGGTTTGTGTCGACATACACGGACACGATCCTGGGGAACCTAGTCCTTAACAGCTCCGCTGTAAAAATTAATTTTAGCCCAGTATTTGGGTTACTATTTTAACAATGTTCGTTGGTGCATTTAGCAAATTTTTAGGTAAATTGGGGTCTGTAAAGAAAACACCGAAATACCCCTTTATGTAGAGTCAAAGAAGAGAGGAAATATTTGCTCTAGGGTGCAAGAAAAAGCCTTCGACTGCAAAGCAGCAGGTACCCTCAACGTTGTCCGCCGTTTTCTGCAGACCACTTTTGAAAAATGTATACATATTCTACCGAAGTATGCTTGAAGCAAAATGCAAGTACTTGGGAAATTCATACTGCTTCCGAACATCGGTGTTGGTTAACAAAGTAACCTCACTGTGTTTTTATTTCGTATCTTTTCTTTGTGTCCAGTCTGCGTGATCGAGTGCTCTGGAGCGTCCAACAGAACAACGTCCGGGAGGCGGTGGTGTCGCTCCTGGCAGAGCGACAAAAGACTCGAAGCGTCCAGCGTAGGCCGAGCCTGTACAGGGACGTGCTGTTCCTTGCGCTCGCCACACTGGGCAAAGATGCCATCAACCAGCGTATGTGTCGACTGCCGTACATCATTGTCAGGCTTATTGGACCTCTCATCTTTCACCATAGTTAACCTCTCTCAGCAAGACTGACTTATTCAAAGCCAGAAAGTCCTTACTGCGTCGGTATTTTTATGGGAAGCTCACTGTTGCATTTCTGATATTTCTAGTCATTTGTATTTGTAGTAATTTTTGTTTCAGCAAGTCTCGTGTCCGAGATAATATAGTGCTGTGCAAACCACTTGTGACAAACTCCAAAGCTTTGCAGGATGTTGATTTGTTATGATGATGTTCCCAGGGGTGCCGCTATAAAAGAATGAATGATCTGGGAAAGTGTAATGACCAGTAACGCCATGGATACCTAGTTGGCGGGTTTGAGTACCGGTCGAGGAACCAGCAGTCTGATAGTCTACCATAATTGCAGAGAACCGAGATTTTGCGTGCAAATCAAAAGATTCCCAGGCAGTCCAAATGAATCCTCAGACCTCCGCTGGGGTGTGCCAGATGCCCTCCACTGGTGTGACACAAAAAAAGTTACCAAATTTTTATTCATTTATTAATTCATTCATTCATTCATTCATTCATTTATTTTCAGTGCTATCACATTCTACATACTTGCAAGGCCTTAATTGCTCTGTTGGGTGTTGTATCTTTGCAGAATCATTCTACTTGGACTACCTGAAAGCGTATGAAGAACTGGCCGCCAAGCGCGTATCCCTGTTCAAGTACGACAAGCACCCTTCAGTGTGTGCGATGCTGTGTCGCAAATACTTCAGGGATCTGGAGCTGTGGCCTGTCTCGTGATTGCGTCGCAAAGTACAGTCACAGTAGCCCTGCGCCATCCCTTGATTGAGAGGTTCGAGGTTTCTCTGAAGCTCTCCCAGGGATCTCTGCTAGATATCTTTTTTGTTGTGGTTCCAAGGCAACGTTTGTGTGGCCTCGCCATTTTTCGCGTCGTGATTTGTAGCAAAGCGGTTGTTGGCCAAGAAATGTCTGCCCCAAATCGGAGTGTGACGAAATGGTCTGCCACAAAAGGTATGAAACGGTCTGCCACCAGAGCTCTTGCCACGAAACGGTAAAAGTTGAAATGTTGGCCCGTAAAATACTAGTTGGCTAAGCACCAATATGTCTGGCCGCATAATGGTTGACAACGGAAAAGTCCGAGGTTTGTTGCAGGACGGTCGGAAATCGTTATTGCTCAGCGAGTCTCGGGCCGTGGTTTGTTTTTGCTAGCCCAACAGTTGGTGTTGCTTGATCTGTTACACGGCGTTGTTAGTTTCTCCCCCCTGCAATTTTGTTTTTTTAATCTTGCAGTGTAAGTAATCAAATAATGGCTGGCAAATCGTTGAACTGGGCTTTCGAAGCTTGGTTTTGTTGGTCCTTCATTTTTTTTTATAGTTGACGTACCGGCTCGGCAAAGAGGAAAAGGAACGCTATTTACGAGTTCGCCGAGTCTCTGCTCGTTTTTCGGCAGGGCCGTTATTGGTACGTTATTGTAGGGGCATGCACTTGCATGTGCTTTCTGTTGCATGCCTAGGCTCGTTTTTCTGGTTTTTTTTTCTAGCCTTTGTAAATATTTAGGAGATTCCTGTACAATATAGTTCAGCTTTTATTTTTTTTTTTTCTGCCCAGTTTTCTTTTAATGTTGCACCCTGCGCGGTGAGCCGGCGGCTTATACGGCCGTCCCTTTTTTAACAGTTCGATGTCGACGGCATGTTATATTATCACTAACCTAGTTGCTGTTTATTCACCGCGTTTCGTTCTCCCACCGTCGCGCCGTTTTATCGCCGAACGTCGACATACAAAAACGGTACAACACGGCCGGGTGCGACCAGAAGCTAGCTCCTGGTTGGTCGTGGGCCGCTCTCCTCAGCAAATCAAAACAACTCGTAAATTGGTGCAGCTTAGATGCGATGTGTCCAAAAGATCAGGTGTGGTTTCCTGGCTACTGAAACCACCTACCTAGGTGCTCCTTCACAAACTTCGGCGACCGTGCTGTGTTAAACTCGTTGCCAAGTTTACCTGAAAAGTTGCGTTGGCTCGGTGGACATTCTCGATGCATGTCTTTTCAACCTGAAGCCATTGTTCCTGTTAAACTGGCCCGGAGGCATCGTGTAACCGTGCCGGTGTAGCGCCGGAGACTCGTGCACTGGTGTGTGTGTGTGTGTGTCCTGTGTGCTTTACACTTTTCTTTACACCTGTAACGTTTTTTTTTAAACATTGCCCCTTGTTGCAACTGTATTATATGACACCACTACCACCTTCTCTTGTATATTAATACATTTCCCCGGGATATCGGGCTTCGAAAATAAACAACAATGGGGGTTCTTGGGAATTGCATTTCTGCAGGGTTGGGTCATGGGTTCTTTTGTCTCAGACTGTAGTCCGAAGTGTGATAGTGTAATGATAAAGTTTTCTCCCGTTTTTTTTTTTCTTGTCTACAAATGTACATATGTTGGCATTTTATGTCCATGTTATCTGTGAATGCAAATAGGAATAAGGAAATTAAAATGGTTTGCAGTAATTACATGCTGTTGGTCTCTTGCATGAGCATCATCGAATGTGTAGGGCGTTTCTCGGAACACTGACCAATTCGTTCCGGCAAAAGTCTGCATCACATAGAAAAAAAATGTGAATGTCGTATTGAACCCTGCCACAGGGCGTAGCTGGGAAAATGAATAATGTTTAGTATAATTAGTTTATGAATCAGTTCTGTTACATAAAATTGTAATCTGTTTGTTTTATGAAATCTAGAGTGCTAATTTTTTTTTTTTTTTTTTTTTTTTTACTATTTGACATTTTTTATTCTTTACAACCATTTGGCATAGTGCCTCATGATAGTTTGACTCTTGTGAAATATCCTTGTTTGTTCAGAGGCTGCATCTGCTTCTGCCTTGCGGAAAAAGATTGAGTACTGCAAATACTGAATTCATTTTACAGCAAAGCTGTTATGCGCTAGAATCTGAGAAAAAATGTGTCTGCAGATGTTGACAGAAAACTCCCCATTGGTCGTGGCAAGAATGAATTAAAAAAAAGGGGGCAACCAGCATGAGTCAGCCTTCCTTGGCATTATTAGATAGTGAGGCCCTGATCCCTTGTTATCTCTAGGTATGGTCCGAGAGGTCGTCCTAGGCGGCGTCCTCTAGATGTCCTTGAGGTAACCCTCTAGGCGTCCTCGAGGTCATCCTACGAGTCATCCAAGAGCTCGTCCTAGACATTGTCCTTGAGGTCGTCCTAAATCTTATCCTTGAGGTCGTCCTTTAGGCGTCGTCCTTGAGGTCATCCTAGACAACGTCCTCTAGGCATCGTCCTAGACGTAAAAATAACAGCTTCGCTGGTCCTCCATCTTCACGTGAAGTGGAAGGGCTCTACAATTTTTTTTACACATCTTTAGTGTTGTGCAACACTAAAGATGTGTTTCTGGAAATCTGTTCACCCAAAACGTAGGGTGGGCGATGACTCGGGATTTACGGTAATTAGGTAATGTCAAATCGGTAGTTTAATTGCCATCCCAATTCATCGGACTTTCTGAGGTCACCGTCCGGATTAAAATTAACCGAAACAACCTTCACGAGTTTGGCTTAGTTTTCGTTCAAGCATATATGGTGCAACGCAGTGAAAAGCTTGGAGAAACTATCGGGTGTATTCATCGCCATGCCGAGTGAACAGTGCCCTCAAATATGGCGTCCAGTGAATTTTATATTCGATTCGAAAATATTTGGCCAAAACCTATTCGCGCACGATTACATATCTTAAAACATGCATTTTCCGTGGCAGTAATTCAACTCCGGTAGGAAAGAATTAATGCGCGGGTAGGCGTTCGCCCCTTTTGTTCCCCAAATACCTCAACTTTAATAGGATGATATCTAGGCGGAAAGGGACATATATTAGCCTCACACTCTAAATGCGCGCATGTCCACAGGAAGCTATGTGCACTTAGTGTGCACTGCACATATAAGAAATTGTACATCCCTTCCACTTCCCAGGAGGATCTGTTATTTTTACGACGTCTATGAGGATGCTTAGAGGAGAACGACTTCTAGGACTACGTCTAAGACAACCTCGAGGACGATATGCCTCGAGATTATAACAAGAGATCAGGACTCTTTATTTTTATTATGGTGCCTGGAACGCGTCTCCGACTGGTCTGTTTACCACGGCCAAAAAAGTGGTCCCTCAATTTCCGCCTGATGACGTCATAAAAGTGTCATGCTGTCGCCGGTCGCGACCCTGGTGGCGTCTCAACAGTTATGGTGTATGTAGCAGATGCCTGTTCTGCTGCAGGTCGCTTTCCACTGTGACAGCTCACGGAAGCTAGTGCAGCCGGAAGTTGGGACGCCTAAAGGGACGCCGTGACGACAGCGACACTCGCGTTCGCTCGTGCTTTTTGCCAGCATTTCTACGGCCAACCGCCAGGATCGCGACAGGCAACAGCATGACACTCGCGTCATTTGTTGCCACATCGGGACCACTTTTGATGTATGGGCGGGATAGGACGCTAAACACACCAGTCGAAGACGCGCTCCAGGCACCATAATTTTTATTTATTGATACTTGCCACGGCCAATGGGGAGTTTTCTGTTCACATCCGCGGGCGCATTTTTCCCCTAAATCCTAGCGCATAATAGCTTCGCTGTAAAACGGTTTTGCGAGATGTGGCATTTTAATTTGCCGAAAAATATATGATTTTGTGGAAATATTCACAAAAAGGATACGTGGGTCTCGTGCTTTACTGTGCACACGCGTTTGTAGAGAGCAAGCGCCGCCGAAAACAACATACTCGCACTTGTAGTGGATCCGAAATCGAAACAAGACACACAACGCAATGCTCTATCCATACTAGTCAGGCAATTGAAAGCGACATCGCGGAATGGCGGCATCATGAAAAACTACGTTCGCCAAGTTTGCACGTGAGGTGCCACGGTTTCAACTGGAACTCATGAGTATTTCGATACGACGCATCGAATGCTACGGCAAATATAAACGGCAATAACACGCTGCAATGGAGGACCTAAAGGCAATGCTGAACTTTGACGGAGCGTCGGTTCAGCGCAAAGTAAGTGACGCCGCTGTGCCAGATCGCGCGCTGTCTCATTTTCCGAACCTGCGAAAATAAAGTACAGTTGACAAAGTTACGACGGTGTTTAACACCTTACTACTATCACTGTCTTCAGGCCGTGAAAAAGATTTCCGAGCGGATTACCCTCAGCGTGGCGCCTGGACAACCGCTTGCAGCGGACAGCACTAAAGTGAGTTTTGCGGGCCTTCGCGACATGCAGGCACCTAACGTTTTCCATTTTGTTAAACCAAAGGTAAACTTATACCCAGCTCGCCTGCGCCATCACGGTAGTACCAGACTTTGTCTAGCGGCACATCAAATTCAGCTTTTGATGACTCGTGCAATCGTGTTTGTAATACTGCTTGTTTGCTAACATGTTATTTTCACATGGTTCTTTTCTGGCCAGTCGTTACTATCAAGCCACCGCCATTCCTTGTGCAAAAATCAGCCACTGCCATTCCTTGTAGCAGAAGCTACAAGAGCGATCTCCAGGCTTTCAGCGTCCCTGCCAAGCACGCGCGCTCGTGCAGTGCAAGCACTGTTCAGGGCCACATGCGCGCGCTTGTAGTGCTTGTAGCTTCGGCTGCGAAGCGAAGTATAGTTCGCCAACAAAAAAATCCCTCTTTTGAGCACATATACCGCACATACTTAACATATTCCTCCACATTTCCCTCCTTTTTTTTTTTTTCCTAATAATTTCTTTGTTTAAACTGCAGGTCGATGACTTGCTTTGAGTTTAAAGTTACACTGTGCGGGGCGAGAGCTAGAAAGCGAGGTGGCTAGTACAAAGTTAGAAAACCAACTGAGAAACTGCTTTGACAGATACCTCTGCGTGGTTGTGATAGGAAAGAGTTGTTGAATAAAAAGCTGGAGCAGTTCAAGTGCATCGCGCTGCATTATCACACTTGTCGTGGCCTTTGACAGCACATTAAAATGATGTAACACATGACATTTATTCCGGTATTTTTTAATGCAAAAGCATTAACTATCCCATAGAGTGGAGCCGGCGACGTCTGTAACCACAAAAAAACGCGAAAGAAATGCCCATTTTCCCATTGGCTGAGCAAAACGGCTCCTAGATAACCTTTGGCAGCCGCTTCACGAGAGCGCACGCTCGGCTGCCGGCTGCTACCTTGGCAGTATTGAAACATGGCCGTCCAGGCCAGTACACCGCAGACAAACTAAGGGAACGGTAGAACGACATTCATGCTTTCGCATTCACAACTCGTAACAAGTGCTTTGTTCCTTGCAATTTTTTTTCAGTACCAAAGTTTTGTCATGTTTCTTGCCAAATTCTTCAAATTCTCTGCAACTTTGTCAAGATTCCCTTTTCTCATTCCTACCAAATCTAAAGCTTAAAATTAAAAACGAAAAAAAAACAAAAAAAAAAACGGAAATTTTAAGCACTAACAAGTTTGCTTACAGTTACTGGTGGCAATCAGCCGTTGAACAATGTTTCATCAACAGATTTTTTCGTCAACACGGCGACATTTAATCAACAGTTTACTTCATCGAAAGGCTCCCGCATTCGTTTCATAGACATACCTTGATACTTGTCAAAACTGCAGCTTGGGAGGGTTGGTTGAACATATTGCTGACTTCACAGTGCACAAATATCACACACACAGATTAGTAAGACAAACACACAACATGCATACTATACTGACAGTGTGGTCTGTATGTTGTCTGTTTTTCCTAAATACGAATGTATTTAGGACAAACATATTTGTGCACTGTGAAGTTGAAAACATCTTGAGATGTTTCGTCAAAAGTGTCTTTCCACTTAAAGGGGAACTCCGCGGATTTTTTCATGGTCCCCGATTTGCTTGAAATTTTGCTGAACTCGCCAAACAACATCGCCAAAATAGTATCCCAAATATTAGGTCAAAATAATTTTTTTTTCATGAAGTTATTGAATTTACAATTTTGGTCCTCACCGTGTTTTTCAAACTGAAAGTCTCTACTGGCAACAATGAAAAAGTGACGTCATTGGAAGTGCAGGGGTTCACTCTTTGAACTGTAGAATTTGTTCCCAACTGATTTGAAGCAGTTTCATGGTGTCAAATGAATGCTTTGGAAGCTAGCTCCAGTCCCCACGCTCCATCACGGAACAAATGATTGACATCTTCTATTTTTTAGACTGCTCGCCCGACTGGCAAGCTGACCTTCCAATGACGTCACGGCCCTGAAAAGGGCGGGTATATTTGAATGTTTGTTTTTGCATGATTTTCATTTGCCGATTTCGCAATAACTATTATGAATTTCACGATACTAAATAGCATACCAGAAAGGGTAAAGGCCGGGGAGTCAGAAAATATAGTTAGTTGAGGTAGCTCAAAAATCGGCGGAGTGCCCCTTTAAGTCGGCCCGGTCGCTGGTATCTGGATGATATCCTAGCTTGCCGAGCCTTGGCGGTTCCGATGAGGCCTAGTGCAAGCTCGAGCCTATTAATGTTTTCCCAAGCAAAGCAAGGGGTGTCCACACATGGTGCGAACTGTTTGGGAGTTTAGGATTAGGGCTTTCAAGTTTCTTTTTGCTCTACTGGAGGCATGTGAGTAGTTTGCTTTAGGTGCAGTATGCTTTTAGCGAACAAAATGGGTCTAGTAACTGAATCCAATCCACTTAGTAAAAAAATATGTCGTCGATGAAACGTTGCAGAAGGACGTGTCTACGAAACGAGTTTGCATGAAACATCTCAGTGTCTACGAAACATGTGTCCATAAAAAGTTGTTTACGAAACATGTTTTCATGAAACATGTTTTTACAAAATGATAGGGACTTATTGCTTGCATGTCGTATTTGTCAGGTTTGCAAGCAGTGTTTTTGTTTGTTAATTGCTTGAGTAAGACAAGACCTTCATAATAGACTTTTTTCCAAATGATGCATAAATTATGCTCAACTGCCATTAGTTGGTCACGCAGTATGAGCACACATTGGACACAAGCCCTTTGTCAGCATTCAGAGTGTACTCGGATCGAAACGCATTCCACGCGAGTGTTGTGTCAGTGCTCGACACAAACTTGGAACCAATCATGGGCTTTACGCCGGAAGCGATGACACCAAACTAATGGTGGCTGCGCATAGTGTATGCATCATTTCACAATTTTGCATCATGTGCCGTATTAGAAATATTTGTCCTATCACGCCCCTAAATGCCTGTTGCCAGGAAACAATGCAAGGAATTGTGCTGATAAAGTTTGAGCAGTGTCGAGTATTGCCTTACTGCTGTTTATTGAATATAAACACCATCAGTAATGCATTTTTGGCAGTCGTTTATTCATCAGGTGCCCAGGGACCAGTGCTTCCTGATGGCTCGGGGTACATACACAAGAAAAAGACACATTTCTAATTGTCTTTCTGCAGAAACCTGCAGAGTTCGACTTGCTGCTTGAAAGCTGTTGCCACAGCAACTCTGTAGTGAGCCACGACTGCTGTGAAGCTTTGCTTGCGCTTGTCGTGAATGGCCACCTGGACTGGAAGTTTGCCATTACTCAGCTACTAGGAGCACTCTATGCATCCAAGTGAGCAATTTATTTTTGTTCTCATTGTTTGGAGAATTGGGTTTTTCACCTCCTTTTAAAGGGGCACTGAGTTAAATTTTGGGTTGGTTTTTAACAATAAGGAATTAAGGATGGCGTATGTCCAGAGTTGCTGACAACAGGGTGAATATTGGCAAGTAGGCGCACATTGATCAGGCTGAATAACAGCATACAGAAACCGGGACCAAGCGTCACCTTCTGCTTCACCCACCCCTCTTTCTGGGAACTGCTTTTCAACACAATTAGTATTCCACTGACAGTGTAATGGATGGGCTTAAAATCATTGGATGGGTAGGAAACGTTGGTATGTCTGAATCCCAGCTGAAGGTTCCGCAGTTTGATGGAGGTTTATTGTGGGTGACAGATTTCGGTTGCGTGCCGGAAGGTTCTGACATGGTCCAAGCTAATCCTCAGTCCTTCTCTGGAATATGCCAGATGTCCTTTGTTGGTTTGGCACATAAAGCCCAAAAACATATTCATTTATTATTTTTATGCTTAGGTAAATGGGCACCCAAAGCCTAGTAATGTGGCAAATATCCTTACTGCTGTAACATAAAAAAGAAATGTTTCATGTGCAGTTCTGACATACTATGCATTGGCATGACAGTGTAGATAGCCTTGACTACCTAATCCTTTGGCTCTATTTGTAGTCAGACTGTAGACAGAGACTGCTTTGTACTCATCCAAGTAACTTTCTTTGTGTTCCTATGTGCTTATGGCATTCCTTCTGACCTACAGATGAAAAGGGTAGAAGGAAAAAAATTGCCTTTGTTTAATAAGTGTTAGAAAACACTTCCTTCAATAAAAAATATATCTAGAGGTTAATCTCCTCTCTTTGAACACATTACAATTGTCCAAGTGTTAAACTGAGAATACAGTGTCTCTTGAAGCACATTAGGAAGCTGTATGCTGATATCTTTTCTAGAAACAACACGGGTGCTGCCATCTTGGTCATAGGAAAGCTTCTCCAAACTCAAATGCAAGGAGAAATACAAGCAAAGGCAAAGTACAAGTGTCCGTTTGCACTTCGGTGAGCTGCAAGCCTTCTGTAAAGTGTTTTTGTGCCACAAGTAATGTTCTACCTATCTCCAAAAGATTAGATTTTGCCTAAATGTAGCTCTAGTAGCTTGGAATAGTTTAAAAGTTTTAGAACTTAGCCTTAGCTTGGTAAAAAGATAGAAGCAGTTTTCGGACTGCATGAATACGTGGAGGGGACTAGTGTATGCTACCAAAAACTTAACAGCCTTCTCTAAATAAAAATGTACAAAAATTGCTTTTAACTTTGGAATTCACCATGTTTTCTTTTGAAACTAAGGCGTTTTACCCTACGTAAAGCGCTGCATTCTGGTCTAGCCTGAGCTTTCAGTGATATATATATATTAGTTCATACTCGTGGTGAGAAAAACATGGTTTGCCTTTTTCGGTATGTAGAACCTTATTGATGCATTCTTCGGGGGTCTGTGATAAAAAGAATGCATAATCCATGAAACCATAAGTGATAACATTTTTGGGGCCTATATATGAGACAGGAGGAAACACACAGCAGTTTATTTCACATGGATGGCTGTGGAGCTCTACCGTTTAAACTCAAACAAAAGATTCTTTTTTTTTTTTTTTTTCAGAATTGTTGTTTAAAGGTTGGGTTCTATCAATAAATCTAACCAAGGAATGTGCAAAGAGTGCGCACAAATTTTGATCCCATAGAGCTAATGCAGACGCTCCCCTGCATCAAATGCTGCTCTGAAAGGGTAACTGCAAAGAAAAAAAAGTGTTTTTTTAAACAGCGTAATTGGGACAAGCATGTCAGAAAACAAATCTTCCATGAAAAGAACATTTTTCTAGCAATATTTACGTTACAGGACGTAATTTAATTGGATTCAGAACCTTTCCACATTTGAAACTCCTCTTTCGACCCGCACGGAGAAGAAGTACGCCCATTCCTCACTCTTGGATTTGCTCTTGGATTGGCTTGGTTGCAAGGTTGAACGACGTACGCAGCGTCTCAATTTCCATTGTGTCTTGTCGGAGATACACCACGGATCAGGGGAGGGGGGAGGGGGACGGGACGAGAGAAGGAGCCAATGATATACGCTGAAAGCTAGAGCCGGTTCGCTTTTGTTGTTTTCATTTGGTCGAAAAAAAAATCTGGCAACAACACACGTTCAACATGGTGCCGGTATTGTTTTGTTTCGACAGGATGCGAGAATCTCCGTGGTTTGCGAGCACATGTTGCGATGACGTGACCGGTGAAGCACCCCGGTGATGTTCCCGAAAGACATAAAGTATTATTCGTAATCGTCGTGTGTGGTTTGAAAGTGAAGGGAGTCACAGGGTCCACGAGTGCACAACCACAAGCCAACGTTCACGACAGCGCTGCATTGACTTCGGCGATCTCGTTCTGTTTGGTGCAACACGGCGATGCGACAAAAACTGAAACGTTCGTCGTGTGTGGTGCGGGGCTTGTAAGTAGAAACCCACACAAACACGGAGCACAGATCGGTTGTGGGGTTGAGGTTCAATGGGTTCAGTCCCGTCGTCGTCAGCTCATCTGGTCCAGCTGGTACGGGAAGACGCAGCGAGCGTCTTCGAAAGTAAATCTTCCTTCGTTCCGTTTCAAAATGTTGAATACTCCCCGTGTAAAACGCTGCCGGGCGTTTTCAGCAAAATTATGTCGTTTTAATTGAACAATGGACTATGGATTGTTGTCCTAAATCTGCCATTTTTATGCTTCGTGTTGTTGTACTGTGTTTTCACAGCAACATGTTAGCACAGCGACGCACACCACTCGAGTAGATGATTCGGTCCTGCAAACGACCGGTTATACAGAATATCAGGGAAACATAAGTCACTACCGATATTTTCCTGTAAATCTTGTGCTAGTTTGTTGTGCTCATCATTTAGCGCAAATAAATTAGGGCAAGATTTCCCACCCTCCCACAGATGCATGAACTGAGACCACTTTTTACGTAGTGAACATAGTGCTCTTTCTTTATTTTGGGAAGAGGCATTGGTGCATTTATTATGATACAATCACTTGAGAGTTCAGGAATTGGGGAAAGCGAGCAAGCTTTCCCAACTTTGTTTCTTTTCTCTCTGGCACTGCCCATAGTTTCAAGTTGCAGTTTCATAGACATACCTACTAGCAGGTAGAAACTGCTCTAAAGCAGGTAAAAGACTGGAAAGTCAGGACGGTGCGGTCTCCGTGTTTCACACTTTTCGGAAGGTAACTGGGTAAGTGCTCTTGCGAGGTATGTGGAATATGCAAACAATTTTGTTATACCCGTCGTTTGTGTCTCGAGCAAAACGAAGAAGATGATCTACAAAGGCACAATCAGAAGCCAAGATTTACGATAGCGGTACACATTTACGATAACACATTCAACTCGAACAACTTTACGTAAGATGGTTCAGAAGCCGAGAAAAAAAAAAATGTCGGCTAACGCAGAGTTCGGACGTTCGAAGGCTTCTGCAGACAGCTCGTAATAACCTGGCTACGCCAGGTTTTTTTATGTAACAGCTGTGTCTCAGTCGCGGATGTTCAATGCACCCAATGCAAATTTTGAAGGCCTCCGGGGTGAAATGACGAGAACATACCTGGACACGTTTGTCGCTATGCGAATGCCCGATTGCCTCCAGCCAAGTGGCATAGCTTGCCATCTTTCGGGGCGACAAGGCTGCTGAAAGACTTGCTGTCGAGATCACTCATCTGGCATTACTTTACGGAGCAACGACGCCGCTGTAGAGAAGCTGACATCTCCAAAAAGTCCACATTTGCATGTGCAAGCAAAAAAAAAAAAAAAGGATAGTACGCAAAGAAAGAAAAGCTGAAAGTGAAAGTAACAAACAATGCTATCAAAGCCAAAACCCCGCGTTGCTTCCTATCACTAACACCTGCGACAGCTGCTAAACTCACAATAGTCCACTTCAAGAAGTCTCACTCAAGCAGCTGGGTCAACGCGAAACACTGATTACTTAGACGAAACGACTAGTCGAGGTAGGCGAGACAAGCGGGAGCAGGGACTTCGGCGGCCATGAAGAAAATGGTGAAGCTTTTGTTCGTTATGGTATGAATCCAAACGGAAGTGCTTTCTTGTAAACCTTTTGTAAAGAATAATAACTCTAATTACATGGGTTATTCCTTAGACATAAGAATATGTCGCTCAAAAGGAAATTACAACATATCACAAAGGTTTAACAACCAAGATCTAAGCTGTCAATCATTCTCTTAGCCAATGAAAAGTATAGCAGCCACTCCGTGACGTATAATACCCTCTTTGTGGCGCGCGAATTAAAACAGACGAAATATCTACAAACTAAAATCAGTCTCGCGCAATAAATATTGCTGTAAAAATATTTTTTGTTCGGGAAAAATTGTTTTTTGACATGCTTGTCCCAATAGGGCTGTTTAAAAAAACACTTTTTTTCTTTGCAGTTACCCTTTAACACGCCAATGCGAAGTATTAATAATTGGGGTTGTGTGAATATTTATACAGCATGTAGTTGGTTGGTCATTTCAAAGTTGCTATGAGTCGCTCACTGTAGATGAGCAATTTAGCCAGTGCAGTACAACCGCTAATGCAATGTATTCAACTCGTGTCCCCCTGAGTGCACAGTGCATGATTACAAACTTTGAACTCCATCCGAAACGAAACTAGTGGAACCAGGAAAAACAAAATATGTGTGTGCATGGGAAAAAGAATCAAAGGATGAACAGATGATTGCGAAAGCCCCAATCTTGTTCAAACCTGCTTAATTCTGAGTCATGCGGGAAGGCAAACACTGCAAACGGGGAATCGATACACATATTTCTTTGGGGGTTCAACGGCACCAGCGTTCGTAAGCTTAATAGTTGCGAAAACATATAAACGAAGATTGTGTAACAAGGTTCTGTGGCTTTAAAGCAGATTGCATCAGCCAGTTTCTCGAGATAGGAGGTATAGAAGATTCCAGCTCATGACGAGAAGAGACGAGCATCGACACTTTCTACATTGCTTATTTGGTTTCGTTTTGCATTTATTGTAGAGTTTATTTCCTAATGTGTTCATAATGCAGCTGTTAGTTAACTTCATGCATCACATTATGATTTCACTATTGTTGAAATTTAGAAAATCTAATCTTCTGGTTTGATTTGAGGACCTTTAAGTTCAAAGAAAGGTAGCTCTTGATATTTTAAGGGAAGGAATTATGCACCATTTAACAGCGTCTCTATCTTAAATTTATGTGACATATTTGTAGAAGGACCATTATTTTTAATTTTTTTTGTGCACTGTTGATCAGCAAGGGATCCGTCCCGTTTGGACTATTGTTTGCAGGAGCCCCACACATCCACTTGTGCTTGTTCTCCGAGAAAAGCCGGATTCTTGGAGATCCGTGCTGGAAGTGGTCCAGCTTTCGTTCGACGAACATCAGGGATGGTAAGGCAGGAACTTTGCTGGCTACGAACTATTTCAATGCCACGGGAAGCAAACTGAATGTGGCGCTAGCCCTGACATACGGCCGTTATTGAAAGATTAGCACAGACACACTTCTGCTTCATTTCCCAGATTGGCTGCAGGATTGTCAGCACTATGAATATTTCTGCGCATTGTCCGTTCGCCCAATACTGGCTTGTACTTAGGGCCTATAGGATGTGTTCAAAGAGTCCTTGAAAGGAGCTACATACACATAACATGCTACTTCCAGTTGTCTAGAGATCAAGGGGTGCATAATTCGTTTTGTTGTGTGGCCAAACAATCCCTTGTTTTGGGCATTAATATTGACAAACTGTGGGCATCTGAACTGCTTTATTGCAATAATGCCAAAGGGGGAGGGGGGGTTCCTCATCTCTCAATCAGTGGAAATAAGTGTTCCTTGAGATTGAAAAGATTGAGAAACCCTGAGCTCAGGTATGGTACCTCATACTTCTCATGATTTTTTTATAATGGCATGGCATTATTTGTTGTCGATTTGCTTCATTAATCCCAGTGGTAAAAATCCCCACTAACAGACGGCTTAGTGGAGCGGTTTCACCAAGTGTTCGGTGCATGCGTGACGCCGCCAGAACTTTAGTTCACAGGAGGCAGATTGCAGTGCCTTTTCATGCTCTACACGCGCAAAGCTCCAGAGAGGTGGTTGCACGTGCAGAAAGACATAAAATTTCTTTGATGCATTGCGGCAGCAGTGGCGGAGTCAAACTAGCCGTTGAGATGGGTCTATTGTACGGTAAATGTTGGACTTAATTAAAGAAATTATTTGAAGTTATACGAGCTTCACCCATAACAACAAATATGGTCAGATAGTTTAAATATTTAAAATTATCTTTGAATTATTGCACACTCGTGGCGATTTTCTCCATCTGTCTTTCCTGTACCCATCTTACAAGATGGAGCCTTTTTTCTTTTGTATGCTGGATGTTGCTAAATGGTTTCTGTCAGTCGCTTTCTTACATGCCGTCTCACGGAGGGAAGAATTTAATGTTTTGTTTCAGGGAGACATTTGAGATGCTCTCGCCACTCTTTGACTATGTGCTGCTCAGTCCGCTATGGCCCTTGGAGCATGCTGCTTTGCGGATGGGGCTCTTCAGGATAATCGGTGGTCCGAAATTCTGCCACCAGCAAGAGGCCTTTCTGAGGGCGTCCCTGCAGTGGCTACCTGTAAGCCTGTTACTGAGACTCCACATGTCGTCATTTTGTTAAGCCCCCAGGTCTACTTTACACCTGCATTGCTGTGCTGAGATAATACAATTGGGGTTGCATCAGCACTGTTGTCAATGTGCATCACTACCATAACTCAGTGCTGAGTTACGGTAGTGTTGCATTGTGTATGTAAGCTTTAAAAGAGGTAGGGTCAGATGCAATGGAACACTGATACAGTGCTGATGTAGCACAAAGTCAGCACTTTGTATATGGCACTTAGTTAGCACTGAGGTATATGTGTTAACACGCCTCAAAAATGATAAACAACAGGGATAGTTTTTGTGTTCACCCAAAAATGGGAAGTTTGAAGAGTGTGCCACTCTAGCATGAAAGTGCAGCTTATGAAAGCCTAATGTATGACATCCCTCATCAGTGTTTATAATTTTTTGATTCAGAGAAATGAAACCCAGGCGAATAGTAACGGAATTTGTGTTTTTCAAGAGCTGCCTCTTATTATGCATGAAATGTTGTTTACAGTAGTTCAGCAGTTCTGCAAAAGACGTGACTAGTTCTTTGTTATATGTTATAGATAACATTAAAAAAATTAGTAGAACTTTTTTACTGCAATTGACTGTCCACCTAAAGAGACACTAAAGTGGATTTTGAGATTGTCCTTTTATGACTATAACTTTACTATGTGCCCTCACGTCCTATAAAATTGAATATATTATGATCATGTGTCACCTTTTTCCGTGACCAAAAATTCTGATTGCCCTCTTTTTTTTTTTTATTAAAGGGGAGTGTCCTGATGTTTGGTTGGAGTTTTAAAAGGGAAAAAGGCCACATGTTAATGTATTTCCAGGTTTTCTAGGATGCTTAGGGCACATGGGTTGAGTTTGTGCGAGAGTAGACAATTTCAAAAACCTCTTTAGTGCCCCTTTAAATATTCTTCCGTTGGCACACAGGAGCTCCGATTTCCGCCGTTGTTTCTTGCAGTTGACGGATGCTGCAGAACTTGCTCAGGTTGTGGCGATACTTGAAGAGCTTTGTCCACTGGTGGAGCTTCACTATCCTAATTTATGTGGCTGGTGTGCTACATACACGCTGTCAGTCTGTCTTCACGCTCACCAACATCAAGTCACTTGCCTCATGTTGCTGCGTCAGGTGCAAAGGCTCTGCGAGGCGTCGAAGGAGGTGACCGCTTTTCTTGCTTGTTTTTCCACCTGCTTTTAACATAATTTCCGGTTTATAAATCGCAACCCCAATAAACGACTCTTTTTAGAGAACAAAATTTGTATATGAGTTGCACCTATGTAGGTACTCGTACGGTCGGCACGGTGAAACTGCATTGAAAAGCCCGTACGTGTATGCTATGACTGCAACATATGTGCAAGCGAGAGAGAGTCAATATCCTTGTCAACGAATTAAATGAGAAATATTACCCCCGTGGCAAATAATTTTTTCAGTTAAAGGGGCATTGCAACGATTGTAACATTGAAAGAATTTGCAGCTCATATTTTTTAATCGCTGAAAATTGCTATTGATATTGCTATGCACAAGTGAGAAATAACGCTCCACCTTCTCCCGAAAGACTGCTTTTCCGCTGCATAATCGCAAAAAAAATAAAATAAATGATTTGTTGATATGCGGCTGCGTGTGGCGGTGATGGCAATTCCAGCGTCGCGTCACTGGGGTACACGCGGAAGTGCTACACTCGACGTTGGCACCGTGGCAAACCGTCTCATCTCAATCGCTCGTTGCGACCTTTGGCAATGCTGATCCTCGAAAAGTCGACAACGGCGGAAGGTGTGGAAGAGGGCTCTGAAGACAGAACCCAATGGGGGGAAACCAAGTGGTCCCCCCCAGTGACGTTGCTCGAAAGACAGCGTGAGAGTTGAAGGGTACTTTGATTTTCGATTTTTAAAAATTTTTCAAAATGAAAACTAGCACGCACGAGAAAGATGGGTTTTCTGTTCTCCGTTCTATAGGGGACACAGATTAATTCTCGCAGTTAATTAACCAAAGCCCGAAAATTGTCGCATTGCCCCTTTAGGTTCCATAGTTATACCCTGAGCAGCCAAAACATTATGACCATCCTTTCATTTTGGGAATGAGCGCACCTCTAGCTGAAGCTGCATTATTTTTTATCTTCTGGTGCAGATGGTACATGATGGCTACCGGGGGATGCGAGGGATCATTTTGTCGACTACGTGCGCGGGCAATAAGAAAGGCTGTTGATTTAAGCGACTTTGACAAAGGCCTGACCAGTTACTACACCTATTGGTGGCCTGTCTTCCACATCGGAACTGGAATCTTCCAACAGGATAATGCTCACAGGGCCAGAATTGTGCTACTGTAGATGGAAGAGCATGATAAATTCCAGTTGATGTCCTGGCCAACTAACTGATCAGATATCAATCCTATACATCTGGAATGCGATGGGGCACCAGCTTAGAGCTCACAGATCTCCTCCTTCTAATAATAGGGATTTAGCGACCAGTGCTTACAAATCTGGCACAATCTTATTCAAGGCACTTACCTCGGTCTTGTAGGGTCAGTGCCAAGATGGGTTGAAACTGTTGGGTGCCAGATCTAGACCAACATGCAGTGATGTGATTGCTGTGCCAATAGCACCAGACTGCGCCATGGAGCTAACCCTGCTACACCCTGCTACGTTTTGCTAAAATATGGTAATCTGCTCCAAGCCTGTGCCAAAGTACCAATTTCGGTCGCCTTTCAAAACCGAAACTAAACTGAGCACCATAATTGAGCGTGCGGGGGGGCTAGGTGGTGCAAGCGGCCACTCAACACAAAGGACCCTGCGTCAATTGTCCATCCGGTCTTGCATGGTTTTCCTGGCATCTCTCGTTTCACCCTCTCGTCGTCTGGTGCATCTCGTGGGCCTCGTCTTGCGTTTTCTTAAAATTTTTTCAACGAGACGACACATGCAAGGATGTTTCGACGCTTTGACGCTAGCGTGCCGGCAGCCATGCCGTCATGCAACGAAACAAAGTATTGAATAGTACCTAGGTTTCTCTCGATGGGCTTTCTTTTGAGAGGGAACCCAGTACATGAAAAATCTGTCGCGAAAGAAAGTTGGTGAAGTGAAGTGAGCTAAAGTAAAGAAGGCAATGTCTGCATGCTGAACCCGAACAGTGTGCTTGTTTGTCTCGAGTTCAGTCGTTGCACAAAGCAGTGTCCCAGCCATATTTGTTCCTCCGTGGGAACAAAAAATGGTAACCTCGGGGAAATGTATTAAAGCCAAGGAGAACTATCAACCTTCACAATTGTTTTTCTGCTTATTAATTTGGGTCTATTTCTCTTTTCCTACTCACACAGGGCAGGAAATCTACTCTATAAACTCTGGTAGCAGTGTGTTTTAAGACTGCTTTTAAAATATTAACAAATACTTCATTTTCAAAATATATTGACTGGCATGTTCGACGAAAGTAAATTTGCTCATCACAAACACTTAAAATTTAATTTAAAAGGAAAATAAACTAGGGGGCGATTGTAAGATTGGAGTTATTGTTTGATAAAAGTTTTGCAAGATGATAATAAACACCATGTGGCAGCAGCAACATCATAATTCTAGTGTTGCCTGTTACTCTGAAGTCTTTCATTGGCCTAATAATGTGTATGTTGAACAAATATGTATGGATCTCTTTTTTTCTAGTGTGACTTTTTGACAGATGTTTGCATTGTTGTGCTATCTGTCTTCCTGACAAAAGCTTCGCTGCCATACATCGGAAGGCTTCTTCACATATGTGAGTAAGAATGTTCCTTCAAAAAGGTTACTGGGCCCTTCATCTTTTTGATCTTCAGTGCCTGTAAAAATACAACTGTGTCTGTTTGTCTCTTTGGTCCAGGCGACTTTGAGTAACTGAAGGTTTTTCTCTTTACTTTAACTACCATTCAAAACTTTGCAACTGTTCATCATTTGAACAAATCGTTCCAAGAACATGTTCAGCTGTTTTGTCATGTTCATTGTGGGTAACTTGTGTACGCTTCCATGCCAGATACTGTAGTCTGGGATCATTGATAGACAGTGATTAGGGTCATCTTCTCTAGATGTTTGTCAGATTTAGCTCGACTGTTTTCTGAAACATCACTCTAGGCACCTATCTACAGTGTGGCAAAAGACGGGTAAACTAAATTTTGACGAGGAATTGAGGGAGAGTTTCAGTGGTTTGCAAAATTCATTGCAGACATTTCATTCATACCGCTATTCTACAGGCCAAATTGCTGTCATTTTTTGTCTCAATGTGGGACATTTTTTTTTATCATATTTTGGTATTTGACTGTTGCTCACTATGCTATATTTCAAACAATCACTGTTCAGCCATTCAACTCCAGCCCCAGAAATGGGCCAGTAATATTGCTAAATAAATTTGTGTCTTTATATAACTGCTTCTGCACTCGGTTTCTGATAAGGCCGCGCTACGCGATGCATCGCAAGTAAAGGGTTGGTGCTTGTGAGGTTTTGCTCCACTTGGGCCTGGTTCACACGTTTGCACTTGAGTGTGATCGACTCAACTGCATTGCAGCCGCTCGTAACCGCTTACGAGAGCACATACTACTCAAACAGACTGGTGCCACTGTTGCGTAGTCGTGGAATCCTTCCAACTAGTAGCTAGACCGGAGGTATTGCACTATATGCGATATCAAACATATGCACTACCTATGAGTAATGGTCTCTTTTTAAGATTTTTGGAATTATTTCAAGTACAGTGGAGTGTGGAAGATGGGCAGATCGGAATTGTTCCGGAGCTGCCCGACAGGTGCCGCCAGCGCACACTCTCGTCACGAGCAATTACAAGTACAGTCGAATCTCATTAGTATTTCGAACACACTTAATTCAAACTTTTGGTTTATTTGAACTGACGCTGTGGCTCGTACTACACTGTATGTATTTCAATGTGCGAAAACGCCCGGTAATTCGATCGCTTAAACATCCGCGCTGCTGCCCATGTTTTCAGGAGCAGGCTAACTCACGCTACGGCACCTCCGACCCGGCTTTGTGGCCGCGCTACTCCGTGCACCAGTTGCTACTCCTGTCTCCAGTTCCAAGTAACCATGACAGCCGATCACGTGGTGACCTCAAAAGCTGCGATGAGTGGTGCAGTGCTGGCAGTGGCTGTTGTCATTCTCTCTCTTGCACGGTGACAGTGCTGCGTCGCTGCTCTTCGGCGTGTTTTCAGCAGGAGCGTGGCAGTTATGTTTCTTGCCTTGCACTCGCGCATTGCTGTGGTTCATCATGTTTTCGGTGGGCGCGCGACTGATGTTTGTTGTGCCGCTGCTCTACAGCGCGTTTTCGGGGGGAGTGCGACAGTTATGTTTCTTGGCTTGCACTCACGCGTAGCTGCGGTTCAACGTGTTTTCGGTGGGCACGTGACTGACGTTATCTCGATTCCAAGCATCGTGGCAAGCCAGGGCACGTATCGCCCACCAAAGGACCTCAAGACGAAGGTAAAGATACTGCAAGAAGTTGACCAAGGCGCCTGCCCTTTCCAAGACGGAAATAGCGAAGAATCACGGCATCATGAAGGGTACTCTATCAACATACATAAAGAACAGGGAGGCCATCTTTGCTGGATATGAAAAGGAGCATAAACCTGCCAGGAAGAGGCTGCAGACGTCAGCACATCCCCAGCTTGAAGGCACTCTTGTCAGGTGGATAAAACAGGTTCGTAGCAGAAACCTTCCACTGAGTGGGCTAATAATTGCAGCCAAGGCGATGGAGTTCGCAAGCCAGATGGCTATTGAAGAATTTTCGGCATCGAACGGGTGGCTGTTGCAGTTTAAGGAAAGTCACGGCCTTACCTTCAAGACCGTTCGTGGTAAGAAGGCGGACGTGAACAGAGCCGCATGCAAAGAGTGGCTATCCGGGGAGCTGAAAAATTGCCTTGCTTCCTACATGCTGGACACAACTGTGCACTACTTCTCTTGCCAGGAGAATGCAAATGCTACATTAGAGGTAGTCTCCAAGCTCCAAGCGGTGTTCTTTGATTCACGACTGAGAAACCGCGCACAGGCCGTGTAAAAATCCGTGTAAAAAAATGTCCGTGATCCGTGTAAAAAAATGTCCCGGAACCCGTCACTCATGTGTTAGCTCAGTGCACATGCGCTGCCCAACGCAGCGCTGCATGTTATTACTTCATTTAATGAGCTTTCTCTAATTTGAAGTTCGTTTAATTCGAACAAATTTTCGGTCCCCCTCGAGTTTGAATTAACGAGATTCAACTGTAGTTGTAACGAGATTCAACTGTAGTTGTAACGCGGTTGATCCAACTTTAGCGCAAGCGTGCAAACCAAACTTTACGGGTGCAGCGCAACCTAAGTTCAGGGCAGTGACGAAGGGGCCAGGTACATTCTATGGCTTTCTTTGAGAAATGATGGTTTCTGTGGAGATGTTAGTACCGTCCATGCAGACGGTGCCGACGTGTCCCGGGATTGTCTGCGATTTTTTAGAGCGTTTTTTTTTTTTTTCACGTTCTATGTTTCAGGTGACGTTCTGCTGAAGCAGAATGCTGGCTCCTCACTGGTTGCTTGGGTTCTCACCTTGCCGTTGGCACAACTGGTGGTTCAGCCTCCAGACTCCGGTCCTTCCGCCGGACAGAGGTCGAGACTCCAAGCAAGCGCTGTGGCACTCCTCAAACAGATGGAAGCATTTGATCCGGAAGATTCCAAGAAGCGGCCCTTATTGCCGCACCGGTTTCGCGCTCCGCTAACGAACCTTGGTGGAACTTGCGAGCTTCTCTGCGATGCCATGCTGGTTGCCAAGGTATTCAATGGGTGCGTTAAGTCCGCGCTCCTTTACTCCTACTCCGACGCTCCTAGTGTCATACTCCGAGTGCAGTAACTAAACGAAGCATAGCTTACACACCGAAACTATAGACGAGCTCCATGAGCCGCTTCCGACCACACAGTTATGACGAACCCGGCGTCTCGTGATACGGGTGGCAGAGGTCGAAATTACTCCGAAGATAAATTAATTAGGGCCTTTGTGAAGCGGCGGAGTATAAAGTAAAAAAAGACTGACACGAGAAAGTTTCTAAGAATGTTTTAATATTCCTGAAAGGTTTGAAGATTCTCTTCGAGCACATGTGCTGACAGTTACCTTGGCCAATCTATTTATTGACCATGCACGCTGTTCAGGTTTAAATGGAAGACAACATTCTTGAACTCACTTGTTTTTGAGCAGGAAGCTGTCAAACTTGCCAGGTGTCCCGTGCCGTCTTGCAGCACGAGATAGAACTCGTCGATGTGCTACGCCGAAACCGGCACACCACCGTTCAATTGATAGCACTTCAATTCGTTATCGGGCAATGATTTGGACAAACCTTTTCTGCAGCACTAACTGATGTTTCGGCTTTCCAGTCCAAATACTTTTATTCGCTGGGCTAAGCATTCTAAAAAGGGCAGCGGTCCCAATGTCTTCTCAGCTCAACAACTCCTCTGTCGCTGTGCTATCGTCACGCTACTGTTCGATATATGAATTAGTTTTCAGGAGAAATGCACAAACTAACCTTCAGAACGCTAATTGCTGTCTTGGCCTTTAAATCAAATTGCTTTTACCTGCTGGATTGACCCCTATTCAACTAAAAAGGGCAGTTGTCCGGCTGCGCTCTTCGTCTCGACGGTCTCGACGACACGGCAGCCATCTTGTTTGTGGACGTGACGTCGTGGAGCACGAATAAAGTCGCTCGCGCTCCGAGAAATACCAGGTACACGAAGAGCGCACTCGATTGTCTCTGGCAGCGCTCCTGTCCATTTAATGAGAGGAGCGTCAAACTCTCACACTTCGAAGAATGGGCTTAACGCTTTCAATATTTACTTACTGCTAGCGCTTTAGTTCGTTACACTTGCTTGTTTCTTGGTTGAGGTTGCATAGATAGCAAAGTTGCACGACTGAAGTTAAACATATCTAATTGTTGAAAGCATAACTTAAGAAACTCGTGCACTAATAAAAAAATGCAACAGGCGACAGCTAGAAAGCTATTTATTCTAATGAAGGATATGAAATAATATGGATATGGCTTTCGGTGGCTGTAGTAGAAGTTTAAGAAGGCAACTTATTTGAGAACCTAGGTTTGCTCATCACTGGTGAGGTGTACCACATCCTGCACTACACCTCGCTTGGCGAGCTATCTCACTGGTAAGGAGGGAGAAGACCTAGGTTCAGATCCTGGCCCGCCAATATTCCTTTCATGGCGGCTTTCTAGCTTGCACTTTTATTTTATCACTAAAATTAATCACCCGCATGTTTGGATTTATATGTCATCAAAAAGGGCAAACCCTGTCGTCTCATGCGAACTGCTATCTCAACCTTTTTGCAAGGTCCTCTACGAGTACAATCAGTTGGACTGTGAGAGACGCGAACCATTCATCAAGACCCTCGGTGGAATGCACCGTTCGAGAGAACACCCAAATTTCCTTATCGCCTTGACTGCATCGGCTATTGTCACATCGACCGAGGACGCCGGCGTGGTTGGTGCTGCCTTGGGCGTCATTTTGAGCACCATTTCTGCAACCGTCGAGTTGGTGAGTGCCGAGATACTTACAGCTTGTATCGGCACTTTTTAGAACGTTTGCTCTTTACAAGGCTCTCGCGTTTTCTTTGTGGCACTCTGTGCCACTCAGTGCGGAATTCTAGGACTGCTGTACTGTACAAAATGGTGCTGCCTGACGTATTGAAAGAATTGCCTTTTTCAGCACGAAATGAAAAGACGGCTGTGATTTTTTACAAACGTGGCATCGTATCATGTAGCATTTACCTTAGCATGTATGCTGCCCAAACATTAACTTCGATATGGATTATATGCTTTTTTTGTGTGCAGTTTTGGAAGAGCAATTTGAACACTTGGTGTAGCGTCTGCAGGTATTGAGTATAGTGTGCCTGAAAGCAAAGTAATTGTATGACAAACTTTGGGTATTAGAAGCTTTGTAAGTTTTGTGTTTGATGATTTAACTTAGTATCAGAACATCTTGGCCAATGTGCATACTTTGTCTGTTTGCCGAGATAGGTTGTGAAAATTAGGCTATGAGAATGCAGCAGAAACAAACTCGGCCCCAATTATAAAGAGGAACAAAAAAAAACTTGCTGCATTGCATGACTGCTGCTTTCAATGTTTTCAACTGCTATGTGATTTTCACGATGGGAACACTTTGTTTCAGGGAACGTCCGTCTTTCCTCTGATGCTGTACAAGCTGGGCAGATGCAGGGCCCCCGACACAATCTTAGTTCTCCTCAAAAGCCTCCCCAAGACTGCCGTCCACAAAGTTAGTCTCAATTGCTATTACCGCTAATATTGTTCAACAGAGCTCGCTTCATACCAAGTCGTCTGTAATGCAAATCATTTAAATTCCTTTTTTTAGCTTTAATGTGATGTTTTACAGTGCTAGCTGTTATAGGATCTTCCTACCACCGGAAATGATGTTCATTGTCAATGTTATAGTTGATGTTGTTGTAGTTGGCGTAATAGGGCGTAGGGGGGGTGTCCGCCGTCGATGTTGCCATATCTTTGAAAAAGATTGCCCGCCACCCGCGGGAATCGAACCAGGGTTTGCTGCGTGCGAAGCGGAAGCGTTGGCACTAAGCTAAGCCACAGCGTTAATAACCTGCCTTATATACAGGTTTTTTGTAGTACCAGATGCTTACTGCACGCAATCTCAGAGAAAAAAAAAAACATTGTTGATAACAATGTTGTTGTAGCACTGTCAATGCCAAGAGCTCGTGCCAGGAGATGCGCTTTCATGCGCTGCTGAACAAGAAAAGAAACACAACTGTTCGGAACCAAATGGAACAAGCTAAAAGCGTTCGGAGCAAAGCAGATATCCATTTCGTTCCGAATGCATCTGTTCACACACCCCACTGTGCATGAACGCGATGCCGACGCCCAACAACTTCGCCGTGATGTGTCGGAGCTATCGCTCTTACCGTAATGTGGATTAACGCATGACCGCAAAATTTTTTCTCGTTGTAAGTATGGAGGTCTGCTCATAACCTTCTTTATGTTGTGGCGTAGCATTTTAGAAGAGTAGCGAGCAATTTGTTTTTAGGAACGGAGCTGCTGACACAATAATTTGATGTTAACATTGTGCAATTATTATGGGAGATGTTCTATCACACCCAACAGTACATTTGCACTGTTGCGAGTAAAGCCAAGATGCTTGCAATCTCACGGAGGCTGATTGCGGAGAGGACCTCTGTGCAACCGAGGTTTCGGTTGCATGTCAAAAGATCCCCAGGTGGTTGAAACTAATCCCCAGCCCCCCCTCAAAGGTATGCCAGTTGCCCTTCGTCGGTTCTTTACAAAAGACCCTTAAGTTTGACTTCAATTTGACTCTTCGAGCGAAGTGGTACTGTAGCATTACCGAGTGGCGGCAGACGCCGTACTGGATCATTTCTCTTGAAGGAAACCTGTCGTCCTGTTCCCCACCCCCTCCCCCGCCCCTTGTTCTTGGAATCGAACAGTACTGCATCCCACCGCTGTACAATGCCTTGCAAGCCCTGTCTGCCAACCCTGTGCTGAAGGCGTGCTGCATCGCCAGCATGGCCCAGCTTTACGCCAAGCAGCCGCAAAGCTTCCCCCTCCTGCTCAAGGCGCTGCGCGAAGAAGAAGAGGACTCGTGCTACGACGACGTGCTGCTCGCAAAGGCGGCTGCCATCGGCGACGTCATCAAACACGAGTGAGCGCAGGGAGTTGTTCTCTCAGCCGTTATTTCAGTGTATTCTTCCACATTTATGTGGCAGTTAACCTTTTGTACTCATCACCCCTGCAGGCGTGGGGAGGGGGCCAAGCACGCTGTAACCCCCCTTCCCCCTCTGATTGCTCGAATGGGGTGCAAATTTTATCAGTGACCTCAAGTCAAGCACTTTTGAAGAACATGTCATCTTGGAATGCATAGCGTGCTGTGCGTTAAATCAGGGGTTCTCAAACTGGGTTCCGCAAAACACAGGGTTTCTGTGAGCTGGTCTTGTGGGTTCTGCAAACACCCAAATTGCACCCTCCCTCCCCAGGGCCATGCAAAGCGCCTTCATCTCACTTTGCACTGACATCACAATTTAAATGGTGGGGATGTATGAAAAGCAACACAAGCAAAATTTCCTACGATTGTACTTTGTTGTGCACAATTTTTGTGGCTTCCTCGGGTTCCGTGCGACCAAAAAGTTTGAGAAGTGTTAAATGGTGCATCTGCCTTTGTAGCAGTGGTCACACTATCATGCGCTGGCAATGTGTGTTGTTGGCTCGCAGCCCCTCGATGCATGGCGTGGACATGCTGGGTCCGCTTTCCCTGATTGTGAGCAAGCACAGCAAGTACCACCAGTCTGCTGCTGTGGTGCTTGCATTGCAAGGCATCTACAACCTCTGCAAGTCCGAGGTGTGTCCAGACAAAAGCTCGCCTGCTTGTGTATGGACGGCATATTCGTGCGGGTTGATTGTGTAAATTGCCTCTTTCTAAAGTCTCAGGCTTTTTATAGAGCATGATACGGCAAGAGCAAATGAGAGGTTGTCATTTTTATCCTCGGTTTTTATCTTTTAAGAGGAAATTAGGGTTCTTAAATATATATATATATATATATTTTATTCATTACCATATGTCACTCAAATACAGTACCTATGTAGATGTATCTCTTAAAGGGACACTGACAGGGTATTTATGCTCGCCGAGGTTTTTAGTTGTATGTGTTATATGAGAGCTCAACTACCCAGAACAGAATTTGTGGATCGAAATTCGGTTCCTTTCCGCCCGAAAACCGCCGATCAAGAACTGGCCGGTTTGAGTCTCGCTCACTCTCTTTTCCGCGGTCACGGGCCGTTTTCTAAGGTATCGATACGACCACCAAATTTAATCAAAGTCGTGGGTCACTGAAGGCACACCCTCAGTATTAAAAATAGAAAAAATATGAAACCCATTTTTTGTGGCTTCTAAAAAGCTGTAAATACGTTGATTGAAAAAAAAAGTTCCACAGACAACCGGAAGCATTCTGTGCGTTCGTCGTTTCGCGTGTCGTGGGACTCGCGGGGACGGCGACGGCAGCGGACGACGGGCGTGGGACCTCTATTACAGAACTGTCGTTCGCGGTACCGGCGAATTCTGTCTATCTGTAAAAGGGAAATTTGGGACTGATCAAAAGAATTGGCATTCTTCCCGTGCGACACGCCCGACCACCAAGCCGATTTGCACGAAGACGTCGCCGAGCCGTCACTCCCTTCTCGTGGCTGAAGACATCGCTCGCGCAAACGTCAAGCACGACCTGTCTACTTCGAGTTGAATACGCACGCGTACGATTTCTTTACTAGGTGCGAATGTCGCCAATGCGTGGTGCTTCCCGACTTCGACCCGGGAGCGCTTTTGCTAGAGGAAAATCGGCAGCAAACTTTCCAACGTACAGTTTACCGGCTGAATTATTACTAAGGAAAGAGATCTGCCAGTAAAGAGAAGCGGCAGTAGCTCAGTGGGAAAGACGTCCGTTTCACACGTGGTAGAACCGGGTTCAATCCCCCGTAAAACTTTTTTTTTCTTTACATTTTTTATGTTTACATATTTCTTCTTTTTTTTTTCTTTTTTACAATTATCACCGAAGAAACAAACAAATGTTGTGGACGACACTTCGCTGAATTAAATGGTATGGGATTTCCTTTTTGACACCTGCGAACTCAATGTAGTCACTTTCCACAAAATGCAAGGAGCATATAAATCAGGTAGCGTCCGCTTTCCGAGGTGCCCGTATATGTTCTACAGGAATTGCAGCCAGCCATTTGTCCCGATCCCGTTGATCTTTCGGAAACTCTGTCGCACAATGCTCCCTTTTTTTTTTCGGACGCAGGACATGTGAGCTCTTCACGCAACATCTTGGGTGTATTCTTTTCGGAGCCGATCATGGAAATTCACCACGGGCACTCACTACTCATCTCCAACTCCTCAATGTGCAAAACAACTAATCTTGGAGTACAGAACAACGAGCGGAACAAACATGACTGCAAAAGAATCACACGACGAGCAGTTCCCGCACGGCGCATCGCACGCCGCATGTCGTGTCGTCTGCTACCGGAGAAAACAACAAAAAAAAAAAGCACAGTCGGGTGTAGCCACGTGACTTCCGCCACTCACTCTCTTCTCTCCACTTCTCCGACCTCCGTCGGGTTTCGGTTTCGGTTTCGAGCAGTTGCGTCTTTTGGCTTTATTAAAAAAATACGCTACTCTGTTGCAAAATATTAATTGGGTAGTCCTCCGACACCATAATGAAGCGCCTGGCAAAAAATAAAAAAACATTTTTGGGGAATGTCAGTGTCCCTTTAATGATGATGTTGAATCTGAAATCAGATTTGAAATATATTTTCTAAAACAAAAAAAATGGCAAAATATAGAAGCCTCAATAGGTTATTTCTTATGGGTCATTAGGGTAATTTCTCACTAAAAATCTTTCTTTCTAATTATATATAGGGATTCCCAAAGGTCCATCATACATCCTAAAGCTAATAAAATATTTATAAGGTGGTAATATTTATTATAAATGAATCAGTTGTGAAATGAATCAATTGTGAAAATAAAACAGGTGGAATGATAAGTGCCTTAAGTTGATGCTAATTACTTTTTATTTATTGAGTATATTGTGAAAAGTAGAGCTCTAGGGTGCAGTTAAGTCATTGCAGAAAACAGCAATACCAAGTTCCCTGAAATCCATTTAGAAGGGCATTGTTAAAACCCCCATGATTTTGACTAAAAAGTCAAAACGAGAAATTCCCTCTCAATTTCTCTTATACTTTAAATCCAGCGACTTGAGACTTGAAACTTGGTGTTTTTAGAATAGCTAAAGATTGAATTCAGCAATTGTATTTTGTGCGGAGGTACCGTAAAATCTCAAAATTGTAATTTTTAAAAACAAAAATTTAATTTTTTAGTTTTTTGTTATTTAATGTAGAATTAACTTGATAATTTGTAGATGCTAAAAAGGCCAGTTTATCTTAAAACCTCTCATTAAAGTGAGAATATATGACAACGAGATCAACTTATGGTCACTTGTTTTTGGTTGCTCTAACGGCTTCAGTTTGTGATAAGTATTTCTGGGCATTATTGGGCTGACATAGCACCAAATTCTCTGCCAGTATTTTTTTTTTTTTTTTTTTTTATTTGCTCATTATTAACTGTGTTCTTCTTTATGAGCATGGAGCATTCAGTCTTCACTTGTTTACTTTTCCAGGTGATAGATGTGAAGACAACCTTAGCAGCGATTGTCCCCAAGCTATGGAGGGACGAAAGGTCAGATTCCAGAGAATTGTATGCAGGTTTTGCTCAACCTTTCACACTGTTTGTGACTGTCAGATTTATTTTTATACTTGCAATTTGAACTGTGAATTAATGTATACTTTGAAACTAAACTAACCAAATACATTGGATTTTTTTTTTTTTTAAGTGCGCATTATTATGTTAATTATTTGTGTCTAAAAACTCTAAATCTATGCAGTAGATCTTTCCGTATTTGTAATGAATTGATTTCTTATGCCGTTCTAATCCTGTTGGTAACTACAGTTGGAAATTCGTGCATAAAAGCTAATAGTAATGCTGTTTACAAGTGCCAGAGCACTTTTTATATTTGCGATTTATTAATAGAGTAATTTCTGTTATGCATTTATTCCTCAAACTGAGGCAGCCGAACGTGCTGGGATCCTTTTCGTTTATAAACGAGCGATATCTTTGGAGAAGCTGAATTCGACATTGGCCACTCTGCGGACGGTCGACAATTTGCGCCCAAACTTTTCTCGCACGCGTCGGCAAAGGCCCCAAGTGCTGAGAAGCCTTTACCACCTGATGTCCGTGGTGCCCGTGCTGTCGGTGCCTTCCATCGAGTACGAGAAGTTTGAGATGGAGACGGCAGCCAAACTCTGGAAGGTCGTCGACAAAGTCAACGAACCGGCGACCACTGGTGGGGCCTACAGGGCCCTGGCTGCTTTTTCGACCTCCTGCCACACGCTCAAGGTTCTACCCGATGCCGTAGGTTCCGCTCTTCTTTTAAGATATAGTAGCTTCTTTTATCATTTGCATTTAACCTCCCACCGTATATGCACCGATTGGCGAGGATATCTAACCGTCGCACCTTCAGCGGCCAAGTTGAGAACTGTAACCTCAAAAACAGCAACGACGTAAAGTTTTTTTGTTTTTTTTTTACACGGCGTTTGGTTGATGTAGACGAATGCCGCCCCGTCAGCGTTTAGCTGAAGGTCGCGTTCGAACGGTGGAGCACCAGTCGAAAACTAGTCGCAGCCGAACACTGACGCAGCACTTGCGTCAAACATTGAGTTGGGGTGAGGACTATAGATCAATTAAAAATATTATGCCTCTGCCAGTACTGCCTGGGAAGGTGCATCCGATTTAAAGCCAACTTGTTGTGCCTTCCCAGGCAGTACCGATGTGTCTAACCTGTGCCTTGTGCTCTGTTGAGGCCGACGACGTAGAGAATCTGTTTGGAAAACATCAAGCCCTCTAGGAAACAAGCGGGACAAAGCGCCCCTCACAGTTCGGCTTCCTAGAGTTTGGCAAGAGTCGTACTAGTAGAAAACAACGGCTTGTCAGCTCGCAGAACATTACAAATTTCTCCCATTATACACGGTGAACTGGGGTACTAATTGTGTCAGCATTTGATATCTACCGGACTTCTTATTTCATTGAAACATGGAAAATGCATCTGCAGAAAACATTTTTGTTGTTACGACCAAATTTGTTTAGGTTTACTTCACATCTATTAAAAAGGGCTGACAGTTTGTGCGTATTAATTGGGCTTGGCAGATGTTAGATGAGGAATAACCGTCGCATTAAGTTGGTTAATTCAGCAATTGCGACGTCTTGCATCTGGTAACTTTGGTGTTGCTATGAAGAAGAGGAAGACAGGCTGTCGCTGGTGCTGTGGCAGCAACAGCAGTCATGAGCCTGCGGGATCGGTTGGAATTAAAACCTGACATCAAGTAGACGTCTCGTCTCTTAATCCCACCAAACATTGTAACAATAATAATAGTTTTATGTAGAGCCCTGCGTGGATAACTTTTTGATCATCCGCATCCGATCCGTATTTGCAGACTTTGTTTCAGCACTCAAATCTCATCCTCACTGTCGTTAAATTATTGTATTCACATCTGATCCACACACGTTAGGGAGTTTTAGAATACCTTACGCAGTTTTAGCGCACGCTAGCGCTAAACGTAGCGTTCGCATTAGTACACGCTACGCAAGAGAGTTTTAGAAAACGTTTCTCCACCACTACGCAAAAGCCCAAGCATCTCGCGCTTGCAACGCCGCCAAGATACAGTCACATTTTTTATTTCATGCGCGAAATGATGTAACTTGAGAAAACAAACAAGTTTTTTTGCCCATAGTAACATTTTAGATTTGTTCAAACTTGAGAATGTGACGCTAGCGGTTCACTGGTCGTGTCCGCTTGTGCGACGCAAGCGTGTGCTGACCTTCGCACACCATACCTTTGCCGAGAAATGTTTGCGCATTGCAGGCATCAAGTTGTTGGCGATCGTTGCCCACCTTACTGGGTTTTCCAAACCGAGTGCAATGTCGTCCCATATAGAAAATCGCAGTCGCGAGGATGCCGCCGACGTTGCAACACGCTTACGCCGCTGCCAAAGCAGCCGCAGCCATGGTCCTTGGAGCCGCCATTTTTTAACTGTGCTCGTCTTGGCTTTAGCCTATGGTACTTTTCATCACGAATCCTCCTCGGAGGAGGAGTGCGAAGACTCTGCGTATGCATGCAATTTCCGAAAAATAGCGCATGCAAAGTGCAAAATGTGGTTAGCGTTCGGCGCATGCGCAGTGGCGACGATGCTACTCTTTGCGTACGCAAAACTTTAGTGTGCGCTATTCTAACTTTTGGCTTGATAGAACGCCCTAAACTCGATTCTCAGTGAGAATCGGGTGTTTTTTGGTGTAAAGGACAAGTTTCTTGTTGATTCACACCTCTTCTTTTTCTATGTGAGTAATTTGCTCCCACAAAACATTTGGCGATGCACTTCATAGTGTCTCTCGCTTATTCACTGTGCAGTCGCGCTTGTTTATGGGCTGCCTCGTCAAAAACATAGATCTTGACCTACAGATATCCACATCCACAGCCCCTGGCATCCTCATCCAATCCGCAATCCGTGAAATCTGATTAATTTTTATCCCCATCCACCAGTTGACTGCGGATATCTGCAGATGATCCTCAGGTAATCCGCAGATATGCGGGGATTTAGTTATATTGGACATTTTGCAGTTGTGGTTTTAGAGGCACTCATTCTATTAAGGAAGGACGCTACTTAAAAAGATAATCTTTTGAACCTTTGGCTTAAAATGAATGAAATTTGCAGTATATACTGGCAGTTGCGAGGCAGTATGCCGTGCAGAATTTCATCTTTGTTCATGAATTTTGAAAGAAATAATATTTACTTTTGTCAGGAACACACTGACATTGTTTAGAAAAACTATCGTTGGAAACCTAATGTAGCACCCCAAATTTTTCTTCACTAGATATGCAGTAGAATACCTGGAGAGTGCAACCGTAAAAACAATATTTCTAAAAAGCAATTTTTTTAATGCTACCATCGTGCTGAAAAATCATATGAAGTTTTTACCTTATGTCGCTGACAAAATCTTGGCATCTTTTATAAAAATACACCCACAAAGTAAAGACAACAATGCCACACTTGCATTGGCCATTAAATTCCAGTGAGGAAAAACAATGAGTGAGCCTTTCCTTTTGTCCCATTACCAAACAATAGTTTTCCTCGAGTGATAGCCAAAAAGTGGAACAGAGAAAGATATGTTCAAAGTGCTCAAACCTCTGCCTTTTCTTTAGCATCGGTGGACCAAAAATATTTTATAAAAAAAATAACTATGCAGTGTAAACAAATAAAACTTTTTGGGAATAATCTCTAGATGTTGGTGGATGTAAATATGGTAGTTAGCAAAATCAACTTTTTTTTTTTGCAGAATTCTTTTTTTTTTTGGGGGGGGGGGGGGGGGGGGGTAGAGTCTTTTTCTCTTAGCCAATTTAACTCTTTCAACTTTTTTCTCAAAGATTTTTCTAATACGTTATATTTTTAAGAAAGTTTTGCTGAAGATTTTAATAATAGGAATTTAATACATTGGACTTAATTCTTCTTGAAGGCCAAAAAGAACCTGAAGATCCCAGCATCTAAAATATCAACACCAATGGACCTCGGACGAAATCCCGAAGATGTGCTGAACTACGCGCCGGGCTATTGTTTCATTGATTTACTGCAAAGCATAGAGGATCCTGGAATCCTGAAAGGTGAATAAGATACATTGTGGTCAACCATACTAGCCATTCTAAGCATTAAGCAAAGTTACACTCTAGTGCAATTTTTCCTGAACCTGAATTTTCGCCTTTCGAATTCTTCGTAATTTAAGTTGATTAAATGACAGTTTTACTACTAGGGATATGGTCTTGCCTCACTGTGCACACAAAGTGTGCACGATGAGGAACACATGAGAGGAAAAGGGAAGGTGGTGTCTAAGAAATAAAAAATTGGCACTGCTTGAAAAGTAAAAAAAAAGCAGAGCAATACTGTATGTCAGTATTTACTTATTTTTGTATACTGCCGGCATTTTTTATAAATGCCAAGGCAGACAATGCACACAACAAAAATGACAAAAACAAAACATGCCAATGCAATACAGGCAAGCTAATTGCCAAAAAATGCTTGAGTAGCGCTTCGTTAAAATGGCCAGTGATTCTAAATTGATAACAATTTTAGAGATTATTCCACTCGCCTATTGTGTTAGGGAAGAGGGACGATTTAAACAATTTGGTTCTACACAATGGTTCAATGATTGTTAGCTTGTGTTTATTTCTTGTAGACCTGGCTTCGTTAATTGCCGAAATTTACTGTAGTAAGCAACAGCATAGAAGGACAAGAACACAACAAAGACAAAGGACGCTGTTTTACAACTCTGGTATACCCTGGTATATACCGAAATTGTAAGGCAGCGCCTTCTGTCCATCTCTCTTGCGTGTCTCCCTGTTGTGTCCTCGTCCTTTCGCGCTGTTTCTTCCTACAATGAAGCATCGGCTCGCTCAGGCCTCTATCATAACGATACAATCAATATTAATTGGGGGGCTAGGAGATCATAACGATATTCACAGCCCGGGTGTCTCGCTCACACCTGCAGACTACGTGGAGTTCCTGTCGGCATTACTGCGAAGCGAAGTGAACTCGATGCCACGCTCTGCGTACTCGACGCTACATCTTCGATTGAGGCCCGACACGAAGGACAGAAACCTGAAGGCAGCGCCGCAACTGCTTTGCTCACTGTATGAAGGAAACCGACACCCAAGCATCCAGAGCAGCATTGCAAGTATGTGAGCATTCTTGGTGCACCTCGCTGGGACAACTATAGTCTGTTGCAGGTTATTAAGAAGAGCGGTACAAGCTCCTTGCACAGAGCCGTCAGCTCTTTCTTTTTTAGCAAAGCGAATGCTATAGAGGAGGAAAGCACCAGTCGTGGCAAGCGGAGAGCTTCTTCGGAGGGGCTTGTCCCGCGATTCTAATCCTGCGACTATGATTTCGTATTATTTCGGCTCAAAGTTATCCAGGTGTGTTAGTGTATTGACATGGATGTACGCTTCTCTATTTAGGCGTGGTAATATTGCATCTAATTTACTATATGCTTGTGCCTGAGAGATGTTTTTGTCCCATGCATGCAGTTTTGTTGCAGAGAATTGCCACAGGGGGGGGGAACGTTTTCTCCCTGCTTGCTCGGGTGCACCGAGGGGAAGCAACACCTAGAAGGGTGCATTTTCTTGCGCATTTCTGTGTGCCGCTGGCAAAATATTTCGACAGGAGCTTCTCCCGAAACGAATTCAATCCCCTGCACAAGGGCCCAACAAATAAGATAGTATGGATTGGGCTACTTGACGAGTAGTCAGTGATTTTCAGTGTATTAGCGATAGTGCTGGTATGATGCAGATGTGGTAATTTGAGTGGCCTTCTGCTGTAAATAGGCTATTCATAACTTTTGACACATTGGATCATTTCGGTAATATGAATGGGTCTTATTCATGAGCCACGTGCAACTGATCATATAGCTGCTTTTTAGTGCATTTCTTTGGTGTTTGTCGAGACTGAATTGTGCAAGCATTGTCTTTTGTCGGGTAGTGAGGCAATGTGCTCTTAGTTGACATGGATATTCCTAGCTCGTAATGGCATATCAGTGGAAATAAGTTATGGAATTGTTTTGTTTGTTTGAGGGAAGCTTTGTCTAACCTTTGAAGGGGGGTTTGACTGCAGTTGGAACGCTGCTGACTTACGAACCGCCCCTCCAGTGTGATTCTGCTGGGAACCCAACAAAGGATGCCCTCATAAACCAGAACAGATTCTACAAGCACCTGTTGGGCTCCCTCCTTCAGGTCGGTCATCTCTAAATTTGCTCCAACTTTGAAAGTAGCTACACTCGAAGTCAGCTTTTCCTGGCGTTTCTTAAGAAGTGAAGACAGCATGTGCATTAGTATCCATAGCTTTGGCTTCATTGACAAGAAAAGTTGTCCCCGAGTACAGTTGCACCTGGCAAGCTGACCTGTGTTTTTTTTTAATAAGACCTGAGGCTAAGTATCCTGAATAAAACCTAAAACTAGAGGTTAGAAACACGGGTCAGTATGTTTTTTCACCTTCTTACTATTTGCCACATTTGCTTTTATTTGCCTTTTTATTTGTGGAAGATAGAGTACTGGTTGCTTTTATGTGCGTCTTTGGCATGTGCTTATCCGCAAGCTCTGTCGTATGTAAAACATATAAATAGGGTTTTCAATCTGCAGTATGTTTATCAAAAAAATACTTTCATACCTGTGTGCTGGCAATTTTCATAGGTTGGGAGGAAAACAAATGCATGGAATATCCAATTGACCATTTGGCACCTATTGTTTCATTTCTATTATGTTATAGGTGCTATGGTGACAATATTATTGCAAGCATCCTTCATGATAAGGGATCTCTTTGAAGGGAGGTGCTCAGAGTATTTCGATCTTCTGAGTAACAAACTGTGAACGCTTTTATTTTTGTGGTCTTGATATTCTGCAAATCTCACGAAGTGTGGGTTGTGGGAATATTTCGCATTCACAAATTTTCGCGAATGGGAGTAGTATGGTATGTATTTGTTGCCATAAAATAATATATTTTCGCGATCAATTTTTCGTAATTATTTTCAAGTTGCAAAATTCACGAATGGTCGCCTTCTGGCAATCTGCGTGCGTAATCTTCATAGTTTCGCCACGTGGCCCTGTGTATTTTCTTTTTGTCCAGCCGACAGGCACATAAAATTTATGTTGATCACATGAAAGAGGCAGGAACAGACTTCTATATGCTTAAAAAGGTATTAATGTATCTAAAACACATATTTATTTAAATCAATCAACTTCAAAATCAGCAATTTCTTAAGGCTCTCTCAAACTACTAATACACGTGTATATCGAGAATAAAAATGCTGGAAAAGATTTGCAGGGCAACTTCCAATCAGATAATCTGGGGGTGCATTTACTTATCATGTCTGTATTTAAAGGGCAACTCTGGTCAATTCCAAAAATTCTGAGATTACAGGTGATTATTATGTCAAAACTACTAATAAACGGTTCTATGCCATTCATTTTCCGAAAACTTAAATAGTTTTCTCGCAAACCTCATTTAAACAAAAATCACAAAGCGAAGCCGAAGCCTTGCTCGTGGCAGGCAACATTGGTCCTGCTCGTCAACTACTGTACATCACGTGATATGGAGACATCCGCTATGTCATCAAAGAAAGCGGTGGACGGCTCCCCACACTCTCTTTTTTCTCTCTTGCCCTTGCACCTCACACCTGAAGAAGTAAGAAACGAAAAAAACAATTCTTCCAGTTGTTGACGTTCCGCGCAGTGTTGGCTGTGTCCACACAACAACATTGACTGCGCTGCTTTGCATGTCCCCCGATAGGTTGGGCGGATTTTGTTGACCGTGGAGCCGCTGCGACTTCGTTGGCCTGTTTAATAAACTTTTAGGCGGAATCGTGTCGTAATATTTTATGTGGAGACCTTTCAGATGATACGACGTAGGACTGCATTGTTTTCTCAACATCGAAATTTGACCAGAGTTGCCCTTTAAGGTTATCAGCCCTTTGTTGATGTTATCAAATCTTCGGTGAGTAATTAAATATATTTTTATTCTCATCAATAAATTTGATTTTATGAAGTTCACATAACCAGAGAAAATATCTTAAGGGGGCAGGTGAGCTGGTGAATATTAACCGTGTTGAATTAACCTGAGGCTGGGGTAGAGAGGAAACATTAAAAGGTAGAAGGGACAGAAAATAGACAGGACGACGTCTCAATGTCGTCCTCTCTAATTTCTGTCTCTTCTATGTTTTGATGTTTCTCCTCTACCCCAGTCTCAGGTTAATTCAACATGGTTCACATAACCGCTTGAGACCGACACGAGAGGACGATACTCGAAAATACGCCAGCTGTTGAGCTGATCTGTGGAAATATGTCTTTTGTTTACTGTTTGGCAGTGAAACGCCGGGTCGGAGGGTATACCAAAAAGGACTGTGTGCGCACAGGATAGATCTCAGGGCAAATGTTACGATAGGACTTCGTCGTCTTCATTCAGCAAGTGCCAAGACCTGTGGTCTCAGCTTGGGCCTCGCCCCATGCACTGTTCCTGATCGAGCCAGCGACATGTTCGCATGGCTCGTAGCTCACCACCAATCTCTTACAGTCTTCTCTTGTAAATAATATGTAAATAGACCACCACGTAACACTGGTGACAAGGATAAACCTGGATGGTTCGGCGAGGATGGCACAAGTTCGAATTCTGGACTACACTCCTGGTATAGGTTGGACGTCCTGGAAGGAACGGCGCGAATTCTATTTTGAGGCCAACGACGTCACAGAGCTGACGAAGAAGCGAGCGCTACTGTTCAGCCTATGTGGAGAGGAAACCTATGGCAGGGTTCGTGATTTACTTCACCCTCAAGTGCCATTTGGGCTCTCCTATTACGATGTTCTGCAACGTCTACCACACCATTTCGAGTCTGGTCCATCGGAACTACTCGGGAGATGGCGACTTCACAAACGTGATTAGGAGCCCCACGAAACCATTTCCGAATATGTCGATGCTCTGCGAGCTCTTGCAAAAGATTGCAACTTTGGCATGACAACGGTCACGCTGTGGGACCTGCCACAACAACCGCGCAAGCGTCAAGCAGCTTCACTACCCAACAATTGGCAAGTGGCACCGGGAGTTAGTAACAGTTACTAACATCTGCAGTTCTTTTAGTGGATGTTAGCTACGTGACCACTTCATATGTGGTCTTTGAGACGTTTACCTCCAGCGACGGGGGAACAAGCAGCAGCACACTGTGCTAAAAGACATAACACATCCTTTCGAAAGCGTGAGGCGCAAGCAGATTGCGATTCTAAGCGTCTCAGGTGGCAAGAAGACAAGGCTCTTTGACAACGTGAGGCGGAAGCAATATGCCGCAGGCAGCATGCTTTCGCATTCACAACTCATAAGAAGTGCTTAGGTCTCCTCTGACTTTTTTTTTCGTTGTTTCTCGAGAAAATACCTTTTATTCCTTCGTTTGGAGTTGTTAACTCGACAGTTATATTTGAGTCAGCTGTTAACAGTAATCCTCCATTGCTGTTATATTTTGCACCCAATAATTGCGAAGTTTAAACAAGATACGGACGAGGTGGAAGCTTGGGGAAGAACGTGAGAATGACGCTCCTGCGAGACATTAGAGCGGCTGCCAACGTTTGGCTCTCTCTCTGAGGTCACCAGGATCTTTCTTTTCAGGTCTCCCTTCGTACACACTAGTTCTATGTAACGTCGGATTGATAAGTCACATTTAGTCCTTCCAGTGCTTCTATTCTTGGGGACAACTTTCTGGGGCAGTTCAGCAACAATAAAAGCATGTTTGGGTGCCTCAGTTGGGTCTACACGTAAAATAAGTCATGCAACAATTTTCCTACTCTCAAAAAATGCCGTTAAGAACTAATCTCTGATGTTGATAAGGTGCAAGACACCCATTAGGTTTCCTTTCCAAGCAAAGGCAGACGCAGAAAAAGTAAGGGAAGAAACGTGTTTCCCCTTCTTAACTTGCAATTAGAACACCACGTGATCTGACGCTGATTATGTACTGTCTGTGTTTATCCTTGTCATGCACTGGGGATGGCAAAGCATAGAGCATGGGGTGAGCTTCAGACATTGTTAGAGCTGGGCTGAAAAATTAGACATTCTGTAACAAAGCGGCGATTCGGTTAATATGCCTCGCAGGACGTTCCCCTGGATGCGAACGACTGGTATCGGTCCTTCCTGGTCCCTTCGGCGTGGTGCCTTTTTATGGAGCGTGCGTTCAGGGCAGCAGAGGAAAGCCGCAGGGCAGAGCTGGAGTACCTGCGGTCCCATGGGAAACTGCCCGGCACTGCAGAAGAGGTTGCAGCCCGTCTCGGCACATGCTGGCTCTGGTACGTTCAAGTTAATATCGGTTTTCCTCCGCCGCGAACAGGGGTGGGAGGCAGGGAAAAATTAGTTTTCCCTTCACTTTCTGTCGAGAGCACAGAGGCCAATTCGCTTATGCATCTTAGCGCTGAGGTAATGCAAAGTCAGCACTACTGTCAGCACTATATAAGCTCTATGTCAGCACTACTGTCAGTACTAACTCAGGACTGAGTTAGCACTGCATTGTGTGGGTGTCAGCAGGAAAAAAAAGGGATTGAGCACACAGCCAGCACCATAAAAGCCGGCCACAAGTGCGACTCATGTTTCGGCTTCGGCGCTTGTTTAGCGGAATCTCAGTCAGGTGGCAGAACCACCCCTGTTGCTCAATTTACCTTAGTTTGTTTGCTCAATTGTATTGCTGTTTGATGGAAAAAAACAACAAAAACGCCCCATTCAGCCAAGGAAAAGAAAAAATTGTAAACACTTAGGTAACCCATAAGGTGAAGCACAGCGGCAGCTGAGGTGTGACGTCGGAGCGGCTAAGGTGTCATTTCAGAGAAAATATACTGAATGAATGGTAAAGGTGCGAGCACGCGCCATAGAGTCCGCATAGGCGTGTCATACCAAACCGATTAACACACCGGACGAAAATTCCATAGTGTTTTGGAACTAATGAGGGTTAAGTAGAGAGCATTTCAGCTGTCTGCGTAAGAGGGGGGCATGTTTTCGTACTTCACTTTGGTACAAATAGTCACACATACTAAACGAAAAGTGCCGATTAAATGGGGACATGGAAGTAGACAAGACGAAGTGCACTCTCAATTGAAGGTTTATTGAAACAAACACATGCTATTAACACCATCTGTCTGGCTTTTCGTTTAGAAAATAAAACTGCACCTGTCAGTTGCATTGATGGGGCACTAATGCATTTGCTTTCCCCTTGTTTTCTGATAGAGAATGCATCGTAAAATTCTAAGGCAGTTTTATTTGCTTAGCTCCCGAGAGTTGTTGTTTGTGCTAATTCTGAGTCCCATGGGCACTTATCCCAGTGCACCACCAGATTGCTTGGCGGGGCTGTTTTACTGACCATGCACATTATCTTGCGGCCATGCATGACCATGCATGTTATCCTGCTTGCTTGTTTTCTTGTTATCAGCGGCCCATGAAATGTTTTGGTGAAGTACCGAAAATGTCCTGCATCGATATAAAGTGTGGTCGATGGCGCGAAACCGCAAAGTGTCCCACTAACAGCTATCGCCGTAAAAGAAGTGTGCGGTCATAAGCGTTTGACCCGCGAAAAAGTGAAAAAGTGGGGTGGGCCATGTCTTGGTGGGTCAGCACAAAAAAAGTTAAGAAAAAGTTAAAAAACGCCTATTTCTTTGTACGTATCGAGCGCGGTTGCACAAGAAAAACATTAAACTTAAAACTCGAATTAGTTCCATTGCTTTATGCAAGAAATGTTGTGACAGAATGTTCTACCATTGCAAAGTTTGTTGCCTGCATACGCGCATTGAATACCGCCGATCGGCATACAGTGCGAACATTTGTTCTGTGAAAGCATGTTTCTAATACCGCTATGTTATCTTCATTAATAAAAAAAATAAAAAGTCAACAAGAAAAATGAAAGACGTTTACAATTCTCTGTAATGCGAAACTAGAGTGCAGCTCTTGAGGAGGAGGAGGAGGAGGGGAAGGTACGGAGTGGAGGGTATGCCCCTGCTCCCCCTCCGTACCCTCCCCTTGTACTCTTCTGCTCCCCTCGCATTTAGCAGAAAAGTTTCGCTAAATTTCCTGCGAAATTAAGCGAAATTTTTCCCGCTATATTTAGCGGGAATTTACCAACACTTTTCTGCTAAATTTAGCAGAATAATGTCTGCTAAATCTTATGTGACGTCAAAAGGGTAAACTTTTCCTCTAAATTTGGCGGGAAATTTAGTGGAAAAATTTTCCCGCTAAATTTGTCAGCAAAAAGTTTCATGCTAAATTTGTCAAAAAAATTTCCTGCCAGATTAACGAAAAATTTTCCCGCCAAATTTAGCAGGAAAATTTTACTCGTGATATCATTATGGGAAACGTCCCATAATGCAATGCGAGGTTACGCCGACGCCAATGCCGACGCCGCTCAACCCGGAAACGGGCGCCCAAGAGCTGCACTCTAAAAATAGAAAAACCAACTACCGTAGAATACCGAGCATCCACCCATTCCACATTAAGCGCCCATTCGCAAATTTGTAAGATCTGAGAAAATATGCAGAGTACATTGATATGTATAATTGATGACCGGCCAAGCGCTCATCCCCCATTTTTTCGCGATTATCTCTAAATTTTGAGTGGGCGCTTGCCCGGTATTTTACGGTAGGCGCAGCAAACGAGTGAATGGATGAAAGAAGCAACGAAGAGCGATGCTGAAGTAGCGGAAAAGCCGGTGATCTCGTAGGGAAATACTTTGGCGTCGGGCCAAGTCGTGCGCCTTGTCAATTGTAAGGCACAGGCTCTTGCTCAACTTTCTTGTTTGGTGCATACATGTGTGTGTCCGTGCACGTTGTGCTATCAACACGGGGCGAGGCAGCATTGCTTTGTGGCATGGACAGATCAGCAAACACTGAGCTCGAAATGGGACGCTCTACAAACGTCTGTACACGAGGTTCTATCGAATCTTTATTTACCTGTTGACTTTGTCTCAAACATCGCACAACCTTACCAACCATGGTCGCAACGTTCCAGGAGAACGAGCGGGTTCATGGTGACCTTACTTCTGTGGAGGCGGCCTTTGACCTTACACTCCGCGGTTGCATTTCAGAATATGGGGCGTTCCCTGACCTCGCCATCCCTGAATGGCGAGGAAGTTTCATGCTGTTATCTTCCTTGTTTTTAGAGTGCAGCTCTTAGGGGCCCGTTTCCGGCTTGAGCGGCGGCAACGGAACCACGATTTACTGGGGAATTGGGCTATCTACTTTATTTTGTTTTTAGTAGAAGTCCTCATTGAGAAAAAAACAATGTTTTCAGAAATTGACATAGGACAGATATGCATCTCATATTTTGAGCTAATGACTCTTCCTGAGATATTCACATTTAAGTTATAAAAACTACATAGCCCGAATTCCTACACCCCCCCCCCCCCCCCCCCTTCCCCCCTCCCCCCCTCATATTCAAGCAGTCAAAATGGTGCTTAACCCATTCGCTACCAAAGCCGGTGAATCGCTGGGCGTGCCGTCAGGGACCATATTGCCAAAGCCGGCAATTCGCTGGGCTGCATAAATTTCTGTTTTAAAGAGCCATTGATAGATACCACGCTATGTAGACTTGGGGTAGTGCAGTTAGATGCGTTAGCAACAGATGGCAAAGGTCGTTCTGTTCGCCGTGTTTGTTTGAGGTTGTTCTTTTGTGTGTCATCTTTCCCGCTCGATCGCTGCCTGCTTGGAGAAGATGGCAGTTTTAAGTGTATGGTGTGGCCTTTCTGACGATGAAATCATAGATCTCCTCTTTGACAGCAGTGACGACGGGACGTCTAATGGGGATAGTGAGTTTTCGGAGACTTTTGTTGTTGACGGGAGCTATTCCAATAGCAGTTCCGAGTCCGAATCACGACAAGAGCGCACTGGTCGTGCGACGCCTAAGTGACCGAGGATGGAGTGCTTTAAGATCTTTCATACGAGAAAGAATCTGTGAGGGCCTAGTAATTTATAGACTTGAACAAATCACTTAAGTTTGTAAATAAACATGTTTTCTTGTTTTCTGCACTGGGTTTTGCTGTAAAAGCTTATTATACAAGCAAAATAGTCACGCTTAGTGTAGAACTGTTTTTGGTAAAAAAACATGCGGTGTGGACGGCCTGGCAGTGCACGACGCGTGCAGTAGTGAATGGGTTGATAGCTTCATTTAAATATAGATTTCTTAACGAAGAGTGACACATCTTATCCAGGTTTATTGAATTGTCCTGGAGTGCTGAAAGTTTGCACAATACACATACATGTGATGTTAAATCTCCCCTGCAAATTTCATTCCAATCACTTGAGTAGTTCAGAAGCTGAATCTCTAGCCAGTGTCCCCCCTTAATACAAGACCAGAAGTCCTGATTTTGAGCAATACCACACCTGGAAATTGAGGAAATGTTTTTGTCTTTGTTTCATGCAAATTGAATGTTTAAAATATAGTTTTGCTGCACGTTCCTTGAAGCAAAAATTTCAGCAGGCAAGGGGTTAAGGTTTTCGTGGCTCACAAATGTGGGCCGTAGCAGGTATGGGAACATAAAAAAATAATTTTGTTTTAGCATGCCATACTTAATGTGTGTATAAACATATAATGTATGTTAATATGTATGTTTGTATGTATGTGTGTGGTGATTGAGTGTACAGGCCTTAACACTAATGACTTTCCACAGCTGCTACCCTCTTCCTCTGTAAACCCCTAATTAGATTAGTTCTTTTGTATTGTGTTTGTGTTGTGATGACTTCATTTTTGTATGTTGGCCACTCCCTTGTATAATGCCTGCTCAGGCCCTCTAGACAAATACTAGCACTGCATTGGATTTGGACCGAATTGCATTGGCAGTTTTCTTTGTAACGAGTGAACAGAGACGCACTGCTCTAGCCAAATTAACTCCTTTGATAAACAATGATGATGAAGCTTAGGCTGGCTTCGAGCGGGGTAACCTTTTCAAGTGTCTCGACGTTGCAAGTGTTGCGACAGTGGTGTGCTACATTTCGTCCTTGTCGTAATCGAAAGTGCAATTCTCTTGCACTATTTAGGCACCAACTCGCGATAATGGCATGTTTTAGTTCTGTTGCATCGCTGAAGATGAAACCACTGGCCTGCAAAAGCAATCAAACGTCAAGCTGGGACGAAGTCGGACACAGCATTAGATGTTTCAAACAACTTGAAATCCGGAAGTTAGATTTTTTGGACAGAATCGTTGCAAGCGATCAGCGAGAAACACAACATGGATTGGCTTGGTTTGACAGCGCTACCTGAGTACTGCAAAGTCCTACCGCTAGGTGACGCTATGCTACGGTTTTTGTTAAGGCCCCTCAATGTGTTTGCACTTGTCTTTCAAGTGCACGAGGCTCATGTCTCGAGTGGCTTTTGGAAGCAAATGGCGGCGCAGCACTGAAAGGAGTGGCCCTTGGAAGCAAATGGCAGCAGAGCACCCGCTCGTGGCTTTTGTCTTGCACGTTTCCACAACAATGGTGGCAGTACTCGTAAGCGTAAATTTTTTCGAGGAACTTTAGTTTTTTTTTTACAGCGGAGCTGTTAAGGGCTAGTTTCCCCAGTATCGTGTTCGCGGGCAAACAAATGTCGACACAAAACTTTGGACAGCTACCGCCATCTATGAGTGACGGCAGCAACCTTTCCAGCCTTTCCACTCTGGTTTTCATCAGAGTGTAAATAATGCCTTCTTACGTTGCCGCCATCGCTCATAGATGGCGGCAACCTTTCGAGCCTGTCCATTCTGGCTTGCCGACTTGCAGCTGACCATTACTTCATCCCCACCATAGTACAGCTTCGCTGGTCTTCCTTCAGCAGAGTGGAAAGGCTGAAAGTTTTTTAAGCCTGCTTAGACGTAATAAAGGCAAGCTTTTTAATCTGCTGATTTTTCTGACTACTCAATTATTTAAACGTTTTTTGGGCCCCTGCGAAGTTCGAAAAATCGGTCGGCGACTGTAATAACGTTGCATGGAGCTAAAAAAATTAATATATTTTCAAAATATAAGTTTTTTTACTTGACTGATCCTTGCTGTCATTGTTAGTAATTCTCTGTAGGTCTAGAGAGTCTTGAATTGGAACAATTCGATTGACCCATAGTAAACTGTGTGCTGCTGGAAAGTGCCGTAATGGGGACAGAGACCTTGTCAGGCTTCATGCCTTTAATCCCTGTCTCCATTTCGGTTGATTCCGTAAAAATAAACATTCATTCATTCGTTCATAACCCTTGGTTTATATGACCGCTTTCCTTTCAGGGCAAGGGATATGTTGACTGATGCTATCAGGAAAAGCTGCATGTGAGTCCCTTTTGCTGTTTCCTCAGTCATTTCAATCCAGACTCAATCTTAAAGGGTCAACTTCAGTAGAGTCTCGTTAATTCAAACTCCAGGAAGCCACGAGTTTTGTTTGAATCACCAGAAGTTTTAATTATCAAAAGTTTATCAAAATATGATGCAAGATGAAATTATGATTTGCTATATGGATGGTTACACATACAAAGCATATATTTGATGACTTCCTCAACACAGGCCTACTAATCTTAAGCAGGTGTGCCACATATGAAACATTGGTGAAATGGATAACATAAGTTTATTCACTCCTTAAAAAAGTTGTTTATTGTGGACTGTTTAGACAGCATGTGATACCTCAAAACAAAATTAAATTTTCTGGAATAAAAAGGCACCTTTTTCACCTGCAACGTGCGAAAAATGTAAAAACAATAGTCATACTATTGAGACCGGTTATAACAAAGTCAACGGGAATCGGAAATCACTTCGCTATATCTGCTATTTCAATATAACCGACCTCGGTTATAACGAAGTGCAGAAAGGAATGGGAAATCATGATTGTTCGCTGTAACCGCTAATTCGTTATAACCGACTTCGTTATAACCGGTCTCGACAGTAGCACAGTCGCACAATGCGTGTAAAACGGTGTCACGTATCCAAGGACGGAGGCGCTAAGCGGTCAATGCGCGTTGCCACAGGGTTGGCGTCATGGACGTAACCGACAACTGCCACAAGTGCTCGGTGGTCAGTGAAGTAACTGGGCAAGACGAGACATGGGATGCGCGAGTTAATGTTTTTGTAAGCACGCGGCCTCGGTGCGCCGACATCGGACACCATGCGAAGGCCCGATTCCACTGTGACGAAGCTGCGGGACCACTCGTTCTTGTGGCCTCCGAGGTCAACGTTGAAGTCACCGGTTACGATGAGTTGTTGTGGTACAGAGCACGGAATCAGCAAAGCACAAAATCTGTGAAATGCCCGTTGCTGGTTGGCTGCGTCGAAGGTGTTCACCGGCGGGGGCCGCAGAAGCGAGCCGTTCCCTCTGCGCTTGCTCCCGGGGATGGAGTATGGCCTTGGCGCGGCAGCGCAAAAGTCTGCGGCAAGAACGACGCAAGCGAAGGCGCAGATTTTTCGGTGTTATTGAGCGTTAAGGGGAGTCGGTAACGTTGACGTTCAGCAACGAGCGGAGAGGGGGACGCATGATCTCTCCTCTTCGCGTGGCATGGCCAATGGGGACGCTGGAATGCTTGTCTTTTCTCTTTTCGTGCCATGAGGGGAGAGAGGAGTTTTTCCGTCTCCGCTGTGGCGACGGACAACAAGCACTGAGAGTGAAATCCCTGCAAAGTGTTGCTCGTAAGGCTCTCGCTTTAAAAAGTTGTTCGCTCTGGACTGTTATGTGGGAGACACATGAGCAATGAAAACGGGCATTGCGTGGCAGTTTTCATAGCATCTTGCGCAGACGTTGTGATGTGGACCTACGTGGATGCAAGTCGTCTGCTTCTTGTGCAGGGGCTGCGGTGACGTCAGAACGACGCCGAGCTCCGATTGGCTTTGATTGAAAGGATAGTGGGTAGACCTCAATGGCTAGATGCCTCGAGGTCTTACCCACTATTTTTTACAATCAGCTAGTAAGTGCTCGTCGTTGCAGCGAGACAACTCAAATTTTGAAGTTTGTTTGAATTAACCAGAAGTACAAAATATCCAAGTTTGAATTATTTCAAGCCTACTCTAGAGAAAGCAGAGCAGTCTAAATTTACTGCTCCATGGGGTGCCCTGTATAATGCCCCAATTCCATCATATTGAGCATAATACCACCATAATGAGGATAATGCCATTATAACAAAGATAATGACATCATATAACTGCCATGTTTGACCTCAAGAGCTCAACTGATATTGCACAGAATACCCAGATAATAATAAACAAATTGCAATATACCGGTATCACAAACAGGTTGACAAGTACAAAGTATTCAATTTCAAGTGAGTTTTGTTGCGACCGAGCGGTTGCCCGCGACTTGGTGTGCATCAGGGAGCCGAACCAGGGCAGGACCTCATGGTGAAGGACCAGGGAGCAGGAGGAGTGTCTCGTATATCTGTGTTTATGTACCTATTGACAGGTTCAACATCAAGTGGAGAGCGATTGAGAACACTAGAGAACACACGCCAGCAGCCGCCTGCTGCTCCTTTTATAGCGTCGCATTTCCCCATATCCCTAGCAGGGAATCCTTATGGTCAAGACCTCGACCAAAGCAGTGGGGCCATTGTTTGTAATGTCCAGGCACGCTCCACCCCCACCCTCCCCCTCCCCCTTACACACCGCCACTAGCGTCATGCACAGCGAGGGGTTGAAGGTCCTTGGTCACTCTGTCGCCGGTCAGTCTCGTCGTTCACCGGCGCCATCAAAGTCCAGATGGGGCAAAGATATAATTGTCCACAAGTGCATGCATCTTGATTTCTGTGCGCTAAGGGGATAGTAATCCCATAAACGCTCGAAGATGGAGAGAGGACGCAAAGCCCCCTTCTTTGTCCAGGAGTGCTCCAAGGCTGTCGGGGCAACTAGGGGCCGGATAATAATTACGTCCCGTGTTGACACTTTTTTAGGCAACTCAATAATTGCTTGTTAAAGGCCACCTTGGCGACCCCAAGGCGCCTCTCCCTTTGCTTCCAGGCGCAGCTGACAGGAGCCACCTGGCGACGACGCTCCAGGGCGTTCGCTGGTCGGACTGCAGGGCAAGGATCGTCTCTCGGAGTCTTTAGCAACAGTTTACTGGTTCTAAAGGCTAGTTCTCTTACTGGAGACTGCTAACACGAGAACTAATTTCACGTAATACATATTGGAGATTTTTCTACAGTTCTTTTACCTTGATAGCATTGAGAATGCAGTGTAGCAGCTGTTCAGCTGTACTGCTATGGCACATAGGTATTGCCAGAACTGATGAAGCTCCTCCTCCTCTTTCAGAGGCCGAGCTTCTCTGCAAGGCAATGCTCTGCTGGCTCTCTCAGCATTGCTGGTCACGGTGATGGAGTATTACAACGGACTCGACACAGCCTCTAAGCAGCACGCTTCGCACGCATCCGACCACGTTAGTCCGACGGATTGGACCAATGCCGGCTTGGAGATTGTGTCCGCCTGCCTGAACGACAAGCTAGACTACCGTGGGAACATGTTTGAGTGGATCTTCAAGGCAAGGAATATTCTCGGATCACCGCTAAGCTCTTCGCACATGCGACATAGCCGAGCAAGTTAAGGATTACTGTCACTTTGCAGACTCTTGCTTTGTTCTACAGCTTTTTAAGTGTCAGTTTCTTTAGCAGGATGACTTGTGGTAGTGAAAAACTCCCGTCAATCTAATTTTGTCGAAACAAAAAAATAAGCGTAGCAAGACACTTTCCACTTCCGCTAAAACACGGGATTGGTAAAACTGCCGTGACAGTGTCAGTTTCTTTAGCAGAATGGCTTGTGGTATTGAAAAACTCCCGTCAATGTTATTTTGTCGAAACAAAAAAGTAAGCGTAGCAAGATTCTCGCAACTTCCGCTATTCCTAAAAATAATTTTAAACACGGGATTGGTAAAACTGCCGTGAGACGGCATTCAATCGAAACAAACGGATCAAAAACAGGCTTCCATCAAGTAAAGAGTAGCAACGGCATCCCATCAAAGCGAAAAGACGAAAAATGAGTTTCGGCAAAGGAAAAGACAAAAACTGCCGTAGTGGCGTTCTATTGAAAGGAAAAGATAAAGATGGCTAGTTAGGCTAGTTTGTTTTACACCATGGTGTAATACACCGAAACAACACTGATGAAAACGAAGCGTTCTGCCAAGTGTGCCTGTTTTTATATTTTTAAAAGTATGTCATCAAAATAAACCATTCAGTTTAAAGTTACGCTGCGTCCTTTCCAGTTCTTCCTTTGTTTTCGTCCGTGTTGTTTTGGCATAATATACCATGAAGAAAAGATAAGTAGAGTAGTATGTACAGTAAGACTTCTGCAACATAAGCTATGATGTAAAATGGGTTTCAGCTAGTAAATGGCGAAGCTGCCCGTAATGACTGGAAGGCACTGGCCGTTGCTGTGTTGTTGCACTTAGAAAAAAAAAAATAAAAGGGCAAATTTTCAAATTTATTTTTAGAACTCGACCAAGGCAGGTTCAAGCGCGGCGTCTTTGCTGCGCGGGTGTGCGGCCGTAAGTACGCGCTGGATCCTGCCTTACCTGCACCAGAAGGACCCCAAGGCCCTGTCAATACTGCTTGAGCAGATGATGAACCACCTGAACACCGAGCAGTCTAAGACCACCCAGCTCTTTGTGGGCATAGGCCTTGGCTCCTTTGTTCAAGCTGCTGCCAGGGAGGGCATTCTCGAGACCTCCGAAGGGACCGGGGTGAGTGACTCCGTGCCTTGTAGACAAGAATTCGCATACTAGGGAGCGATATTGGCCCATACTTGTTATGCATCGGTGGCTGCTAAAATATTAAGGTGCGCACCATTAGGTTCAACATACTAAATACACTGGGTGGCACGTTTTAATAGAGACAAAATCTTTAAGGAAGAGTGCAAGCTGCTGGCTGAATGCCGTCTTCGCCGGGCATTTCTCGAGTTCGGCCGACATTAGCCGAGGAAATGGTTGTCATGGTAAGTTGGCTGATTAACTGAAATTTGTCGATTAACTTTTGGTTTTATGGGTCATGTTGCAATTGCGGAATTGATGGCAAGTGCTATTGGAGTCCAGACAAATGTAATGAATTTTGTAGGTTTATTAGTGTTTGAGATCAGTTACGTTTTTTAGCCGGATTTGAAAATTGTGCGCAAAAAGTGCGCTGCGAGTTCTGACCACGATGACGCTTGGAGGAGTAGCGTGGTCAGTCTTCTCAGCATCATTGTGGGCAGGGCTTGCGGCGCACTTCTTGCGGACAATTTTTAAATTGTGTTAAATAATGTAAAAATCGATTTATTAATATCTGAAAAAATGAATAAAATTTTGCAAATTCTTTTAATTGATCTGGCCTCTAAATGTAATTGTTGTCAACTCTGCAAGTACAACATGACCTGTAAAGCCATTAATTAAAAAGTCTATTAACAGAATTTAGTTAATAAGCCTACTTGGCATGACAATTATATCCTTAGCTAATGTTTGCTGAACTTGAGAAACACTTAGTGAAGACAGCACTCAGCTAGCAGTTTTCACTCTTTTAAAAATTCTGTTTTCATTAAAGAATATCACTGTATAAGATGCAAGATAGTACAGAAGAAGACATAAAAAAAACAGGACAGCATCAATAGTGACAGATGGGCCAGTTGGTACATGACTACTTTTTCACAAAATGCGCCGCAAGACAAGGACAGAGTAAGTGACACAACACAAGCGCTTCATGTTGTGTCACTTACTCTGTCCTTGTCTTGCGGCGCATTTTGTGAAAAAGTAGACAGGACCTGTCCTGTCTTCTTCATGTCCTCTCTTTACTTGTGCTTTATGTATTTAGTACCAGTGGGTGGACCCCATCTCAAGGAACCCCTGAGAGTGCTCTGGGGAAACTTTGTGTTCCCAGGAACCCAGTTTGAGGACCCATGTTTTAGTTGCTGTTCTTCCGTCACGGCATGTCGGAAGGGATTAAAGAAGTGCACACTTGTTAAGGCAACATTCTCTGTCTCTTTTTGTTTGTTTTCGACATGCTACCTGACCAGCACACTTTTCTCTTCGAATTTTTTCGTCACTCGGTGACAAAAGTATTGCTAAGGAAATCTGAATTGCGAGGTGCTTACGTTGAAACCTCGCAAAGTACTTGCAGCGCCTGACTGGAGCACCTTCTCGCTCTGGTTTCAGGGGAAAGGGCTCGTGGCGTACCTGACCAAAAACCTGACAGCAGCCTGCTTTGCAGGCGAGGACAGCGAACCGAGGTAAGATTGTCCAGCCGGTGTTCGGACCATAGTTATTGGAATACGTCTCCGACTGGTACGCTCACTTACCGTGTCCCCAAAAGTGGTCGCTCGATTTCTGCCTGATGGTGTTGTAGAAGTGTCGCGCCGTTGCCCGCCAGGATTCCGACGGCTGTAGCGCAGCGGCACGGGTGGGTGTGGCAGACGCCCGTCCCGCTATGGGTCAATCTCCGGCGCGACATTTCACGGAAGTTTCGGCGGCTGGGAGTTGGAGCGCCGCGACATCCGACAGCACGGCGCTCCGGCTTCTAAGACTCGACTATTTTGTCACTTTGGGACTGCTTTAGGTGCACGGGTGGAACGGGGCACCAAACGCGCCGGGTCGAAATGTGTTCTGGGCCACGTGCCGGGATCGGCGATGCCGGCAGTGTCCGTAAACTCTCTTCGACAGGGTGGGCGACCTTGTCTGCCTCACTCTCTGCCTTTCGGGCCTGAGCCAGGCGAGGGACGAGGACCTCAAGAACACGGTCCTCAAGGCGTGCGCCCAGTTCTGCGAGCTCCTCCACACCATGGACTCGAGGTCTTGTTCGTTTGAGGTAATTCCCATTTTGTGTCTGCACTCTCTGTTTTGTGTAACTTCCAGTGAGAGAGGAGATTTGGAGGGAGCTGAGGTTTTCCCTAACAAGCACTGCACAACGCCGTCGGCACGGACATGTCGGCACTTTTTTTGTCTTTACTCGAACGGGGTATTCATAAGCATCAAACTTTAGAGTGCAAGTTACTGCGTGAAATGAGGACTTTCTGCCACACTTGTTTTTTTTTAAGGAAGCTGTTCAATTTTAGGAGAAAACGGGAAAATGTGGCGATGGTTTGTTCACGCTAACAGTGCCGTACTGTGTGCATTAGGTATTCATACTTGGTGTAGCTAAGCTTTAGCTGCGTTTATGGTAGTGTGCAGGGATGGGAAAAATACATGCAAATATGAATCGTAATACAAATACTAAATACTTCGTCAAAAACGTATTTAATTACAAATCTAATTACATTTCCAAAAAAGCATTTAATTACAAGATAGAAATACAACCAAATGTATTTGGTCTCCTCCAATTACTTTTCCAAATACATTCCTCAAAATTTGCGTCAGCGACTTCAGGGCACCTGCAACGGGTTTCTGGCTATCTCATTTTAATTTTGCATCGCACACTCGGGAGTTAGTGTGCGAGGCTGTAGTAACGTAATAGAAATATAATCACACAAAAAATGTAATCAGCTTGGACGTAATAGGTGAAAAAAGTACAGAGCTTCAAGCAGTTTTTTTTTTTGCCGATTACATTTTGGTATAGACCAACAAAGAACGGAGACGACCAGGACGCGCAGCACTAGCTAGAGAATTTTTTATTGTTGCAACTCTCACCAGTTAAGAAAATCTGGACGACCCACGCATTTAGAATGTTCCAAATAAAAATATGGATGGAAATCGGACTGGAAAGCATCACAAGTTGTCACAGGCACTTATTTAGCCAGTCTGTCTGTGAACGTCGATTTCGTCACTATTCTTGCCCTGGACTAGCACCGTAATCACAAAGTCACTAAACACTTGTGCTTGATTGAGAGACACTGCATTCGATGCAGAACGTAGTTTTCTTCCTGCTCTGGACAGTGACAATAAATTTGAGGGATGTATTTTCGCCCACAAAATTGTATTTAATTACAATTGTATTTGAAATACCCACGTTTTAGTATTTAAATACACACGTCAAATACATTACCCAATTTGTAATTAAATACAAATGCAAAATACACGAAGTATTTAAGATACGTATTTCAATTACTTGTATTTGAAATACTGCCCATCCCTGGTAGTGTGCTACCTTACTTTGTTTGTAAAGTAACTGTTACTTGAGCTGTTGTACGGAAGTACACTTGGGCTGAGTTTCGAATCTTACCCAAATGGATCCGAGTTACTGCGATGGGTCATGTCGCGTGACAACGCAGATAGAAAAACGCTGGATGCAGGTAGGTGTCCGAACATTAAGGTATGAAACCCTTATTGTGGAGTAAGATCAAGTAAATTGTGGAACACAGCCTCGGTGTAGCGTACCCTAGCTAAACCAAGCTAACTTCACTACCTTTGCCTAAGCTAAGCCAGTGCTGCGGTGCACCCATTTTTGTCCACCCTCATCTTGGTGTCGAGTTGTCGCTATATTTTACAGCTACCCTGTATCTTCATTCTTTCCTCACATGTTTAAGATTGCTTCGGCGTAGTATGTGTGTTCATATCTGCCTTGCTGAAACGGCAGCACTTACATTTTGGAGGGAAGCTGGGCACCCGAAAAATTTGCCCGAACGAAGGCATAGACTCTATGATTCATTCGACTGCTAAGTGTTGACGTCTGGTGTGCAGGTTCACTGCCTCTGCACCAGCATTCTGATCTGCAGCGCAGCGTCGACGCTCTTGACGATCGAGAACGTCGAGGAGCTTTTCCTCTGGTTTGAGAAGCGGCGCCAGGAGCATCCTCAGGTGTGCGAATCTGGCTGGTCTACAACAACCTGACCCGAGCGATGTTTGGATTGCACGATGGGGCATTGGTGTATGTTTTGCCGATATTGAAAAGAGACCTTTAGGTCATATTATTTGGTGAAGGTGCCTTCATTGCAGAATATTTGAAGCAACTGCTTTAGGTTGACTGAAGTAACCCACTTGCCAGACCCTGGGGTTCTGTCTACTTCTATTGTGGGTATTCTTTTCAGCTAACTCGTGGCTTGCTTACCTGGGTTCAGTGTGGTGCCGGGAATGTGCCTCCGGCTGGTGTTGACAGTGCCCTCATTTTTGGTCTCGATTTCTGCCAAATGATATCGTACAAGTGTCACGTCACCTGTTGTGATACTGACGGGCACAGTAGCGATGGTGGGTGTGGCAGATGCTTGTTCTGCCGTAGGCCACTCTTTTGCATTGCCGTTTGCAGAAGCTCCGGCGTCAACGAGTTTGCAAACCGTGATGACGGCGACACTTGCATCCACTCATACTTTTTCGGCAGAACGCCTACAACCAACTGCCAAAGTCGCGACGTCCGACAGTCTGACATGCCGGCCCTCGTGACGTAATTCATGGCTACTTGGAGATTACATTCACTGCACAGGCGGTATGGGTTACCGAACACACCAGTCGAAGATGTGTTTCTATGCACCACACTTTCCCCGACCTCTTCTCCTTTGTGCGAGTTTGTAGTTTTTTCGCTCACTTTCAGTGCGCAGGAACGTCCATGTCCCTGGGACTCCTGGTCCACACGATGGTTGGGATGAACCATTCCAAGGGAGAAATCTTGCACAGTTCTCTCCTGAGCCACTGGCTTTCAGTTGTGGCTTCTGAGGTAAGGTACTACTACCATATGTTTACAATTTTTGTTTTTTAAATTTTTTCGTCGTAATTTGTTGTTGTTTGGTGCTGGTTTTGACTACTATCTTAGTGCAGCTTTTCAATTTGTGAAGTGTGTACAAAATGTCGCCCATGTGTTCTATAGTTTTGGTCAAAGGCTCGTAAGGTCGTAGTCAACCTTATTTACTTTTAATTAAAAATACTCTGGAGGTAATATGTTAAAGAGGAGAGTGATCTTACAAGAACAATTGGAAAGTGCACATATTAAGAGCGTCCTTAAAGAAAACAATATTGATAATGTTAGCAGTGAAAGGGGGAAGGCGGTTCAAATCAATTAGCAATTAGCTTATAAAAGAACACTAACAATTTTCAAGGAACCATGATGTTTTAAAAATGGGATTACAAACTTAATGACAATGATCAATGCAAAAGGAGATGTAGAATAGTGGATCGACTAGCTAATAACAAAGTATAGTGTTTCGACGTAATATTTCACGAAAATAACATGAATGAAGGATTTTACTGCTTTGCTTAAAAAACAACAGGCATAAAGAGTTTTTTACAATAATAATCCGGCAGTGGGATGATAGTTGCTTGGGATGAAGTGTGCCGAGAGATTTTGAATGAATTCAGTTGAAGTGATTAGCGATAAAAGACGGTTTTCTTATGGCAGCGGCATATTCTAATTTTGTACTAATCTGTTTCTTGTACAAGGTTACTTTCGGTAAAGACAGAGCGGGGAAGAAGTTTCCTCGCTAACTATTGGCACTGGTGTCATCTAGCGAATGCAATAGGTGTGTTATTTATTTTTGTGGTAATACTTAAGGGAGAATAAAGACAAGTGGGCTATGGGGAGCATGCAGTGGGTATGACTTATTGCACATCCAAACATTTTCACCAAAGCATTTTGAGAGCATAGCAGCGATTCATCTGACAAAATATTTTGATTTTCAGAGCCAGCCGACTTTGTCTCGGCTTGCAGCCATCAAGGGGTTGTGTGTCCTGCTGACTGGAGGTCGAGTTTTGCTTATGGTCAGTCTCTGTGGATGCGTCTCTTCTTTATTCTCGTCGTGTCACATGTGTCTGATGTACTGCAAACAACTTAATTTTTGCAAGGACCTAATTTTCGCACATTTGGCGAATCGCCTACATTTCGCGAAAAATAGGTTTTGCAAACAATCCAAGTAAAATGTAAACATATTGGAATTAATATTGATATTTCACGGCGTCACAGAAATTAGAACCCGCAAATTATTTCAAAACTTAGCTTTCACCTAAATCGCTAAATATTGAGCCCGTGAAAACTAAGTCGTTTACAGTATATACTTTCATTTATGACAATTTATATTTAACTTCAGGAGGTGTATTTTTGAAATTCTACAAAACTGATGCAGTTATAGATATGTGCATAGTGACTTTTGTATAGCTTTTTACATTATTACACATACAGGGGAGTTGTTTAGTTTTTATTAGATCAAATTGTACTTAATTTTTTGGGGGGTTCTTTTTAGTTGTACATGCTGCTAAATTGTGAGCAGCTTCGTGCTTTTTCAAGGGGGTACAGACATGCCTCTCTGCAATGCACAAATGCACCGAGAGAAATGCTCTAGGCCAGGGGTATCCAAACCTCGGCCCGCGGGCCACGTCCATCCCGCCGAAGTCTTCCGACCGGCCCGTGGCTGGCCACGGTCCTTTCAATAAAGCCCTGTTCTGCGACCACTTCGATCAGACCCGCTGCTAGAGGCACAGAAAGAAGTGCGCGTAAAGAAATGGTGCCGCGACGCACTCCCTATGTACAAACGAAGATACCAGAAAGATGAGGGAAATTACATCGTTATGCAGGTCCTTTCGCCATATTATTAATTGAACATTTTCATCACCAGCGTCACTATTGTTTGTCCCTGTCTTCATGTCTGTGTAGCTATGTAGGAATTCCTTTGCACTCTCATGTATATTGTGCTTAGTGTCCTCTGTCGCAACTATTGCACATTGTCAAAATTACAGTCGAGCCAGCCCTGAACCCAGTTATATCGCACCCAGGTATTTGGAAATATTGTTTATAACGAACAGTCCAAACATCTTGAAAGTTACATGTCATAGTATAGGAGCGTTGTTTTTCCGTATCAAACTCCACAGTGGGGACACTCGATAAAGTAAGCACGGCCGCCTCGCTTCTCCTGGGGTCGTATTGCGCTGGTGGCGAGCACATAGCTTGCGTTGCGGGGCTTTTGTGGGGCTGGCAGACCGCCAAGCCAGCATACGCACAGCGCATGCATGGGGATACGCAGCAAAAAGCAACTGTAAAAAAAAAAAGAAAAAAATAGTGGAGGATGGCAAAAGCAAGGGAAAGGGCACGCACACGTGTAGGGAGGACAGGGAGTGCCCACTGTTGGAATGGTAGCATGCGCTCTTTCCTCGAACACTACTGTCGCTGCGCAACTCCTTAGCCCCAAAAGAAGCAAAAAAAAAAAAAGAAAAAAAAAAGTCTTTGTCAAGCGTAGTTGACAATGACGGTTGAGCAATCACACTTTGAATGCCTTATCTTTGTTTACCTTTTCCTTTCGCCGTTATGGCTCTGCCCGTTTTTTTTTTTTCTCTTTTTTTGCCCTTTTTTTTTTGCTGCCTGAATTTTGTAAGGTTTCTTTTTTGTTGCTTGCTTAATTCTATGGATCAAAAGTTTATTTTTATGCGGCTCACTTTTTTCATTTTCAATTTTTTAAATTATTTTGTGTTTTGTCGACGGTGCTGTGAGGAGGTTAGGACGTTACACAAGAAATGTTTCCAAGGGAACTCGCCAAGCACAAATCAAGGTGCATGGGAACTTCGACCCATTCACGCAGTGCAGAAGACTAAGTAGAACGATGGAACTACAGTCGATCCCGGATATATTGAATTCAAAGGGGATCAAAGAATAGTTTGATATATTGATAATCTGATATACAAAATATGTTGACTTTAGCTCCAGTTGAAACTTCCGTGCGTCTCTGCTAATACCGAAGGCCGCGACAAACGGGACCTTGCCAAATAACGCCTCCCTAAAGAGCTTAGTTGGTGAAGATCGCAAACACCGCCACGTTCAAGCGACGGTGTTCACGGTCGTTTAAATTTGAGTATTCATAAACCTTGGAGTCTTTTTTTAAGGCTCCGACATTAATATCCGGGTTCAAGTGTTTACCGAGGTTTATTTATGTATTTCTTAGATTTTTATGATTATACTCTTTTTTCCCGGCCCATGAGACAGCGACAGATTCCTAATTCAGCCTCTTAGCCAAAACGATAGGAGACTCCTTCTTAGGCTGTCTGTAGCATAGCCCATTACTTCCTGGACCCTTAATGTTCTTTCAAGGACCCCGAGGTACCTGGACACCACTATTTGAGAACTACTGGACCTTTACTGAGCAAAACCCGAAGTGACCAGGGCTGTGAGGAAAGCACGCTCGGTTCTTTGTTTCTTTCAGAACATGGAAGAGCCATCGGCGAACACAACCAAGGGCCTGAAGCAGGCGTCCGAGTTGCTCACCAGCCTCCTGAACGTCTCCAAGGACACGGGCTTAATGAACTGTTCGGCCTGGATTCTGGGACAGCTGCACATTGCACTGAGCGGTCAGACGCAGTCTACGTCTTCAGGTGAACATGGCAGCCCTAGGAGTGCTGGTCACGGCTCGTTGATTTCTCGTTCAATTGCTCGGTCTCTTTTAAAGCATTCTAGTTAGCTAAATGGAAGGTGAGGGTTCCTTTCAGTTTTTCGGAATCGAGGCCCCAACATTCCCATCTGGAATTGTCAGGAGTACCGGTTCGAGTTAAACAGCTGGTAAAGTCGTGTCTAGTTAACACAGATGCCTCCGTTCCCCAGAAAGCTCGTCCATAGCATGAGTAATCCATAATTACGGATTGGCACGTGATAGTCCTTACCAAAAAAAAAGTATGGGGGCAAGAGTGTACGTGGCTTGTACGTAACGGTTGGTGAAGAGGGGAAGGAGGAACTCGTGTCCGAATCCTCTTTTGCATGCTCCAGACATCGCTTTGTCCCCCGTCACTCGAAAATTCGTAGAGAGATGCAGCATTCTTCTCTCTCCCACCTGTGCCTTTGACAGCACATTCGCGCACCTAGTGAGCCACGTGTGTCCCTCCAGTGTGCTGATTGGCTCGCTCGGTCTGAAGCGTCGGCTGTCTGCCGAGTTACGGCGAAACGGAGCTTAAGAGAAAGTAGCTTTCTGGGTTCAAAGCTACTTTCTCGCGTTTTCCAAACAGTGACAAGATCTACAGTGAGGTTACCTTGTCGCTTTAGAGTTCGTCCTTCTTTGTCTCTGTTGGTGGGTTGTGCACAATCTCGAGCAACAATGGGCCGCAAGCAGTAATGACCCACTTTACGTAAAAGATGAAACAAAAACGCCTTTTGGTGCGCAGTTGTCATCGCAAGACTTGCAACGAACGTTTAGGCGCACATTGACGTCTTGGGTTCACTAAAATAAAAGAGTTTCTGTTGTTGTTTTTTCAACTGGGGTATTGTTCATAACACCTTGACAAATTGCCTGTATTTACCTAAATCGTGTCCGAAATTTCTCTCCGTAGTTTGAACTGTGGGTTTCCATACTAAATGGGACAAAATTGCATGGCGAAAGATTGGTCACCGAAAATTTTGTCCGGGGTGTCCATATTAATGGGCACCCCGGACATATTGAGCTTTTGTGTAAGTGGATATATTACTGAAAGTGTACTTCAAACGAAGATTATTCAAGCTTTCAGAGTAAGCTTGAAACCTCCAAATTAATACTGAATTGACCAAGATTGAGATGATCCTGTGTAGATAACATTTGTTTAATGTCACGTTAATCACATGTCACATGCTTAATCACATGCTGTGCACGTAACGTGTTCTCATTGGCACACTCCTCTCCGCTATCTTGTTGTTGGGCACGTGCAATTAGTGAGTTCCCCGAGCACTTCCTTCCCACCACCACACTTTGCCGGTCTTGGGAGACGCGAAGTGACAACCAACAACAAAATGGTAGATTGGTGTCATGAGGAAACACCCTGTTGAATCGTAAAGCTCTGTGCAATGCAACAGGAAGTATGCTTCTGTTGTTTCCTCGTTATATTCTCAATTATCCTCATTCTACTCTAGGCATATGGAAAGGTCTATGCTCTAGCCCTTATTGGCTTAGTGCTTCACGTCGCTCGATAGGTTGCCAGACATGAGCTGAGAGATGAGTATGAGCAGCCCCTTTTTTGTCTGGCCCGACCTTGCAGTTCCGGCAAGCTATGCCTACCTGAGCGATCAAAGTGTCCTGAGGCCCCTAACAAACTTTGTGTCTGCAGCCACGAAGTCAGGTATGATTTTGTCTTCAGCGTCGTCTTTTGCGCAGCACTGTTTTTTATTTTCTTGCGAACCTGAAAATGTTTTTTGTGAGCCAGCCATCAATGTATTCAGATTTGTTGTAAAATAAAAACATTCATATATAGTTAAAAGGTGACGAGACAGCAAAGCGCATGTGCTTATAATTCAAACACTTTAGGTTATGGTTTCTGAATCGTGCGATTGCAGCCTATCCTCGTTACATCAGTGGTAAAAGATTTTGAATAGAAAGCCTGCCAAACTAATCGTGACTTTTACTATGGCTTCACTAAATGTGTGCAACCGTCACCTTCATCATCACCATCATCTTTGCTGTGTAGCAGATGAAGACGAAATTCTCACTGATGTGCACGAGTGGTTTCCATCTTAGCACAACTTCGCACCTGTCATAACCTAAGCCCTGACATACGGAGGGATAAAATAGCAAACAACACGAGACAAAATCTGAGTTTCTGTCGTGATGTCCGGTGTTTTATTTTTACAGGGTTTAGATTATGATGTTTCCTAACAGCTTTCCTGCTGCTTTTGCTTTTAACACCTCTGCTTAAAGAGGGAAGCTCGCATGAAACAAACTTTTTTTTATTTTTAGAGCTATGTGTATGAAATGCTCAGGGTACATTCATAGCACATATATAAGAGTAGCTGCTAAGTTTCAGATTTACAAAAAAAAATTTCAATATGGTTCACTTGCTTCTTTTATCCCAGGCCTGGAGAAATAGAAAAACATAGTGGCAATCTGAAATTTATCATAAGCATTCCTGGATAGGCACCTTGGGGCATAACAAAGACCTTTTTATTAATTTCTTTTCAAAAACATTTTTGTACAACATTGAATTTTATATTGTTGGTCATATCCTTGTATATCAAATTTAATTTGAGTATTATAAATTTTTAACATAATTTTCTAAAAAAGGAAGCTTGTCATGCCCTCACAAATGTATTTAGGAACGGAATAAAAAAAAAATACTGCATGCAAATTCACTTAACAGATCCCAAGATATACGTACGCACGCTCATAAGTCACCGTCCATGGCTTTTATTCATTTGTTTTCTCTCGAGCAAGTAACGCTGCAACCGAAAATCACGAAAATCGCAAGCATGATTGCACCATCTCAAACGGATTTACCCGTGGAGTAGCTGGATGTGTCCTTGCATTCTTTCTCTTTGTTTCGCTGTTGTCTTTACTTAGTTTCGATGGCCAGTATAGATAAAAGAATCGCAATCGGAAGTAGCGGTGCAATGAGCATCGGTATTCCGCCAAGCAGACGCAGGCTGCCAATGCTGCTTTTGATGATCTCCATGCAAAGAAACTTGCATGAACCGCTTCTGTGCATTGAATGCATGCAGTCTCCTAATTCATTCCCCGCATATCTTGTGGCCACGAAACACACGGGCAAAGTTTACAAAGCTACTAAAACAAAGTGCTGCAAACGACCATAAAGATGGCGAAAAGCAAAGCAAAGTTGACAAAGCGCGGGAACAAGCAGACGACGCGAGGCGGCGAGACACACCCCGGCAGCGTGGTAGACATGGCAACAGAAGGAAACCAAACGTCGTGGCCAATGGTAGCGCTCTCCTTTGAGCGGGCGCTTTGGCTAATCAGTGCTTTGCAATCTCGAGGCGCGGCTGTGCACCAAGTTGAACAAGAGCGAAAAGCGTTCATAGTCCAGCTTGATTTTGTATGTTTAGTACAATTTGGAGGTTGCTTGAACCTCATAAATAATTTTTTTTAACATATTTTTTTCAGTGATTTAGGTGTTGATAATTATAGAGGAGGTAGTTGATGGAATATACAATCCAAAAAAGTGGTTTTCCAAAAATCTACTTTTTCACGATTTCTTGGTTTTTAATCCCCGCGTCCCTCCTTAATATCCTTCTTCGGGGGGGCCCAAACACATTAACATTTTACTGCGGAATAAGAGTTAATGGTGGAACGCTTTTGTATGGTTCTATTGCATGCTACTGTTCTGACGGCACAGGCTTGGTGAATGCCCACGTGTTTGCGTGCCTGCGTGCCCTGAACCAAGACTTTCCGCGTGCCCTGCCACCGTTTAACTGGACTTCCTTGCTGACTCCCATCCTCAAGGACACCGACGGTAAGTTGAATTGGTGTTCATAGACCTACTTTCACTCGTGCGTCGGATATGTGCGTCAGACACGTTTCTATCATTTATTGAGATCTTATTGATAAATGTTTATTTAAAGTTCCCTAGTTAGGCTTGGGCTGTCCCAAAACATCCTTCCATCTTGCTTGCTTTTCTTGTGCCGTGCACATTCTCTTTTGTGTTTATATTGTACAACTCATTTATAACAAGCTACAGTTTTCTTTGGCACCTTTAAAGCAGTCCAAGTGCCTTATTAAAGACATCTTCTATATGTTTGTCCACTTGTATAGTGGAGCTTTCTATGGCAAATTTATTTGCTTAGCACGATTTTACCCAAAGTTTTCTGGTACCACTGTATGTATCTCTTCGAAGAGTTTGTTATAACAAATTTTATTTCAAGTGAGTTGCGCTCGATTACAAACTACGAACAAGTTACACGTGGGCTAACAAACAGATTTCCACTTGGCTGGCTAATTTTCTGCAGGGGAGGGTTATGTAGATAAAATCCCTTTGCAAAGCTGGGTCTGCCAGTGTGGCTATGTCTCGTTAACATGAACCCCGTTAACAATGATGCCCCGCTACATAAACAAAATTTTCGGGGACGAACTGGGTACATGCATTTTTGTCTTGTTACTAAGGACGACTCGTATTATGGAAGATTTTGGGAAAGGGGGGGGGGGGGAAACAAAGAGGTGCACATTAACGGTCGCATGACTGTAGTACATTGATTGATAGCGGCTCCAAGCAAAGTAGAAAGCTGAAATATTTTTTTACAGCGAAGCTGTTATGCGCTAGGATCTGGAAAAAAATGTGTCCGCGGATGTTGACAGAAAACTTCCCATTGGTCATGGCAAATATGAATAAATAGTCAGCCTTCCTTGCCTTTATTAGATAGTGAGGTCCTGATCCCTTGTTATCATCTCTAGGCATCGTCCTCTAGGTCATCCTAGAAGTTGTCCTTGAGGTCGTCCTCGAGGTCATCCTCTTGGCGTCATCCTCGAGGGCGTCCTAAAAGTCGTCCTAAAAGTCGTCCTTGAGGTTGTCCAAGAAGTCGTCCTAGGCGTCGTCCTTGAGGTCGTCCAGAAGTCCTTAAGGTCGTCCTAGACGTCGTCCTAAAAGTCGTCCTTGAGGTCGTCATCGAGGTCGTCTTAACCGTCGTCCTCGAGGTCGTCCTAGAAGTCGTCCTCGAGGTCGTCCTAGAAGTCATCCTTGAGGTCGTCCTCTAGGCGGCGTCCTCGAGGGCGTCCTAGAAGTCGTCCGAGAGGTTGTCCTAGGCATCCTCCTCGAGGTCGTCCTAGAGGTCGTCCTTGAGGTCGTCCTAGACGTCTTCCTCTAGGCATCGTCCTAGACGTAAAAATAGCAGCTTCACTGGTCCTCCATCTTCACGTGAAGTGGAAGGACTCTACAATTTTTTTTCTTTCTCTCATCTATGTGAGGGCACCCTTTCCGTGAAGGCACTTCCCGAACACCATAGGTGGCGAGTGGAATCTTGTATCACTGTATTGCAACTCCTGCGTGTAATATGCGGTGGATGATTGCTCTCTCTCCACGTAGACGCGGACCTGGCCACGCTGATACTGGGCGTTGCCGTGCGCAATGGCGTGTCTTCCCTTTCCATGGGCTCATTCTTGGCTTCCTGCGCATCTCTCCCCGTACTCCACACACTCTTGGTGAGCAGCTTGTTCCTTCGTTTTTCCTACCTGCCTGTGTCAAGGGTGCCTTGCATAATACTACTACTAATAATAATAACAGTATTTTCATTGATTATGATGGTGGAGCCCAAAAGGAAAAAAGCTCCTGTGGGTAGCTGACTGGTCTTCGGGCCTTTTACACTGGTCAACCGCATGCATGCGGAAAATATACAAAAGACGACTTATAGGGTAGAAACATTGCACATCTGCAGTTCATATGCATGCAAACCAAAGTTCACCTAAACGCAAAACGTGAAACCAAAATGATAATCATGTACAAAAATATAAGTGCATTCCTTGAAAGTTAAATTGTCAAAATCATAATTATCAATACAAAGACTAGACAGTGTGGGACTGTGAAATTTAACATTTGATAGCCATAATTTGTTTGCTGCGTGACCATCCTCCTTTTCTCCGCTTTTTGTTTAATCATAATCCCACCTATTGTAACTAAAGCAAGGGTGCAGGCGAGCTGGTTCAATACTGACATGGTGACCCTGGAGCCGGGGAAAAGAAGTCGTACGTAGGTTCTTTGTTGTCAAACCTTTTGTGTCTGCGTCGCTTGGTCATAGGTCTATTTAAGGACGTGACGGTGAAATAAATATTTAGCTGTGTTTGGAGTTTTGTGTCTGTTTTACGTTCCCCCTTTTTCCTGGCTCCAGGGTTACCTAGGGTGCCTACATGTTTCCGCATTTGCCTTAGGGTGGCGCCAACTTCTTGTTACCCTTTCCCAGACCCTCTACCACCGCCATTTTTTCCCACTTCTTATTTCGCTAAATGTAAACAACGTTGAGTTTCTGTAGTCTCGACACACCAGCAACACTGTGAGGCCACTTCCGTTTCTGTTCATAAGAGGAGTCGGAGGCTCAGCGGGATGGTGGTCATCGTGGCTGTCGCTCTCTTTATTCGGGTGTTTTATATTTTGAAGTTGCAAGCAGGAAGTGTGCGTTGCTTTTATCGAAACGCGAGTTCCCGCGACAAAATGGAACGCAACAGATCGGCATTGAATGCCGAAACCTCGCCATCGGAACGAGAGCGGTTAGCGCTCCCTAGTCCTAACGAGGGTTAGCGGCGTATTCCTAGCGCACGACCAGCGAGTGTGACAAAACGGTCGACGAAAACAGCAGAGGTTGCCATGGTAACGAGGTAGGCAACACTGGTTTGTCGGCAACAGGTATCACAAACGTTGTCGCCACCCTAAACAGCGGAGCGCGGAAACGTGTAGGCACCCTAGGGTTACCATGTCACATATTGTAGTTGTAATTGTTGAAAAATGGCCATTAGAATTTTTTTATTGGTACTGAAAGCCTCAGCTAAGTCACCCAGTCTACCAGTCACTTAGCAGCGAGGTCTAACCTGATGGCTACGAAAAATATTATTGCTTATTATGGATAGCGATTGAGCATCTGTTAGAATTTATAAGGAAAACATGGTTCCGGCATTATTTTTTTTTTTTGTGTCAGTATCTCAACTTCCTGTATCAGTCATGAGCTTTCTACAGTCTTTATTTTATACAGTAAAGTTTGGGTAAGCTTGTTAACCTCGTGGAAATGGAGCGTGCTGGTTAAGTTACGGTGTTTGTGGAGAATAACATAGAGGACGAAAACAGGACGACACGTTTCTCCAACTGGCAGCATACATTTATTTTGACGCCCGTCACCGAACGCGACAGTCACCGCGCGGAGTTGGAAGGGTTGAGGAGGACAGAGAAGGAAGGGAGGGTGGGGGTGGAGAGAGGATGGAGATGGAGGGAAAGAGAAACATGTTTTTAGCCGGCAGCGCACGCCGAAGTCAAAAAAGGGGGGGGGGGGGGGGGGGGGTGATAATAAGGGAAGTGACCTTGAGGAGGGAAGGGCGACCCTACTTCAAAGGCGCCTACGTTTGTCGCAACTCCGGACGCAGAAAGGAAACGTCGGCGTCGGAGAGACAAAGCGATGGGGACCCGATGTTTTGCGGTGAATGGCGCATAGCGAAGGCTTCGATAATCTCGCGGCCCGTATCTTGACCTGTGTGTGCCCACTGTCGTGGTGGCCGGAAACTCTGGTTCGCAGGAGGGGCACGAACCGACGTGCTGGGCAATTGGGGTGCAGGGAATGGAGGGATGGGTTGGAAGCCGCCTGCTGTACCTCGTTGGCGTGCTCCCTTAGGCGGTCGTTTAGACATCGGCCTGTCTGGCCGATGTATTGCGCGCCGCACCCGAGCGGGATCGAGTAGACGCTGGCCTGTCTGCAAGGAACGAACTTGGTGGCGTGTTTTTTGGAGCACGGCTTTGGGGCGGTTGGGTTGTTGGGGCGGTTGGGTTGACCTTCCTGCAGAGCGAGGAGAGCCTCAGGCTCTCCTCGCTCTGCAGGAAGGTCAACAACCCAACCGCCCCAAAGCCGTGCTCCAAAAAACACGCCACCAAGTTCGTTCCTTGCAGACAGGCCAGCGTCTACTCGATCCCGCTTGGGTGCGGCGCGCAATACATCGGCCAGACAGGCCGATGTCTAAACGACCGCCTAAGGGAGCACGCCAACGAGGTACAACAGGCGGCTTCCAACCCATCCCTCCATTCCCTGCACCCAATTGCCCAGCACGTCGGTTCGTGCCCCTCCTGCGAACCAGAGTTTCCGGCCACCACGACAGTGGGCACACACAGGTCAAGATACGGCCGCGAGATTATCGAAGCCTTCGCTATGCGCCATTCACCGCAAAACATCGGGTCCCCATCGCTTTGTCACTCCGACGCCGACGTTTCCTTTCTGCGTCCGGAGTTGCGACAAACGTAGGCGCCTTTGAAGTAGGGTCGCCCTTCCCTCCTCAAGGTCACTTCCCTTATTATCCCCCCCCCCCCCCCCCCCCCCCCCCCCCTTTTTTGACTTCGGCGTGCGCTGCCGGCTAAAAACATGTTTCTCTTTCCCTCCATCTCCATCCTCTCTCCACCCCCACCCTCCCTTCCTTCTCTGTCCTCCTCAACCCTTCCAACTCCGCGCGGTGACTGTCGCGTTCGGTGACGGGCGTCAAAATAAATGTATGCTGCCAGTTGGAGAAACGTGTCGTCCTGTTTTCGTCCTCTATGTTATTCTCCACAAACACCTTGTTAACCTGCTGCAGGAATTTGAGGTACTGATTAGCATCAATGCTGACATTGTAAATATTTTTTCTTATTGACTTTCTGTAGGGGTGCTCTATTTACTGTCGAGACCGGTTATAATGAAGTTAACGGGAATTTGAAATCACTTCGCTATATCCGCTTCTTCGTTATATCTAAACTCCATCAAAGTGACACGAAAAAAAAAAAAGAAAAAAGGATAACCCGGGTCGTTACGGGCACATGTTCATCATGTCTGCAGAAAGCGGTCAAGGCTTCCCTGCACACGCCCTCTGCTAGATTGGAGCAGCTTCTCGCCAACTGCGAGAAGCTCCGAACGAAAAAAGATACTGTGAGCTACGTATGGACCGTGTCGACAGCTGCGACGGTTGCTAAGGAGGATGCCGACAGCAGATGGCATTCTTTACATTTATGCGCACTTCGTTGAGGATGGCGGCACGCTTTTGTTTCAAGGAGATTGCCTTCGTCTTCTCCGTCGAGGTGCTGGCAGGGCCGGGAATTGCGTCGTTGAGTTGGTTGAGTGGCGACGAATCACTGAATCAGTCCTTGAGCAAAGCTAGACTTTCGCACAGAGAGCGACCACACCGATCAGCGACGCTGACACGGGACTCGAAGCAAACAAAAAGCGCGCACAGCACCGAGTTCGCTCTCAGGTTCGTGTTTCGTTGGTATAGAGAGCCTAGATTTAAAAGAGGGGGCAACTGCTGCATCAACGTCACGTGGTTTGTGGGCCGGCCGCGTCTGTACAACAAGCTGTGGACTGCGAGGAGTCAAAAGCGTTCATCTCCTGCAGACGTGTCCGCCTCTCTGCCCGGTTTCTTCACCACGCTGGCCGGGAAACAACCAAATTTTGTGCCTATCTGCCGGTGATGGGTCGAATCTGCCGAACTACAGATTCGGCAAAGTTCGGCCCGTGCCAGACTTTTGAAGAAAAGTTCTGCAAAGATTCGGCAAAAATTCGGCAAATGCCTGCGCACGCGCGAGAACGCGATGGGGTTGCGGGGCCATGAATGCAAATGGCCGCCGTGCGGTTATCATCTTACAGTGTAGTACTACGGGCGGTTACATTGAGGTGCGGAGTATATGGTAGCTGTGTGTTTGTGAGTGTGGTTTTCTTCAATATTTTCTGCCTCAAGAACAGAAGATTGACCACGAATTAACGCAGTCTTCTGCGCAAGTGACAAATGATGCGGTACATTCTGGATAACGTGACTTTTATTTGAAATTTTTAGTGTGCAGAAGTTATTTGTAACATTGACAAGTACTTAAAAGTACTTGTCAATGTCAACTCCTCGCCATTATAGCAATCCTGTTCCCCGCTCACAAGAAGTTTGTGCCAAAACAACATAGTATTATTGCTTTTTAATTAGCATTATTTTGCGGTTTTCATCAGTTTGCATAAAACTAAACACAGAACTATCATGCTCGACGTTGCACATCCGACATTCCTAACTCCTAAACATCCGTATGTGTTCTAACATCAGAAACAAGAATTTTAAAAGTTAGAATCGAGACATCGTGAATATGAGACGCACGCTTTCATGCAAAGCTGAAGTGACTCAAATTCAAGGAAAAAAAACAAACAAACATGCATATTTACAATAACATTGTTATCTCCTCTGGTGAAGGCTCAGCAGTCCAATGCATTCATTTTTGCGCACAAAATGGTGACTCACAGAAAAAGTAAGAACACAGTGTTACCACCTTTATTTCAACAATGTACACACTTGCAAGCTTACTCCGATGAGGCCTCAAAACCCAACCTCGTTGTCACACCGCTTCTGTAAAAGGTTGCTGTAAAATTGCCAGTAAACACACAAAAATGACACCAATACAATTATATTGTAGAAAAATTCACAAGGTCTCTTATTTTATCTCTAAGACGACTTGAAGGTGAAAGCCCAAGCGCCGATGTAAGCGTGACAGCGGACCTCCAAAGACAGCACGCTCTCTGGCGACGCACTTTTGGCGTCGTCAGAGATCGTGGTGTCGGCTGTGGTCCCGGTGATAGTGAACCTCCGAAGACAGCGTGCTCTCTGATGATGCGCTTTTGGCGCCATTTCATTGGCTGACTCGGATCGTGGTGTCGGCTGTGGTCTTGGCGATAGTGAACCTCTGAAGACAGCGCGTTGTCTGACGACGCACTTTTGGCGTCGTTTCATTGGTGCCTTTCGTTTTCATACCTTTCGTGTTGCCAATGTGTTTTCGCTGAAGGACTGAAGGTCGACTGAATGATAAGACATATAAGGCTTTGGCCTTAATATTACCTTATCTAGTAACAACTGTGTCAATATGCATTAAAAATAAAAAATAAAAACTTGTTTTGCCCGGAAAAACGAAATATCAACTTTTAGGTCTGGCGACAATGTAATTTTGCCGAATCTTTGCCGCATCTCAAGAAAAGTTCGACGAAAATTCAACTTTGCCGAATCCTAAGATTCAGCATCGAATTTTCGATTTGGCAAAAGTTCGGCCCATCACTATTATCTGCCCAGGAGGCATCTGCCACTACATTACAAATGCTCTTGGTGGTTGGAGTTGCTCCCTCGCTTAAATCTGGGCTCTTGTTGTCGTCTCCGTCGGTACGTTGTTGCTAATGCCCCGAACGTCCCTGTTGGCACGCCACGACAGCTTCTCCACATACGATGTGGAAAAGCCGCTTTTCAGATAATAAGCAAGAAGCAGATGACTGTGCAGAGGCTGCCGCCTGCAGCTTTTGTAGCACGTCTGCAGTCCGTTTTGGGTGGCTGCTCAGCCTCAGCACAAAGTGCAGTGGTTTGCGACTTAGTAAACTTTCCAAATCTTAATATTTTTTTTAATTATCACAAAATTTCTCTTCGTCATATTCGTGGGAGCTGTTCAATTTCTTTTGCTAAAAACAGAAACAAATACATTGAAAAAGTGCGAACGGGAATGGGAAATTGTGATCACTTTGCAATAGCCGCTATTTTGTTATAACCGACTTCGTTATAAACAATCGGTGCAGTATAACCAATGTGGTTTTTGTGACTTACTATCTGGGCATGCATATTTGTGCAGCCTGAATGTGTGGACCTTCTGGTGTCAGCTCTCAGCACTGTTGTGAGGGTGGTTCCGTCAAGCAAGCTACGGCCTTTCCTGAAACTCGTGGCGATCAGGGCCGCCTCCTCCAGCCAAGGTGCAGAGGTCGCCGTCAAGGTAAAGCGTCCCATTTCATTCTGGGAGTCTGCAGTAGTTTCTGTTCCGACACACACAGCATTGTAACGGATCAAAGTCGCTTACGGTACTTGTAGACCCCACCGCTGTTTCTACAATGGTCCGTGCAATACCTGAAGCAGTGAACAGATTTCTGTAAGCATAATATCTTTAAAAGTTTTCATGAATTCCACGGTGGGACGTACAATAGGCTCGTTTGATGTACCTACACCTCCTGCACAAGTTACACTCGGTGCACGCTGCCGTATTCGATTTATGAGTGCATCCAATCATAAAACACAGACCAAAAGTGCACTGCCCTGCACTTTCCTGTGCCGCACTCCACTTTTCTGCATCGGTGTAGGCTGGTGCAGGTAAATCGAATGACCCCAGTGTAGGTAGATAGTCCAAAGTATTGGAAATTTACAAGCATTGCACCTGCAGGTACATACCAGTAGGTTTTATTGCGATGGGTGTAATGCTTTATGAAATGAGATGCTTCTATAATTGTGTGAGCTGTTGAAGTTCAAAAGTGCTGTAGCGATGCGCAGATCGTGCGAAAAAGGAAGTAGTTTCATCGAGATGTGATGGTTGGGGGAATGTCCGAGTTTTAATTGGCTGCAAGCGCCGTTGAAGGTGGACAGCAGGTTAGCTCAAAAGCGTTACCTTTAAAGGTTTCATAGTCTTTGCTGCATTGCAGGCAAGCTGTGAACTTGGGACGGCTCAACAACAATCGAACGTGCTGCTTTTGGCGGTTTCACAGCCTGCATTGCAAAGAAGCTATGAACTGCAGTCAGCCTCACGACAACGTTCCTTCCTCGAATGCAGGGTCTGAAAGAGGTGCTCCAGTCTTCGGACCTCCAGCCAAGTACGACGCTGTTGGTCTGCGAGACAGTGGTGGAATTGTTTTCCAGGCTGGAGAATTCCTTCCGAGCTTTCTTGGGAAACAGTCGCTCGGAAGTGCTGGCCGACTGCTTTGTGCTGCTGCCTGAAAGCGCCCAAGCCACCTTGTTGGACGGAACGAAGTCTCTGACCCTCATGATATACCTCCACTGCCAGTTGTTCAGAAAGGGCAAGCGGAGCATCGGGTCTATCTGCAACCCGTTCACTGCAGCCTGCAGCCTGCCTCAGGGGTAAACGAGGCTCTTGATGAAAATTTTAGAAAGTTCACTCGCAAAGATATCGTCGTCCTTGCTGCTAATGTAGGATAATGAGTATCTAGGCGAAATTCCTGTTACTCAGTTGCACTCCCGCACATCTGGTGCATTCCCAGTTTTAAATGCGGAATGTGTTACCGTGTCGTCAAAAATGATGATGGTGACATGATGCGTGAGGTAGCGCATATCACAACAAGCGTCTACATGCTACTTTTGAAACATTTCAAAACTATAGTCGGTGACAGGTCAAGAACGAAGCGGAAGCTTTTTGCACGTCTTTCCACTTTAGTGGAGCGAATGCTGGAGAGGAGGCTACTTCCTCCCCGGCTTACTCTGTGCTGAAGAAAAAAGAGGTGGGAGGAGCTTCCGCTTCGTTCTTGGCCTGTCAGACTATAGGCAAAGGACATATCGGACGTCCTTCGTAGACGTCCGAGCCCTCGTATAGCTGACCAAGGTGCTTTTCCTCTTCACCCTCTTCAAGTGCCGCGGTGCAAAGTGGTGATGTCTGCCCTATCACATACTACTTCTGCACGCACCTCTTTTCCGGTAAAACTGACGCATATTTTGGTTGAAATTCTGGGCATTTACACATTTTGTATAAATGTCACTTTAGGTGCCCATCCGACAGGGGTGTTACTGTTGCATGTCTTCGTCGACGGAGGCGCACCCACGGCTGGTCATGCGTGCACTACAGTAACTGTGCTCTACAAATTGCTAACCTTTTTTAGGGTACCTTCGGCACCTTTTTTGCTAAAGAAAAAGCAGCTCAATTGGTTGCGAAGAGCGACGAGCCTAACCACTTTCACAATTTCACTGTCCGAAAGTAAACCACAGACGACGGCCTGTTTGTCGACATAATGCATCTGCGTGCTGCTGAGTTGGTCACTTCTGAAACTTCTCACTCGCAGCCATAACGTGCGTGTATTCTGCTGCTCTTGGCTTGACCTGGCCGCTTGGTGGCTTAATTGACGTATGAAAATGCAGATATTAATGACCGATGTGGGGGTATGCATACATTATGTGAGTGTTGATTATGGAAACAAATATGGTAACAAGGATCCTCGCAGATATTTTGAAGATGAACAAAAGATTAGGGCGCACACAAACTAGTGGTGGTTAAACATTTGACTAAAAACCCCGAGACTGGCATGAGAAGGGACGGACAAACACAAAGTCTCAAACACAGCTGAACTTTATTCAATAACGAAGGACGTTTATATAGGTATCAAATCCTACACAAAACACTAGAGACGAGAGAGAGGGAGAAATGGGGGAATCCCGTGTTCCAAGCAGTACAACAAAGCAACCTTTACAATAGGACTGAGAAGCAATGTCCTCCTTTATAAAAAAAAAAGCATTGCAACTTTTGCATTAGCACTGAGATGCAGTGACCTCCTTTATACAATGGTCATTTCAACATTGTCCAAACCGGCAGCGCCCAAAAGAAACCCAAAAAGAAAGACGTCTCAAGAAACCCTCGAAATGTACACTTTTCTGGCGAAACCCGAAACACTATACCTAACTGAAAGCACGCAATGAACCCAATGACCAGGAATCCAACACAAAGCGAGCTGTGTTTGAGACTTGGTGTTCCCTTCTCGTCCTAGTCTGAGGGTTTTTAGTCAAACTTCAGAGAGCGTCGCCAAATTTGATTGAGTATGAGTGCCAGTCGTACGCGACCCAATATGTACCCGACCCACAGTGTAAGATGCATTTAGTTAAGGATATGCAATATAGCAAATGCTGCGACGCAATTGAACAGATAAAGTTTTCTTGGCGCATGCCCAAGTAGCCACAGCGGACAGCATTCCCGCCATCCAGGCGACGCAACTGAGGAAAAAAAAAAAGGCAAAAACAGTGTTTTATTTTTGTGGCACCTGGGTGTCAGATATAAAACTATGACCGACGTCGAAGCAGTGTCTAAGCAGGACACGTAGCACAAGTGGCAAGGGCTACATTAGGGGGCACACCCTGAAAACAACTTTAAAAACGAGCATCCCTCCCGTAGAGGAGCGCGGGAAACGGGCCCGCAACGGGCTGCCTATAGCCGCATATCGAGGAGCCATCTGGTGGCGCCGCTTTCAACCGAGGCAAAGAGAGGACTTTATCTGGCAGCTGCAACCCCTGCCATGTCCACACCTATATAAATTTTGCATTGTGGCCCTGTCCTAGCCTCCAGAGGGCACCCGGGAAGTTTAGCACTACGACCTTGTTATTAGGCGGTGTTGAGGGGGTTGCTCGCACATGTGGCGGGAGAGTGTGCAGAGCGCCAGGGGAAGAGAACAAGCGTGTGCATCGGAGGAAACGGAGACGTGAAATAGTGGGAGTCGAGGCCGGGATGCGTGACTGCAAGAGTGTTTTGCCAGAACGTTCCTTCAATGACTCTTTGTGCGACAATGTTCACACCTTTGAGGCATAAGATGTGTACTACAATCTTCCTCTCTGCAGCATCAACTTTCTCACAAGTAATAGGTTTTTCATGGTAGTATTGTAAACGACTATCTCTTTGCAGGCTCAGTATTTCTAGAGTTTTGCAGGCTTCAGGAATATTTTGTAGGCATAAAATTTTGTGATTTAAAGTGATACGCCGTGTGTTTGTTACCATGGGCGAACCTATTCACGAGACCAATTTTTTCAACGTTTTGGAAGTCGCAATATTCATGAATTTGAGGTCCTCACGAAAATAAAAGTTGTTTACAGTATGTGAGCTCTGAGTAAACTAAGAAAGGTCTTCATATATCCTGTGCAACATTCTCCCAAGGAATTTTCTAGGGGTGGACATGACCACCACGCGTGCGGCAAGGGGTTGCAATGCGGCACAATCTGACTTGCTGACAGAACGTACTTTGTGTAGGCTCTCTAACTTTGCGGCCCTGTTAGTGGTGCCAAGCCGTGGTGATAAAACAAAAACCAAGACGCCTCAAAAAAAAAACTAAGAAAAGAAAAAAAAAAGGCGGGGAGCGAGTGAAGAGGCGAAGATAAAGCAAGCCACGGGGCACGAGCTAACATTGAGCAGTGAAAATTAACCGCATCTCCACGTGGTGAATGATGTTGATTGGGGCGAAGCTCGGGTGGTGCTGATGATACAGTATAGACCACTTACAATGTAACCGCTTATAGTGCAGGACCGGGTATAACGCGGTTTTTTTAAACCACTGGTTCGTCTCCCATAGAACTCCATGTAATTACATACCGCTTAAAATGCAGGCGCGCGAAGGGAAATACCGGTTATAGTGCGGTTTCTGGCACAGCCCGCCGGCCGCGCCGACGACCGGAGCAGCGAGCGCGCTTCCCTGTGCGACACTAGATAACGGCGCTGACGGCGCGAGCAGCGAGCGGCACTCGCGTGGCAGTTGCTCCAGAGCCGAGTTGCTCGAAGAAGCGGGAAGAAGCGAAAGGCTTCAGTTGCCATAGCGACGGAGGGACGCACGCACGTGTCGTTCACGTGCGTGCGTCCCTCCGCTGCGTTGGAAACAAACAACCGCAGCGACAGACCAATCGCAGGTCGAGGAGAAGTGTTGCGCGCGTTACATGCCGGTCGCGGGCCGGCTGCTTCTATCCGCAAACACAGCGTCGGTTGTGATCGTCGTCGTAGACGGCGTTCATCTCATCGTTCCGCGTAAAAGCGCTATCCTTGACTGTGAATTTTCGTTGTGTGTCGCTATGATAACCCAGCACGTACTAGAAGGGGAGATCCACCTACTCGTGCGGCGATGTCGTGGCGGCGCTCTCAAGACGGCAGAAACGTCCGTGTCGTCGTGTTTGCTTTCTTCGACTACAGTGGTGATTTCTAAGCATTTCTGTCCTCGAACATCGCCCGGATTTCTTATTTGGCGCACTTCATGCGTGCGCTCAAGTTCAAGGTATTACTGGCGCGTACCGTGTGAAGGATGCGAATTTTCACACGTTTTCATCTCCGGAGAAAAGTGATTAGGGTTAGCAATCCTGAACGCTCTCAACGTCCGTCCGCAACCCGCGACGCCGTTAAAAGGCTGCGCCAGGCAAAAGCTGCTCATTTCTTTCAAAATGTGTGACACACTTGAGACAGAACTGTACTAGTCAGGTGAAATAAAGACTTTCCTCAAACTAAGCTTTATTTTTCATCTAACATAAAATAAATTCTTTTCACAAGTGTAAGTTGTCTCATGGCATGTATTTTGGCCTGAAAAATTGATGTTTTGGTTATAGTGCGGTACCGCTTATAGTGCGGATTTTCGCAACTCCCGCGACATACGTTATATGCGGTCTACACTGTACTGATTTTGGTCATAGGTAGTGCTGATGGTGCCGTTTTCATTCATGTCAGTAAAAAAATGTGTGGTTTTCTTCTTTTTAAGAAGACAGATGGGATGACAACTCAGAACCCCCTACTCTTTTTTTTTTTTTCTTGATACTGCTTTTGGTCATAGGTAGTGCTGATGGTGCCGTTTTCATTCAAGTCAGTAGAAGAATGTGTGGTTTTCTTCTTTTTCTTTTTTTAAGAAGACAGATGGGATGGCATCTCAGAGCCCCCTATTTTTTTCTGTTCTTTTTCTTTTCATCTTTTTTTCTTGCTCTCCCTGCTGAACTCAAGAGCAGGAGCTCGTGAACTCCTGCTCGTGAGCTCACGAGCAGGGGCACGCCAGACGTTTTTTCCATTTTTTAGAGCGCAGCTCTTAGGGGCTCGTTTCCGGCTTGAGCGGCGTCGCCGTCGGCGTCGGCGTAACCGCGCGGTGCATCATGGGAAATGTCCCATAATGCACCGCGCGAGCCCCCCACCGGGGTCACGTGACCTCGTGGGGGGGGGGGGGGGGGGCACGTGACCCCCTCGAGGTCACGTGACCCCGGTGCATCATGGGAAATGTCCCATAATGCACCGCGCGAGCCCCCCACCGGGGTCACGTGACTCCTCTGAGGTCACGTGACCCCCGCCGATGTCGCGTGACCCCCCAATGACGTCATCGTCACTGATGACGTCACCGGCATCTACATCGTCATCGTCATCATCACTGATGACGTCACCGACATCCACATCGTCATCGTCATCATCACTGATGACGTCACCGGCATCCACATCGTCATCGTCATCATCACTGATGACGTCACCAGCATCCGCATCGTCATCGTCATCATCACTGATGACGTTCCCGACATCCGCATCGTCATCGTCATCATCACTGATGACGTCATCAGTGACGTCACTGATGTCGTCACCGGCATCCACATCGTCATCGTCATCGTCACTGATGACGTCACCAGCATCCGCATCGTCATCGTCATCATCACTGATGACGTCACCGGCATCCGCATCGTCATCGTCATCATCACTGATGACGTTACCGATATCCGCATCGTCATCGTAATCATCACTGATGACGTCATCAGTGACGTCACTGATGTCGTCACCGGCATCCACATCGTCATCGTCATCATCACTGGTGAAGTCATCAGTGACGTCACTAATGACGTCATCGGTACCCGCATCGTCATTGTCACTGATGACGTCATCAGTGACGTCAGTGATGACATCATCGGCATTTGGGGGTCACGTGACCCCCAAGGTCACGTGACCCCCCAAGGTCACGTGACCCCCCTGGTTAGTTGAACCCCCCCCCAGTGCCCTTCCCTCCTCCTCAAGAGCTGCGCTCTAATTCGGCGTTACAGGGAGTTGTAAGCGGCTTTCACTTTTTTTCTTGCTCTCGCTGCTGCTGAACTCACGAGCAGGAGCTTGTTAGCTCCTGCTCGTGAGCTCACGAGCAGGGGCACGCCGTACGGCATGGACATGGCTAGCCCCCAAGGAGCTTCGCCCCTAAAAAGAGTCTTCTTGGCTCTGCTTTCCGCCGCTCACCATCTGCGGAGAGAACTGCTGCGCAGCGCGTGTCCGTCACAATTCTTTTTTGTGTGTGTGTTTCTGCTTGGACAAGCACCCCCCCCCTTCTCACCCTCCCCACACTGCGGGTGGTGCTCCGCCAACACCTCCTAGATAACAAAGCCGAAAGGCCGAATAAAATGACGCCATCAAAGAAGCCCAACGCTGTGCACAGATTGGACGCAACAATTTTGTCTTTGGTCGGCTCAAACTTGACACAAAGCCGAGCATTGAGGCAGTGCACGTTTCCAATCTGTGTCCAGCATTGACCTTCTCTGATCATGCAGTCTTATTTAGCACTATGGCTTTGTTATCTAGAAGGTGTTGGCTCCACTCTCCGTTTGAGGGAGTGGCGGCAGTCGGCAATGCAGTAGCACGCGATGACGTGGCGGTGCGCGAGCATACCGAGTACGACGGGCTGCATCCATGTGCGTAGGGAAAATTGCATTGTCATCCTGCGGCATAATCGAACGGTAGGTGGTCAGTCAGAGCAATGGGCGGTCAGTTGGAGCAGTGGGCGGCAAAGCCACTACCGCCCACCGTGGGGAGAACCCTGATCCTGTCTAAATAAGGCGGTATTTACCGGAGCTGCACTTGGGGTGTATTGCTTCACGGTTGTGGGTACTATACTACTACCATTTTTACAGAGAAAGAGCAGATGTTCTTCGGATGCTGTTAACGTGTCTGGACCTTGAGAGCTCCGAAGCCGGTGCGACGTCGGACGTTATCGGGTGGTTTGCCGACTGCTTGATGGCCGTCAAAGAAACCACCCAGTCACCTAGTCTAGACGTGGCGGTGAGCAATTTCACATCTTTTCTTGCGGCTTTCGGGCAGGCCTGCCTCGTGATCGGTTTTAATCTGTGTTTTAAATGCATTGAAGCTAGCACAATGTGAGGTTATAGGAAATACGAGTCTCTCATTACGGAAGTGCCCGAGCCAGACAAAAACAGTGTCACTTTCAACTTGGCATTGATGACAAGGCAGTTTAAATTAACTTCTGTTTTCTTGAAAACTCATTTCTAGTCCTGAGCGAATGGTGGATTTAGAGTTCAAAGCGAATAGTGGTTTTGCCTGAATATTTCTGAATCGGAGATTGAATAGTTTCTCTAAGCCTTTCACTACTGTTGCACCCTGCTTAAAAGGGGACACTATCTGGCAATGTCAACTTTTGGACTGCTCACTCAATCGGTGTGATATTTGCAGGTGGTGTTTGTAGTCATGTAGAAGGAGGCCATGCAAGGTTTCAGCCTTGTGAACTAATTTTATGAGGTACTATAACCCCAGAACGAAGTAAAGCATAGCTTTGCATAGAATATGCTGAATGAACCTATCGTTAAGAAATGGTGTTGCTAAGCATATTTTTTTATGGTGGAATGCATACTGGGAATACCTGTTGCCGGTTGCTGTAAAAGGAAATTTCAGAAAATATGGATTTTTCAAATAAAAAAAAAGTATGAAACGAGGATTTTTTTTTACATTTACCAACTTTTGTAAATTACAATTTTCGATAATGAAGGAACATGAAAATGCAAAGTCTAATTTTATAGTAAGTGGTTCTATAACATTTCGGCATATAAACTGCAAATATTAAGTGTCTCGATAGTTTCATACGGAAGCAATAGTTTAATTAAGGTGGGATTTATGCCAGAAAGTGGATTGGAGAAAAACACATTCGAAGTGCTAGAACCTCTACATTTTCTTTTGCATTAGTGGTCTGACAATAATTTATATTATATATATAAAAAAAATAACTATGCACTGTAAACAAATAAAACTTTCTGGGAATACTCTCTAGATGTTGGCAGATGTAAATAGGGCAGTTTTCAAAATAAACTTTTTTTTTCAGAAAACTTTTTTTCTGGGTTGTGTCCCCCCTTAAACGAAAACCCAGCTAAACTCGTGAAGGTTGTTCCCAAGCTTCCTCTTGTCCATTTATAGGCTAATTTTAATTAAACAATATTTATGAACTGTGACCTCAGGAAGTGGATTTAGCGTAGATTTATGCTTATAGAGATGCCCAGCTATACCTAATTGAGTGAATTTACAAATCTTGCTCTATGCAAATATTCTCTCTTCATGCCTGATCTTGAAAAAGAGGAATCGTGAATGATGAACGCAGGTTGTCAGGGCATCTCTGCCTAACATGTACTCTTGCGTAACAGCCACAGTGTAATTTTGAAAATTTTGCTGCAATGTAGATAAGAACGTTTACAAAGTTTCCGTTTCATTTTAAATGCGCCGGACTCACGCATGCACCGTCCCGCTTTGAAAGCATGGTTTTCTCCCAAGCACGCAATTACGATATTCATACTTTTGCAAGTGTTGACCCTGTTCAGTGTGCTTTTTAGCGAGCACCGGTGCACTGCGGATAAGCTACACCCACGAAGCTCACTTTTGCGAGTGTTGCTTCTCCATGGTGCGCCCATGCTCAACAAGAATCGCACTCAGCAAGGCTAACCCGCTGCGATCAACAGTTTGAAAAACGTGAATACTGCAGTTCATCTCGAAACAAATATTGAATAGTGTAATATTAGAAACTGCTACTATTAGAAATTTCTAATATTTGCACAACCCTGATTATTTCATTAAAACACGGAACAACTGCTCACTCGAAAGCTTGAGATAACACAAACCAAAATTTGAAAGTGGGTTTCAGCTTGGGTTAAATTTGTGCGCACTTCATGCATTTAGGCCGGTTCTGAAGAGTATGAAAAGAAAATGCTGGATGCTTGTAAAGTAAAGCCTCCTAAGTGAAGTCGGCTTTTTTAGGAAGACGTCTCGCTATGTTGGCACCTGAAATGCCTGTACCGTGTTACAAGTGTGCTTCAACTTTGCTTTGCTATTTTCATGCCTTCACTATATTATTCATTACTATTTTATTTATTTTGGATACTGTCAGTCTATAAGCCAATACAGAGAATTTTTTTTTTCAGCATAAAGCATTTCAGTCTGTCTCCAGAAGTTTTTTCTACTATATTGCGGGGCAACCATATTAACGGGGTATGTGGGTATACAAAATGTGTATTGAGAGGTCCCACTAGATTTCCAGTGTTGGCACGGGTTTAGTTTTTGTCTTCACTGGTGTACAAAGTTGTGTCTGGTACAAACTACAGGGTGCTTTTTTACAGCTTAACAGATTTGTTTAAAAAAAGCTACACGTATGCAGTTTGTACAGGTGAGTTATATAGCCGGGGGGTCATAGCATAGGGGGCTAATCGTGATGATCATTCAGCTCATTAAGCAAAATTTGTTAATCCTTTAATTAGTGCAATTGGACATAGTTCCAATTAGAAACTTGCTGAGCATCATTGAAAACCATTAAATCAGCCATTTTCAAAAACACTGAGCTCGTAGAGTGCGTTGTAGTGCGCTAAAGGCACTACTCAGGGGGCAGGTACAAGGCCAGAAAATGCGCACTGGCACGTTATCACACCGGTAGCCTTGCTTAGTCTTTCTAGAAATTACTGATATAATGGTTTTTGATGAAGCTCAGCAAGTTTCTAATTCGAACCATGTCACTAATAAAAAGTTAATTAACACGTTTTACTTAAAAAAAAACACCCTGTATTTTGAATTTGTGTGGGAATTAGTCTGAAGGCTCTGTCTTGCTGTTTTGCAGTTGCTGAGATTCCAGCTCCAGCTTGTTTCGCTGTTTTCAATCGCTTTTGGAGGCCTCTACATCCGGCAGAATGCTGTCGAGCAGTCCGATTTAGCCAGTGTCCTGTTGCTTCTCCTGCCAAGGGCGCTAAGATGTCTGCTCAGACTTCCCAAATGGGAGGGTATCAATCAAGTGGTAAGTGGGAGCTCGAACCTAGGTGCAGCGCATAGATAGGTGCAGAGCCCTAAATGCTACACTTAAGAGTAACATACAGATCTCGTTTTTCCTCGAGCAGAAATGGAATTACCACAATATAGGCCCACTAAAACATGGCCCTCCCCCCCTGGGATGGGCCATATTTAAGTGCCCAAGTACAAGAAGTTTGAAAAAAAGTAGATAATATTCATTTAGTGCATCAAGCCAGAATGGACAGGAGATACACTGAACCAAAGGCTCGACTTCTTTTTCACGCCTGAATTGCTTGTGAAATGTAGCTTCACTGTCGAGCAAACGAAACCATTTTCTGCCACACGGACTAAAAGCGGCCACGCTTGTTGTTCTCACATGACAGAGACTGCCGCAAGTTCCAGTCAGTGCGTATTCGCCGTTTGTACTGGATGTGCACAGTGGATACCCTCATTGGTTCTTTTGAACCTCTGGATCTCAGACCACTAAACACGCGTAACCAGAAGGCTTAAAAAAAGACAAACACAAAAATATCTGCAGTGACTGGAGAGACTGAAGGTTTGAGTGGTAGTGACTTGTCCGTCACAAGGGGTAGGCTCTTGTGCCATCTTTTCTGATCTGTGTGAAACATGGCCCAAGCCAATATTTCAAGTTCTGGTTTCAATGCTCTCCAGGTGCTGGAATGGCTCGTGGGCCTCGTGAACGAGCCTATCCCACAAGAATTCAAGGACCTGCTTCTGGGATCTGTCTGTTCCTTGCGCTCCGTGGACCAGTTTAAGTCTCCGTCATTGTGGGCACGGGCCGTGCCACACGTGGGACTTTGCTAGGACCATTTCTGCTGCGGAAAGTTTTCTCTTTTTACTAAAAGTGTGCGAACCTTGTTATGCAACCGGATGTCTTTTTTGTTTACCGGACAGGGAGGCTTCGGGTTCACCTGAAATTAACATTTCCCGAGGTATTCTTTGAGTGGCGACACCGGGGCCCGCGGACGTTCGCAGAACGCCGATGTTTTTAACACATACTCTCACCTGATTTTGCCACCGTGTTGCTGACAGGGAAATGAACCCTGCTGTGCGACTTCTTTGCACAACCTCGTTTGTGAAATAACACTTGAAAGGACTCTAGTTGAGCAATCTATTCAGATGAGCAACCTTTCGTTACGTCCAGTGCATTCTGTTAAACAAACTTTCAGTTGAACAAACTTTTTTTAGGCTCCTTGAAATTTGTTCTAGGGGTATTTCACAGTATACACATTGAGATACTTTTGATGGCAAGAGGAAGGCGCCAAAGAAAGCGGTCGTTTAGTCTTTGTGTCGCACATCTCAAGTAATGTGTCACCTGTGCAGACACAGTGTGAACGACGCATCTGTGGGTTCTGGTATGACGTGGCGTCCTGCAACGAGAGTTTTGGTTGTCGGACGCGAGCCTTGCCCAACTTGCTTGACCTTGAGATGTTAATAAATGTACAGTGCAAATGACCAAATAGAAAGTAGCACAACGTGCGAAGCACCACGGTACGAGCGGCAGCAGCTTGAGCATGACTATGCCGTCACCAACAATGGCTCCGACAGTGTTTATCATGACCACGCTTCTAAGATCGTAAGATCAGTGAATGTGACAGAGGACGCGTGGGCTTTGTGCCGTCCAGTACACAATGGGTGCCTTTGTCCCAGACAATCTACCAATGTATGTGGTTGAACTTCTGACATAGCAGCCTTGCATCCGTTTCGACAAAGACTCGCTTGTAGATGCGGTACTCCTCTCGCCTGCAGTGGCCACGGAAAGTGGAAAACTTGCATATCCTTTTCTTGCCTTTCCCTGCAATCTGCAGCCTGCATGATAGAGTGAATTTGTTTTAAAAAAAAGATACATGGATGTCGGCTTGGTTGATGTGCTGGTTTGCTGCCGTGCTATAACTGTAGGAAAGGTTGTAGTTTATAAGACTGAAGTTTTTGGTGGTGGATCACTTCGATCTTGCTGCAGTGATGGTATCCCTGTAAATCATCATTGCTCTTCTTTGTGTCTGTTGGAACAGTTTAATATACGGCAACCAGAATGTTGAACCGAACCCGGAACAGTACTGAAATTGAGCATTTGATGTCGAACTGGAAGAAAACCATAATCTCGCATGGTAGTTGCCGGTTCGCTGGAAAATAGTGTGGCATAATCACATTTTAACTGTGCTTGATTTAGCAGATGGCAACGCGAGGTTCGTTTTAACAGACGTGCCGATGGCGGCAGCAGCACAGTTTTACCCAAAAGCAGCAGCAATGTGAAGACAGTTTAATAATAATGAAACAAACAAATATCACTTATATTTGCAGCACGACTTGGCGTCAACACAGGTGGACTCTATGGTATGTCAAGAGGCTAAAGAGCTATTCCTTTTTGTTTGAATCGTCTTTGGACTGCCTTTTGCTGTCTTTCAACTTCAATTTGGTCATCCGAGACTTGCGAATATGGTACGTGCTGGCTGACTGACCTTGCATGTACTGGTGTGATTGGTGCACCATCTGCAACAAACTTTGCCAACTTGCTGACCCTGCTTCATTCTGCCAAAATGTAAGGAATTTGTGCGTACGCTGTGCCAAAACTGGACTTTGCCCTATTAGTATTGAAAATATAATCGGTGAGGTCCCACTACTTGGTCGGATTGTTACGGTAGGCTCGTACAAATCTTGTGAACTTTTAATGAACATACTATTCGGTTTCATCTCCGAGTCAAACAGTGCTGTTACTCGGAAGATGTTCCTGGGGCTCTACTGTGGACACTTTGAGAAAGAGTCGTCAAGGAATCCGGCAGTTATGATTGGCCGGCGTCAGGCTTGACCTTGGCACCGGCGAATCGCGGCAATCAAATTCCTTGCCGACTGTTTCAATAAGTCTCCAGATGGAGCCCTTGGTCCACCGTGCCCTGATCTATTCCGAGGGGTTACTTCAGTTAGCTTCATTGAGTATGCTTTCCCACCGCGCGCCGGTGTACCGGGATGAAGCAGCAACCGCGCACTCAGCGGCCTCACACACTCACCATCCTCACGCACTCATACCCCTCACGCACTCGTGGCCCTCAAGCCCCTCACGCACTCATGGTCCTCACCGTCCTCACGCACTCATACCCCTCATGCACTCATGGCCCTCACGCTCCTCATGCACACATGGCCCTCATCCCCCCGCACTCATGGCCCGGACGCCCCTGACGCACTCATACCCCTCACGCACTCATGGCCCTCACGGCCCTCGCTCACTCATACCCCTCACGCACTCACCCGTACAAAAATGTCAGAATCAGGCCGGAATGAAAAATGCCGGTTCCAACTAGACCCAAAATTGGGGCACCAGTTTGTATCCAGTCTGGAACCGCGCATTTCCATCCCCAATTTTAAACCCAGGCGGTGCACCGCCGGAATTCCCGCTGCGCTCACCACTGGACTCTACAAAAGAATTTCGTGTTATGCCTTAGCCATTACAAGCGAGATCGTCGCGATTTCAGACCCAAGCTCTTCCGCCTGGGTCTGAAATTGCGACGATCTCGCTTGTTACGGCTAAGGGCATTGCGCGAAATACTTTTGTAGAGTCCAATGGTGAGCGCAGCGGGAATTCCGGCGGCGCACACGGTCGTGCAGGCGTCGTCACCAAACACAGTGCACAGTACACGCACACAGCTTGCACAAGCAGAGTATCCAGTGTTGAGCGCATCGGGAAGTTCCGGCGGGCAGGCGGTATCCGAGTTGTCCAAGCATTGTCACCAAGCACACCAGCGCCTAGCGCATCCAGATGCCGAGCCAAAGTGCAATGGGTCGGCAGCTTCACACTATGAAGATTCAAAGCCGAGGTCAGTGGGCATCCATCCAGGGCAACGATGGGCGCGTCAGTATCCGTGCGCCCGCAGCGCGAACGTCGCCGCCGGGAGAGCGCCGACCGACAGTCCGACGAGAGCGAAGAACCTAAACTCTGAGCGCTGCCGCCGACTGCAACAGACAAAGCGAGGCGCGCGCGCGGAGAACCCCGCTCGCAGCGCCTGCGTAGCGGATGCACCTGTCCCTAACATGTGACCTACGAGAGACCGCAGGTCGCGCATGTGCGCGCCCGCTGGCTGGGAGCAGACCCTCTGGCACCAAGGGGAACGGATCGGATCCACCCATCACCGTGCGATACCAGTGCGTTGCGTCTCACTGGATCCGACTGGTTACACCCAGAACCGCGCGGTACCAAGTCGGATTCGCGCGGATCTGAACTGTCCACAAGTTTAGAACCGGACGGATCCGAACTGGAACCGATCCGATCTTACATTTTCGTACGGGACGGCAGCAAGCAGACAACCGGCAAACACAACACTGGACAGCTACCGCAGTATAGACTAGGGGTGTCGCGAACCGGCCGCGGTTCGAGTTCGACCAGGTTCGACTTTTTCGAACTTTTAGTGGAAAGTTCGACGAACCTTGTATTGAGGTTCGACTCGTGTGCGCATGCGCGACAGGCTGACCAGTTGGCTTCGGATTGGATGGTAATGGCTAAAAGATGAATTAAGTGCAGCGCTGATTGTCTATTTTAGTCAATACAGTACTAAACATTAAGTTATTAACTTATTCAGTGATTAGAATTAGTTTCTTTTAATTGCAGCTGTTCACAAAATAAAATAACCCCTTGCATAAAAAAAAATTCTCCAAACCTAGACATGCTTGTATTAAGGTCTGGCCACACTGTCCATAAAGTCGAACCGGTCGAATCTGGTAAAAAGTTCGAAGGTTCGTCGAACCGGTTCGACTCAGTCGAACCCCGGAAGTTCGACCAAAAAATCTGGTTCGACAAAAGTTCGCGAAATTCCACTTAGCGCTCTCTGGGCGGCACCATTTTGTTCGACCGCAGCGCCCTCTCCACACATCCGGGAAGTTCATCGGGTTCGGCGGGGTAAAACGAGAGAGAGGGCACGCCGCCGACTCCGCTAGCAGACGACAAACCGGGAGGTTGCCGTTCTCCATCTTTGGGCTGTATCGGCGGGCTCTACCAAACACCGAACTCCCGCTCGTGGCTGCCGTTGTGAAGTGGTTCGCGTTCTTAGAATAGTTGTGGCTACTCCAAAATCAGCCTATAGCTCTCTGTTGTTCTATTTTGCTAAATGATAAACTAGCATATCTTTTTTCCGTTACTTAAATAGCAGTTGAGTCAGCCGGCAGTACTACCCTCAACTACTGCGTGTATTGCGGCAGGAGAGCACGTTTTTATTTATTATTTCAGACTTCCACTCATGGTCGCTAAAGGCCTACACCAGTACGAACTTTGGTATCGTAAAAAATGTTCAGCAACCGGATTTTCTTTTCGCCAAAGAGACCGGCCAATCTGACACAGTTTTCCCTATTTTTGTTTTTTTATTTGCACGCAGGTAACAGTGCAATTGGACCCTGTGAGTCTTTTTATCTAGCATAGTATTACACGATAACTGGCATACCAAAATCTGCGCATCTGCGCTTGAAAGTTCCAAAATGACGCGATTTTAAACAGAGTTTGCACGCCAGCCGGCCGCTAGCTACAGCCCACTCGGCGGAGCGGACAGCTTGCGGGGGAGAGGGGGAGTGCATTTTTTTTTCTCTTTTACCCTCTCTGCTATGACCCTAATGGAACGGTCTATATCAGCCACGGCGGCAATCAGAGTGTTGTGTCGACATTTGGTTGGTACCGGACATGATCCTGGGGAAACTAGCCCTTAACTGCTCCGCTGTAAAAAAAAAAAAAAGCTGTCTCAGATTGCCGAAGTTATAAACCAGTTCTTGGGTATGGTCCAAACTCAGTGGCGTACCAACTTGTTTTTTGGTGGGGGGGGGGGGGCAAACCAGACCCCCCCCCCCCCCCACACCCAAGGGTGGTGCCCTTGGTATCCTGTGGTCTTCGCTG